GATGCGTGGGCGTTGTGCAACAGCTGATGGTGGATGGGTGAGACTGTGTGTGTGATGTGAATGGTGGTCAGTCACTGTGGTGGTTGAGGGCGTGTGAGTGACAATGACCGCACGCGACAAAGGGCTGAGAGGGCAAATCGTTATCAGTAGGTTAATTAGGTAGTTTGGTGTGGTCAGTCAAGTCGGTCAGTCAGTCAGTCGTTGACATGTGGTAACTTGGGAGTGGTAGGGTAACTAAGACTAAGTACTCCCTCTAGTTAATCTGTATACGATGGGACTTGTGGCAGCGCCGCACATACACACGGGAATCTGCCTATCTATCAGTCGTCTCTGTATTCCATGATTTCCCTATCAGTACCTGTTGCACTCCGGCTTGTCCGTCACTCAAGTAGACCATACCGTAGACCATAGACCATAGACCATAGGCCATAGATAGATACCTACGCAGTTATCTACTCCGTACATAATAGTCAATGCTTGCCCCCCCTTCGGTGCTCGTATTGCCTCTCCATCTTCCATCTCGCCGTAGTCGACTACCATCGTCGTCGCGTACCCTTTCGCAAGCGTTATCGCCTCACCACTTGCCTCGGAACCATGTGGATATGACTGGCCACTGAAGGAGAAAGGAAACAGAAAATTCTAGAGTAGAATTTTGTTTTCATTAGTTACAAGTAATTACAGCGAAGCGATTCCACGGACAGCCTCGGCCAGCCTACCTATTGTTCAGCAGCAGCGGCAGCAGCAACATCGGCACCACAGCAAGCGTCGGCAGCGAACAGGCAGCGTATCAGCGTATGGCCAGGACAGAGCAGCGCACCAGGACAGTGCAAGTTACAGCCCCTACAGCCCCGACTAGTTCATGAGTTACGAGTCTTCTACTTGGCCGTACGAGAAGAGAACTACAACCATCCATTACCTCAAGAGGTCCACTGGTACCTAGCTCGCGTGTACGAGACCCCTAAATGTCAAAGGTCGACACTGGCCGGTCCAATCCCGCGACAGCAATAACGTAAAGGAATCCGGGCTCGACACCGGCCACCAACGTCACAGACTCCAACAACCAAACGGATCTCTCCAAATACTTTTGGGTCCAGTCCAGCATCAGTCCAGCATTCGTCCAGCAGCCAGTCCAGTCCAGTTGCCACGAGTTTTGAGTTAGTCACCGGTCACACGCTTCAGAGAAACGGTCAGATCAATCTGTTGCTTGTACTTTGTACAAAGTACGGAGTACTTGTAACTGATAGGTAAATTGCCTACAGTGACCTACCTATTCCAGGTACCTGTTACATCGGTCAGGGTTGTCGCATGCCCTGCAGGGCTGTCCCGTCTCCCATTATCCATTCACTCATTATCCCACACTTTGAACTTACCCTTACCCTTACCCTTACCGTCTTACCCTTACCCGTACAAGCCTACCTTATTACTATTACTCGTAGTCTACTAGACTTTAGTAGACTACCTGTACATAGTACACTACCCTTACACGATGATGGTGCCAAGGGCATATACCTCCCTGCACCCTCCTCCTCCTCCTCCTCCTCCGCCTTCTCGAAGTAGTACATCTAATACCTCCTCATCTACTTCCACTTTCACCTCCACTCCGTCACCACGACGATCACAGCCTACCGATATGGGATTACGGCCCTCCTGTAGATCCCACTCTGCTTCCTCCCCAATAAACCATCTTTATTATAAATCCCACTCCTCTTCACCACCCACCTCCGCTCCGCGTCAATCACAGTCACCGTCATCGTCACCATCACCCATACCTACCACTCGCAGTGCCCACGCGCAGGCAACCATGGAACGCACCACCTCTCCGCCCACACATTCGAAACCCGTCGACATCTCTCCTCGATCCCTCGCAAAGACCTCCACTCAGATCCAGACCGTCCGAGTTCGGGGACAAAATGGCAGCAGGAGCACCCGAGTCTCCAAGAACCACCGTTCCGATGCCATCCCTCCAGCCGTAGCCGCACTCCTCGCCGTTACTTCGATACCTCCCATGCCGAATCGTAGACGTAAAGTTCCGGCAACGGACCGGAGGATATCTATGGACGAATTGATCCAGGAGTGGAAACAGGACGATTTGGACTTACCTCCTTCCGTCGTGGGCTCGCCACTCGACCTCCTGCTTGGTCGCGTGGAGGAGTTCGACGAGGACGAATATGGAAGCCCGAAGAGCATGGAGCAAGAGAAGGATTACATGACCTCCCGGTCGATTTCGAGCGAATCGATTTCTACCATTCCCCCATCATTGGATCTGGATGCACCCTCGTTTGCTTCGAATTGGGACAACATCAGCACGCCCGAGTCCTATCGATCGGAGAGGAGGGAGAAGGTGGTGCAGTCACCGGAAACCGAAGACTGTGTGCTCGACCATCCGCTGCTTCACTTCAACCAGGACGACTGCGACGACATCACACGAGTGGAAATCGCCGACATCATTGCATCTGCACCTGCCTCCACGGATCGATTCCGGTCATTCAAGTCGAATCTGACTGCCTCCCTGCAGGCATTGAAGTCGGCAGCCAAGTCGTTTTCAAACTTCACGGCACCCAGTGTCCCCCCGGATGACCTCCTCACTCGTTCATTACTTTCTCCCCGGTTTACCAGCGAGATGCGACCCAAGTTAATGGAGGGAACACCATCCCCTGCCCTGCGACGCTATCTCAACCCGCAGCCTTCTTCCATCTCGCCAACGGAATTGTCGATGCAGCTCCACAAATCGTTATCGATAGATATCGATATCGACGAATCCACGCCCATGATTCAGATGCAGACCTACGACCGACGAGGCAGGTCGGTCAACCGCAAGAAGCGAGGCACGGATCAATATTCGGAGGCTGGCAGAGGGTTATCGTCTGCTCCCGCGGTGCGTCAGCGCGAGCCGAGAGAGAACAGTGACTTCCTACGTGTTATCGTCCTCGAAATGAACATGCGACGGGTCGGCAAGCTGGATGCGAGGGCGGTTGGTAGGGCGAGGATTTGGCTACCACCAAGGAAGCTCGAATCTAGCAAGCAGCCACCTTCCGTACAGAGCACAAGCGGCGTACCAGACAGATGGATTGGACTCCAACTAGCCGATTCCGACTGAGCGCGATTATCTCCACTCCGTACACGACACGATCCGAGACGAAGCGAGACAGGGCATTTCGAAAAGAGGATAGAGGAAGAAAAAAGGGCTGACCACCCATTGGGCATGCATACATGCAGTAACGTCCTTTGAAACTAACTCACCGCGTCTTCTTAGAGGGACAATAAAAATTGCGATCGCAAACCAGCAATTTCCCTTTCTTGGTATTTGGAAATGCCCAGCACTACGACCGTCGACCTCCAAAACTCGAAACCACCAAAAACCTGTTCACGACCGGGCAATCACCACAAGCGCACGACGACTTACCCTCCCGTCTACGTCAGGCTGCTTCGGCATCCCAGGTGACGATCTCCTCCAGGGCATCTCCACGGGCAGTCGCATGACCAATTTCCGGCGGCTGGCTTTGGGAGGTGCCGTGCATGCGTCCACGATCCGTCGCACGTATTGCGTCGTTAGCCCGGCCGCCAACGTTTGTTCTGGAAGACCCTGGCCACGTTCCTGTCTCGCGCTAACACCTCCGTACTGCCCTCGCACGGTGGAGTCGAAAAGTATCCAACACAAACAACCACCATCCCAGTACATTTTCTGTACCTATGCATTCAATTTCGGACTATATCGATCTCCTTCGCATGCCAAACGGATATTGCATTCACGTATTCCACTCATACTCTGCATGTTTCCAATTTCCACGAGTGAAAAACTTTTTCGGATACTCTTCGACAACGCATCGAACCTTTTTTTCTCTTGGAGGAGCCCCGCACCGCACCACACAGATGTCCACACGTATCCTTATGGCCAACGACCCTGTGCAGAGGCTTGCGTTACGCAGTGCGCATATATTGCGTCTGCATCAGATCACATAACAGAATGGTCCACCCCTGCATAGCGTGGTAGGGCCAGGACGCCTTTTCCGCCGCAAAAATTTCCTCGCGATGGTTTAGCACGACACGCAACCAGTCAGGAACCTGCGGTGACTCGGAGCCGACACGGCGGGTCTCATCTTCCGCCGTGCTTCTATGCGTGCAAATTATGTGGGCAAGTTTCCGACGATGGGCAGTGCGAGTGCGAGTGACGATAGGTGGTGGTAGGGATCTCCCCGTCCAACTCGGACAAGTCGCTTCTCGGCTCGCCGCCGTCGCCCGGATTACCTACTCCAAACATTCAATCGAAATTAATTCCAGAGGCCCTCCCACGGCGCGTGGTTTTTCCCTTCTCGGCACGCCTATCGATAATACGAGTATACGAGGACATCGAGCAACGGAAGGATACGGATGCGGATAAGCAAAGAAAAGAAATATCCCAATCGAATTCGGGTGCGAATATGACAATTCGCGCATACGCATATGCAGAAGCGCACGCATGCACCCACGCGAGAACCACGACGGGGTAATCACCCTACCGCCTAGTGGACGTCCAGCAAACTCCGAGCGACGGTTTTTTTCCTCTCCAACTGCGAAGAGTCATCGGCAAATTCTCACTCGCCCTGTCAGGCTATCTCGCGCACTTTGTGGGTTTCGGCTGCCCATCCGAGATGCAGGCACAAACGGACACACGTCGACAACTTTTTTTTTTCCTGCTTCGCGAAAATGCTTCAGCCATTCATCTTATCACGCGATTTCGGAGCCGCAATTTTTTGATCGCTTTTTTTTTTTGGCTTTGTGTAAACAATTGTCTCGCTTGTTCGCAGACACCCACGCACATACTTCGAGGAAAGCGAATGCTGCTTCTCCCATCCACCGCATATCAATTATCTAACGACATACCACGCCATACCCCTTCATCATCATCATTCATCGCATTTTCAGCCATACCATTCATAGCATATACCCTCCTTCCTTTCCTTCCTTTCCTTCCTTTCCCTTCTTCTTCCTCGCATCCTCCAAACCTGCATTTTACCAACCTCGAAGAAGACTGCCCAAGTGCTGGGTTCCTTCAATTTCGTTTTTTTCTCATTTATCCTCGCATTTATTTCCTCCATTTCACGCCATGTATGACAATCTCGTTTTTATCTTATCTTTAGACGTATATAGGTAGTCGGTGAATCAGCTTGACGCTGATGTGGTGTATCTATCTTTGAGACAGGGAAAGGGGAGGGACGTGTAAATAGTTAGTCGAGACGGAGCATAAAAAGATGAAACGACGAAAAAACAATCGAAAGAACATTATCAATTATTGTAAACGGGCTTTTTGACTGTGTTGTCGTGTGGTGTGGTGTTTAATGTCGAGTTTATGTGTACGGTGTGTGTGGTGCGTATGTACGTACATGTATATGTAATGTACGAGCACTTCACATGGATGTGAATACGTACATATTACCGTATTTGAGAAGTATGTACACATCTACATTTAAATTTTCCTTTTCTCTTCTCTTCCTTTTGCCTTTCCGCTCACAGGGGACCGAGGAGAGAGGCGTAGGAAGGGAAGACGGAAGACCTTTTAGATCGTTTTGGGGGATGTACTTGCATTTTCTTTTGTTTTTCGTTAGATTTTTCGGTTGGACTGTAAAAAGGGAGACTGGAAGGGAAGGATGTGGAGATGCGTTGTCTGCTGTTTTTCCATGTTGTTGTCTCCTCTCTTCACACGTAGAGACGAGTGAGAGATTACATGGGACGAGTACATATACAACATGTTGGACTCTAGAAGATAAGTCAATGGCTCATATCATCATTATTATTTTGATATTTCACAGCTGTCATGGATTCCCTTTTGTGTTTCGTTACTTCCATTCTCCTCGACTGTGATCTGTTTAAGTTTTTTTTCGAAGTGTTGATATTCATTATCACATTGCACTGAAAATACATCAACGCCACAATCATCTACTTCATAACCCCACCAAGAAACGATACAAACCATCTCCTCTCATCCTGATCCTCATACCCATCCTCGAAAATCAAATGAAAGACAATACCTGCGTTTTCGTCCCAGATACCACAACACACCAACATACCACCCACCCACTCCCCCACACCGCGCAGCGACACCACACCCACCCCCCCTTCCCATCACCGTACCCAACAACCCCAGACACGCCGACGCGTCTATTCAACTCACTCATCCACCCCATCACATTGACTCTACACCTCCCACATCCCACCTCATCATACCTCCTCCCCCACGACTCCCGAAATCACACCGATCGTCGAGCTTGTTTCATCCCATCCCATCCCTTACCTCACCATTTCATCCACTCACCACTAACCGGTACCTCCTCAGACACAAAAAACCTACGACAAAGACAACAGTGAGGACGGAGGGGTCCCGGGACGCAGCGGTGTTATCACCGTGTCATGAATCTCGCGTGAGTACGAGGGTGGTGTCTACTGCTTCGTACTTAACCTGCTGAGAGAGGCAAGAGACAGGGGGGGTTGCAATTGAGGGATGGTGGTGTATGACGGAAGTTCTTCATTTTGGGTGGAGGGGGGTGGTAGTGTTGGAGGGGAGGAGGTGGTGAGGTGCGATGACGGTGCCGGGGGCGTGGGATGTTGTGTATGCCATACCGTACCGTACCGTGCTATATCATATCATCGTGTACTGTAAGACAGTTTCTAGTCGACGAGGAGGAAGCTGGGGTTGGAGTTGTTGATGGAGGTGGTGGTTGGATGGGATGCTTGGGTTGATGGAAAGTTGGGATTAGGCTGTGAAGAGTGAGGGGAAAGAGATTGAGTTGATATGGTGGATCTCGTGGCTGGAGTGATATTGGAAGGAAGTTGGGGAACGTAATGATACATTGGTAGTTGATGGTTGATGTTGGCTGAGGAGGACTGGTTGCGTATGATGGGCGGTGACTACTTGAAAAACTATTATACCTCCCGATCCTCCTTTTGTCGACTAACTTGGGAGATGGAACGTATTGAGACGAGATACGAGTATGATGTTGGTATTGTAGTCGTAAATGTCTCCTAGTCTTCATCAGTTACATCGTCCACAACAGTGGTGGTGGTGGTTTGGAGAATGGATAAGTATGACAGTGATAGCTTCTAGGGCAGATACAATGTTTTAGAAAACGAAGGTATAGGGACATTGAGAGTATAGAAAGGTGGACAGTGATGTGCTTTATGTGTGTTTTTTTCTGATAAAGGCACAAGATCATGATTAACAACTTTGCTGAGCTACGATATGTGTCTGTAGTGTACATCAAATGTACGGTAGCAACATTGATTTGCATTTGACTATCGTTGTGTGGTAAAAGTTACCCTTCTATGATAATGGAACGATAGGATGTTGTAGTCTCGCTTAAGAATCTTATTACTTCCTTGGACTCTCTGGTTTCTAGGGAAGAGAGTCCACACAAGAACGAAATTCAGCTTCGAGGAGTTACAAAACATACCCTTCACTTATTCTTACACCTGCCGCTACTCCACTTACTAGCACTTCTCTTCGATCTTTTGTTGAATGATCTCACGATATGCTTTGATAGCGCACTTACTCCTTGCTACATCTTCACAATTCGGGAATGACTGTGGGACACATCACTAAGATAATGAACTTATAAGCTCTCTGGTAGAGTTTCTTCTAGTGGGCGGATTGAACTACGTTCTCATTTTGGCTTTGCGAAGCAATGTTCGTTGTTTTCTGGGGAACCGTGGTGTGTATACGGTTTGGGGAGGGTGAGTGACATCACTGATGAGGAAGCTGTTATGGAGTTGGGGATTGCGTTGAAGAATGTATCACAGGAAGAGTTCGCGATAGTATGTTTTGTATGAATCGAAGTAATGTCGTGTCGTTTCTCTGACTGCTGCTGTCGATTGATGGCCGTTGATGGCAGACGGGTCGTGAGAAACCGTTGAGAGTGAGCAAGCGTGAGCTATTGCAAGCAACAAGGTAATGCATCTTCACGACCGATCGCAATAGACTCGACTGAAAGCTTACTGCCAACAATCGCATACATCTGCAATCGACATCTACGCCCGCAATCGAAATCCCCACCAAGACACCCACATCCCAAGACCTCAAAAACCTGCTCACCCATCACCCCAAACGCTCAAACTCGAACGATATTTCCCTAGTTATAACGACGACAATTATTACTATCGTCTTAGCCATAGTAGCCATGCAAAAGCGTACGAGCCATTATAGCCCTCATCGAAAACACCTGTCACTCGCATACATACCATCATTCGCTCGTCCCCCCGCCGTCCTGATTGGCCATGCACGGCAACACGGCACCTCACCTCACCTCATTTCGACTCCGCGAGCAAAAACCTGATGCCTCGCCTCCTATCATGAATGTCGAATTGATCCAGGTGAGGCGAAGATAATGCAAATAACAAGTTTTTTTCCTTTTCTTTTATGTACGGTTGTTTATTGGGTGGGTGGTTGAGCCTGGGGGATTTGCGTGAGAAGTCAATGGTGTTTCCCAAGTTTGGAAGATGGATCTGTTTCGATGCACACATCGGACTACGGAGAAGCGTCATGGCAGAGAAAGTCTAGAACGCGACCGGACTGTACTTCCGCTGGGTTTTGCGTTTTAAGAAACAGCGTTGATGCGCGACAGGTGCGCATCCAAGCAACACCAAGACCATCGTCCTGAGGTTGGACGGTTTGGCATGACGCACGGGAGATCGACCTGGTGTCGAAGGAACAGGTTATGGGTGTCGTCGTGAGGGCTGGAATGCTGTAGTGTAAGTTTGACTATGTAATGGGTAGACGCGATTGTTGATGTCTGTTTAGCGGCTCTGCCTTGATGGCGGTGGGTGTTCCGTGAGGCTGGTACTGGCTCGATCTTTGGTAGCCATACAAATCATATTGCATGTACACTTCCCAGTTTTGGGTGGCGAATGGTTGGGTCCGATACAATGGGCGTCGGAAGAGGGGTGGAAGAGACGTGGAATATTCGTCCATTCGCCTTCCATGCTTGCGATTATTGATTGTTAGAGAACTTCGAGTCAGTAGGATACTTCGCACTGATTTTGACTGTGGTGGGAATAATGGTAAGCGTGATTTGTTCGAGTATTGTATGCGTGCGAGGGTGCGGCGTGTTGCATGGCATGAGGGAATTGCCGTTTATTGCTACGAGGTATATTTACGGAGTATTATAATACATAATTACTCGCACATGTTCTATTCTTACAATCCTGGCCTGGGTAGGTATACCTTAGACAGTACGGAGTAGATACTGTAGGTGGAAAAAGAGTGTGACGGAGAGTGTAATGTGTGATGTGAGTGGTGATGGGTGTCGGCTGAAGCCCAATCGGCCTACCCGGGGGTCGCCGACGCTTGGGGCGTGATTGGTCGGATTGCACGTGATCCCCGCATAGTGAGCCGGGGTACACGTGGGGAATGCAATTGGATCAATCAATCGGTCTCATCTCATCTCATCTCCCTGTAGATTGGAATCTCTTAGCCCAAGTCTAGTACTCGAAGTAACGATTCATCATGTCAAATATCTGTCTATAGGGAAGTTCATTACTTAGTTTCAACCTTGCAATTCCTGATGGAAAGTCTAACTCTAAATGATAAACAGTTCAGATCCGAAAGGTGTTTAGGTGATGAATGGTGTCTGGGCGTGGCTGGAAGGGCAGGAATCAAGCTAAGCCAGAACAAGCACTAGAACACCCACATCCGAGGGATTAGCGTGAAGTAATTGGTGTATCATCCCGTAAGCCTTTCACTCCCCCCAGTCGCCATCCAGTAGCCACCAATGCCCATTCACTCCCATCACTGGCCACTTACGCCCATCACTCTCTCCCTCCCACACCAGATCAAACCCCCTCCCCCCTTCCATCCCTCACACTCAACTGGAACGGAACTGGCTCACACTGGCTCCCACTGGCTAAACACTCGGCATTTCCTCAAGACCTGCCAAGTCAAGCTTGTCTCTCCTCATCACGTCGCCGCAATCCTTACTGCAATTCTTCAAGACCGCATCGCAGACCATCACCGAACCTCCCTCGTCGACTGCATACCGCACCCTTACCTCTACCCTGCCACCCTCTTTGTCTTCCTCTTCGTTATGTCGTGAGATGGTATGGACCAAAACCTCGCCCCTTCCGCCGCCGCTGCTGGACCAGTATAGTCACCGAGTATGGAGGCTCGGGCGACTCCCCTCCCAACTCGCGCCAGCGAGTTCCACGTACGTACCCGCGCGACCACAGACGACACGCCCGTCCAACGATCCTCATGATCCCGTTCGCTGACTGTCCACTGCAGGACTGTACCCCTCTGCAACTGCCCTCGGGCGGCCTCGTAGAGATCGCTCCTGACTACACAATCACCCTCACACAGATCGCGACATTCGTCCCGTCATGCCACTCCGGGAATCCTCACGATGTGGAGGCCCTCCCTGGGGTCAACTCCATGGCTGATATCAAGGAACCTTTCCATGGTATGTCTCCTCTGCCTCGACAGTGCTCGCGTGTTCGCGTGTGATGTGACTCGCACACGCTGTCGACTCCCAACGAACGAATTACTCACTTCCCGCCAGCCTCTATCATGCCACAAGCCTATGCCACCGGTGCTGCAACTGTCGTCGCGTGGATGCTCGTAATTATGCTAATCATTACACCACGCACATTCTTCGTCGGCGGAGCGTCGAGCAGGTCGGGTCTATTGGGAAGACGCGGGATGATTAGTGGGGCAACAGGAGGAGGATCGATCATAGGCGTTGGAACCCGACCATGGCTACAGAAGGTCGCTGCGCTGACCGTTGCCGTCTCCCTGACCCTCGCCACGGCCGACACGTTCAAAATCGGCCAGCGCCAGTACGAGGACGGTTTCATGGACGCCATGAAGTTGAGAGATCAGGTCGTATCCGGCATGGAGATCAAAGTCTCACGCGTCATTTCCGACATATTCCTTTGGCTCGCCCAGGTCCAAACCTTGATTCGTCTCTTCCCGCGCCACAAAGAGAAGGTCATTATTAAATGGGTCGGATTCGCCTTGATTTTGCTCGATATCACTTTCACATCTCTCAACAGTTTCGGTCCTTATAACGACAACCGCCGCCCTCGCCATTTTGAAACCGCCATTCCCGCATTGAGTTATCTGTTCCAGTTATCCCTTAGCATGCTTTACGCCGCATGGGTTCTCTATTACGCCATCACCAAGCGAAGATATGCTTTCTATCATTCCATGATGTGGAATATGAGCGTAGTCGCTCTTGTCTCTATCATCGCTATTCTTACTCCCGTCGTCTTCTTCATTACCGATATTTCGGATTACACCATTGCCGGATGGGGTGATTACTTCCGTTGGGTGGGAGCCGCTGCTGCTAGTGTTATTGTTTGGGAATGGGTGGAACGCATAGAAGCGTTAGAAAGAGAAGAAAGGAAGGACGGAATTTTAGGAAGAGAGATTTATGATGGGGACGAGATGTTGGACGACACACCTTCACAAGAGGCCGCCTGGCCGAGATCGAAACACTTATCCGACGACACCAAAAAGCCCAAGGATGGAGGAAGCGGTGGAGGCGCATTCACCTCAGGCGCTCTCGGCCACGGCTTGAGCAACATAGCCCATCGATTTGGGCGATCTAAACAAGAACAAGTACGAGAGTCGACAAAAGCTCGACGCACAATCCACATACCCGCACCCCAACCGGCACACCGCCGATCAAATTCTGCTCATCGATCACCACGAAACTCACGAGCCTTTGAGGAGATACAAGGCCCTCCACCAGCCGTGGCCTCGCCAGTCAGTAGAACAGATACCACCAGTGCAGATAGCACGGTGTACACGATACGATACCACCCTATCAGTGTCTCACCACCAAATCACGTAGACCCGGCCTCACAGAACCGATTGAGGCGGACCTTCTCGGACAGAGGCACGGAGCTGCTACACAACTCGACGTCTTCGAGCGAAGACCCTGAGAAGGCCATCGAAGTCACAGAGGAGAACGACCTGGCCCAAGCAAAGAGCAAGTGGAATTGGTACAACCCCTTCAACCGGAGAGGGCGCTCTCCACCACCGGAAGTGCTTGCTGGCCGTGTAATTGAACCACTCAGTGTCGAGGATGTTACGGCAAATGTGCCACCTCGGAACTACACTGGACTCGCACTGAAGGACCGCCTGGGTACATTTGCAGCCCAGCAGGGTGAGCGGTTCAGAACGAAGAAGAATGCTGGCCAACAAAGCGAACAGAACCTCCCTGTCACAATCATCCCAGCCCAACCACGTGGGCGCACCTGGTCGCCAGAGATATTGAACCAGCAACGGGATGCACAAGGAGAGCAGCAGACTGAACAGGAAACCGAGGTGTCAGCATCGACTGGCATGCAATTCGATCACACTCCACCTCGCTCCGTACCGCCTGTTAACGATGGAACCCTGGGCCGGCCAATGCCTTCTGGATCTGCCAGTCATGACAACACAGAAGCTGGCTTTGACGAGTCTGCTTCATCCTCAGAGCGAGCCTCTCATGTTCGCTTCACACCGGATTCCTTTCAACGACCAGGCGAACGCCAGCCAAGTGGCACCGCAAGCAGGATACCGTCTCGGACGCCATCATCAGTAGGCTTTGGCCCTGAGTTACGGCAAACCCCTCCTCACTCTACACCGTCGCCGTACAATCGCCAACCTCCTGCATCTGGCAACTTAAACAGCATACAACAAACACCGACAAATCATGACAGGTAGTGGCAAAGGCACCACCAGTCATTTCATTTGTTGTTAATCTTAAAATTCATGACGGCGCATCTTTGGCGGGTAGATACCACTCACACGACGCGGAAAGCATTTGGCATTGGAATCGATTTTGGAACTGCATATCAGGCGCATGTATTGAAGCAACTTTTATTTCTTTGAATTGGATTGGAAATCGGATTTACTTGGAGAATAGGGTGTTGGAATCGGTAACAAGGATACCCAGTAAGCTACGAGACTTCTCGTCTTGAAGCATATCATCTAGTTTGATGGAGCGCTACACGTTTGAAGATGCACAACAATTGCAATCTCAGCACTGTCAACTTGAGAGCAATGAAGTAAGAAGTGACCGTAGACTATTAATAGTCAATAAAAAGCATTCAATTCTCAAATTACCACCCATTTCTAAGTGACATGACGTCTAAGGAACCTTTGGTGCCAAGCGGTTGACAAGGCAAGGCGTACAGCAGGCATGTCATGTCGTATTGAAGCTCGGGCCCACAGACCAAGCTACTACCCAACCTCCGAGGCGGCATGCTATCTATCGCATACGAATGACGGTGACGCTGTGTCCATTCTACAGGTCCTCGCATGTACCATAGAGGCCTGATTACCTACGAGCAGCTTTGGGGCCTTTAATCATTTCTGGCGATATCTGAACTAGACAGAGCCGTGTATCGACAATGTCTCTCTTTGGCGACGACTTCGAACCCTCGCAGACGCGGAGTAAACAGTCGAGTGGCCTCTTCGACGACGAGCCACAGCGCCCGGCAAACCGATCGTCTAATTCTCTCTTTGCAGACGACTTTGGGGGAAACGACGATTCGCCTTGGGGCCTCCCGACACCGAAGAAGGGAAAGGCAGACCGAGGGAGCTTGGTCAAGAACTTGCTTCCGGCGAGCGCCGTGCCAGAGGCCTACATAGATGCATTCGATGGCTTGTTGGAAGACGGGGATGTAACATTAGACCGCGTAAGGAAGATTGTCGAGAGCAGTGGGCTGCCAGACGAGACACAGACCAAGATCGTTGAAATCCTGGGCAAGAAGGACGGCAGCGATGCGCTGGACAGAGCAGAGTTCAATGTCGTGTTTGCGCTAGTAGGACTTGCGCAGGAGGGCGAGGACGTCACGCTCGACAGTGTCGACGAGCGAAAGAAGAGTAAGTGTGCGACTGTGCAGCATTCGCGCCTGGGTTATTGGACTGACTGACATGCGCGCTACGTCAGACCTCCCTGTACCTTCGATATCGATCCCAAAGCCAGCGAAGCAACCCACCCAGACCGCAGAGGAACCGGCATCCACACAGGCTCGGATGGTACCTACGCCGCCTCCCCAGCAGCAATCTCCCTCGCAGCAAGTGCAAACACCGAGCCGCACGCGTCCCACGCCCCGCAAACCGTCGTTTGGTGACCCCATGGCCGATCCTTGGGGCAGCCCCGACTTGCATCGCGGTCATACGCATTCGAGCTATACTTCTGTGCCTCCGCAGACCAATGGAAACCATGCCCCTTCTGCAACGCGGACAACGAGCCAATTCACGACGGCATCCGCAGCGACAGGAACCACGGCTGCCGATTCCACTCAACAACGGCCAAGTACGGTAGGAAGTGAAGGAGCTGGTTGGGGAGAATATAACGCAGAATCTGGAGGAGGTTTCTCGGGGCTTGGTGGAGAGGGCTTTGGCCAGTCGCCCGGCGCCGGCGGTGGTTCGAACAACCCAGCTGGCCTAAGCAGGCCTGTTGGTGGAAGTCGCATTATTTCGAACGGAGTTGAAGAGGTGATCACTGTCTCGACCCTTGCGGAGAAGGAGGGCGTTTTCATGTTCCAGCACCGCAACTACGAGGTCACGAGCGCCCGCCGAAACAGCAAGGTGATCCGTCGGTACAGCGACTTTGTGTGGTTATTGGATTGCCTCCACAAGAGGTACCCATTCCGACAGCTACCTTTGCTGCCTCCGAAGAGAGTTGCGAGTAAGTTCGACCCTCATCCTGTCCTTTTGCGTTAATTGAGTGTTTTCTTAGTCAATGGTAACTATTTAGCTGCCGACGCGAGTTTCGTGGAGAAGAGGAGAAAGGGTTTGGCGAGGTTTATCAATGCCTTGGTGAGGCACCCGGTGCTTAGCCAGGAGCAGCTTGTCATCATGTTCTTGACGGTTCCTACGGTATGTTACACCAGAAAAAAAGGAAGCTCTGATAATCACTGACCACTTTTGTACTCAGGAATTGGCCGTGTGGCGCAAACAAGCCACCATCTCTGTGCAAGAAGAGTTCACCGGCAAGCCCTTGCCCCCAGACCTAGAAGATTCCCTACCGAAGACCCTACCGGAGCTCTTCGACACCGTCCGTTCTGGTATCCGCAGATCAGCGGAGGTCTACATCAACCTCTGCAACATGATGGAACGCCTGACGAAACGCAATGAAGGCATGGCAGCCGAATTCCTCCGGTTCTCGACCGCGCTGCAGACTCTCACCGAAGCTTCCAAGGACACGTATGCGTCCGACACGAGCGATGTGCCAATGCTCAATGAGGGTCTCAGCTCGACTGCCAGGCACTTGGAACAATCCCGGGCATTGCTGGAAGACGAAGCGAGGGGATGGGAAGAAGGTGTTCTGGAGGATCTTAAGAGACAGCGCGATTCCCTGGTTAGCATGAGAGACCTGTTCGACAGGCGGGATAAATACGCCAAGGACAACATCCCCTACCTCGAGAAACGCATCTCAACCAACGAGCAGAAGCTACAGGGCATCAGGAGCAAACCACCACACCTGATCAAGCCCAACGAGGCCGAGAAAGTCGAGGAAGCCATCTTCAAAGTAAGAAAACTTCTGCCTCAACCACCATAACAGACCATTCACTAACAATATTGGCCCACAGGACAAAGAGTCTATCGTCGAACAGCACGCGCGTGGCGTCTTCATCAGGGAATGCATCCGCGACGAACTCCTCTTCTTCCAGCAGAGCCAGTACCACGTCAGTCGGCTGCACCAGGACTGGAGTCAGGAGCGCGTCAAGTACGCCGAGTTGCAGGCGGACAACTGGAGGGCGCTCAGCGAGGAGGTGGAGGGCATGCCGTTGGGCGAGTAAACATCACCATCATTGTTGCGGCATACACGGTACTTCTCTGATACGCACGTGTTGATAGCGTGCGTCTCCGACGTTGTTTCCAACGCATTGCAGTGGCAAGGCGGTACGGGATTGAATTTGTAATTTGTACATCTTGTTTTCACTTTTGGCAGTTCTGTTTTCCTTTTTATTGTTAGGAAAGAGGTATATACTCTATAGCGAGTGAAATGAAGCGTTATGCAGTTCCTTTCGACATTGCTTTCTTGAGGGTCTGGATTTGAATGTTTGTTGATCGTGTGGTGTGAACTGACGCGACGGAGCATCGTAGGAAGATATGTTGCATATGCCGTATATCTGGAGCAAGAGCATGAAAGCCATACATGAACTATGACGAACCATTCACACAAACCCCACATCATCCCAAATACCCTCACGCACACGCATTGAACAAGTCACCCAAAAGCAGACGCACGTATACCTACCCACTTCCCATTCACCCATTTCCAAGCATGGCCACCATGCAACAACAACACCCACGACAAAACAAACAGCCACACTCTCCCACATCAGTCCCGCTCCCCGGGGGGGTTCCCCCCTCCTCTCAACAGTACCATTCTGCGCCGGGGGTCTGTGTGCTGGTGTGTTCCATATCACTCGTCTCGCTACCTGCGTCCTTCACCTTCCACTCACGCTATTCTCTCACCTGTTGGTATAAGAAGAACACAACACAACACACGTCCGCGGACGCGCCGCCAACACGACATTCGACACGACACAACATACGCATAGAGACGCAAGCAGGGAGACACATGCATACCCCCCGTCTTGGATTAAGAAGGTTGTTTCTATCTTGCTTCAGCGACGACGCGGGGAGTATGAAGAGGAAGGGTCCTGAGAAAGATGGGGGGAGGGAGATGAAGTTTAAGAAGAGGGTTAAGATGGATAAGGAGGATGCTGGTGAGTTTGAATTGTTTTTACTTTTTTTTTCATTGGTGTCTCTGGGTGAGGGGTGAGGGTATCTTGGGAGGGAAGTTGGGGAGGATCGTGAGGGTATTTGATATACCTGTTTTGGTATGGTTACTGGTACACCAGTAACTAGGTATGGCACTGGTGGGGAGAAGTGAGCACATGGAGGGGCCAACCCACTCAGTTCGCGGGCGAACGTCGGGTTACCTACCTGCCCTACCTGCCGCCTGCGCTGCGCTGCGTGCCTGGTTACTCCATTTGCGTCACTCGACGTTCAACACCGCGAAAGCTACGTTGGACCTGGTGCTCTTTTCCTTCGCGCGCGCAGCTCGTCCTACGATCAAGTTTGAGCCACTTCTCTCCTCTCCTTTTCCGTTCCGCCGCTGGGTTTTTTCCCTCGCGATATCCTTGTCGAAAGAGCTGCGGAGCTCTAGAATCTCTCACTCATCAACTACCCCGCCGCGCCGACGCCGCCCGCCATCGAGACCTCACACCTCGCACCGATTTGGAGAATATCCCGCCCTGAGCCCCGGCTTTTGGAAGAGGGAAAAGATATATAATTGCTAGAGAGGGGGAAATTAGTACATAAAACCGAACGGACGACACTAACGCAAACATGCCTCCAGGCTACTCATCACAGCAGAAGTCTGCCATCTCGCAATTCCAGAACTTCACCCAGGCGGACCGGAACTCGGCTGTGAAGGTGCGTTTTTAATTCCTCAAAACAAAGGAATCATAATGGGCCGAAAAGGGGAAAGAAAAAGGGAAGATGGGCTGACAGAGGCTGTGTGTGTAGTTCTTGAAGAATTATGGTTGGGATCCTGAGGCTGCGGTTAATGGGTAAGTGACACCATATGGATTTCTATTTTCTTGGTGCCTTTTTCATTTTGGGAACGTTGCTGCTGGACCGGATCGGACTCTGGAATCCTCGGGGTAGTTGGGACATGGGACGAGAAAGAACAGATATGAAGGTTTTGCTTGAATGGGGCTCCGTTGGGTTTGGTGGCGGAAGCGGAGGAGGATTCGCGATCCTCACGGGATGTCAAGACTCATGCGAAGTCGAGGTGCACACACGGGAAATACATCAAAAGCGCACTTCGGATAGAGGCAGGACGCGACGGCGGTTTTTGTAGGAGGAGTCGTGGCTACTTCCAATCCGTAGGGCAGTCAACACTCCCTCATCGCAACTGCCCGAATCCGACCATAAGAAGTACAAAAGAAGCAGGCTGGGCACCTGAGACCTCGCAAACCACTCCTCTCGTTTCTTTCAACATCACATAGCACATTGATTGTGCTCGACCTCGGAAAAGTAAAAGCGATTGCAAGAACCCTTTCCCCAAGACGGTTCGAGACACTGCACTATTTCGCTTCCCTGCCTACGGCTTTCAAATCGCTAGCATGACGTTTGGTTCTTCTGAAGATAGGGCAAGACAGCTCGCGGCTGCTCATCGCCGGCGCCGCATCAGCTCTGGTGGTGCTTCGGTCGGTAAAGATCTTTCTATCCCCAGCAGGGCTTCATCAGGACTGTTGGCTTCTTCGGCCACGCAGCCCGCCTTGAGCGCTATCGAAGAACCCACATTACTCCCACAGCAACCGTTATCAAGTGTTCCTCAGCAAAAGCTAAACATTATCCGGACTCCCAGTCCGATCACCATTCCATCAGCATGTGAAGATCAGTCTCAGCCAGCCCCTTCGGACTCGACGACGCATCAGGATGCACCACTCTCGCCACGAGCATCCTTCAAACTACACCCGTTTCTCTTGCAATCACCAACCCAATTGCCAATACGATCTTCACCGGGCAAGAGGATACAACAGGAGAATGCGAGAAACATCTCTTTGCCCCCCTCACCTACTCAATCCAGTCTCGGAGCGGCGCCATCAGCTCCCCAATTCGCTGAAGTACGCTGGGACAGTCAACAAGGGGGAAGCTTTGCAAATATGTCAGAGATACCAGCCCAGCCTCCACAGGCGGTGTACAGGCAAGACCGTTTCTACCCTACCCACAACAGAGTCATCTCTGCACCTCACCCTGGCTTCGTCCTGGCCGCTGCACCAATTGCCACGCCCCCAAATAGCTATTCTAGCAGTTCGTCCGGTACTTGGCCTCAGACGTTGTATGCTGTGCAACCTTCCAGCACCATGGTCTGGAGCCCCGCGCCGTATGGATTTGCTCCCTTGCAACCGATGCGTACTGGTCAAAGGCAAGTGCTACATTGTGATAATACAGGTCAGCCTGTACTATTAGGCGTCTGTATCAGGCAAGACCTCCCTGGTACTTATACTTCGCGTAGCAACAGCCTGATTCGAGGGCCTAGAAGAACACCTAGTGCTGAGCAAGATTCAGATTGGTGGCACAATCTGAAGGATAAGTTGCGCGTGAAGGGATCCAAGCGAAAGAACAAATCGGAGTCACGAATCTCCTACCCCCGTTCCGTGAAGCACATGCAGAGGACATCCAGTGCACCATTATTCACTTCCCGCACCAGCAACAACGTTCCAAGCAAGGGCTCGGATGAGAGCGCCGGACCGTACATGAAGCATGTTCTGTCCTTTTCTAAAGACAGTTACTGATCTGAGGCTCTAGATTCTTCTCCAATGGCAGCGGTACAGCCAATAACCCCGGTGTAAAGAGTAGTCTCAGCAAGATCTTTGACAAATATCGGGAAGATGCCAACTCACCAGATACCGCGGGCATGGAGCAGACCATGAAATATCTTGGGGATATCGACGTCAGTGTAGAGGGTCTCGACTTCCTCGTCGTTTCAGAGATCATCCAGGCTCCTAGCATGGGCGAGATGAGCCGTCAGGGTTTCGTGGATGGGTGGGCAGCTCTCCAGTAAGTGTCTTTCGCCAGCTTGCTAGACCAACTCACTAACAGCCATGGGTAGGTGTGACACTCTTGAGAAACAGAAACAGTATATTCAACAAGTGAAACAATCACTTCCGTCGAACAAGGCAGCATTCGCGAAGGTCTATAGCTATACCTTCCAGCTTGCCAAGACAGGAAACCAAAAGACGCTCCCCCTTGACCACGCCTGTGCTTACTGGGAGGTCGTCTTTAACTCACCCCTTTCTGCAGTCAGGTGGACGAGCCCAAGCTCACCCTGGTCAGAATGGTGGGTTGAGTTCCTCACCACTCAATGGAAGCGCGCCATCAACAAGGATCACTGGAACCAAACTCTCAAATTCGCCCAACTGACCCTGGAGGATGAGTCTCTCAGTTTCTGGAATGAGGAGTCATCATGGCCATCTATTATTGACGAGTTCGTTGAGTGGGTGAAGAAGGACAAGCGTGGGGGTGGTGAGAATGGCGACGCAATGGAAGAGTGAAGAGTGCCCTGAAGTATCCAGCAGTAGTGCTGCGTGCAAGAAGCCTTCACACGGTATCACAAGGTTGATCGTTGTGGCATCAAAGTGACGACGCATGTGCAAGTTGAAGGCAAGGAGCCGAGGTGTCCGCACATCACGTTCTTGATACGCGGCTGAGGGGGAAATATGAATACATCCTTCATCTGACTAGAGTGCAAGTGGTCTCTTTGCGAGAGGAGCCAGTTTAGAAGTAATATACCAAGTATCAGAGGGGAACGCCTAATTGAACTTTGATGCGATGAATAAACTAAAATCTCCCACTATGCCTACCAATTATCTGTTTGCTGCATCCAGACATCCAGACCCAACCTCAGGCTGGCGATATTCGTGACTGACGGTTGTTCTTGGTGATGATAATTGTGGTGGTCGTCGTAGACTGGTCTGTGATTGGTTGTGGATTATGCGCTAAACAACCGAGATTGCCAAGAGTTGTAGCCCACATGCGCACTCTGAAGAACTTCGACTTTCACGACAACGCCGTTCGAGGACTACTAACACCACAGCAAGTCGACAAAGTACGTCTATCTCACCCCTTCTGCCGATACTGGACAAATATTGACTCTATTCTTCAGATGGCCCCCGCCGCAAAGCACCCCACGATCGTCAAGAAGCGTACGTCGAAATTCTCCTACCTCCTACCCGTCAACTTTTTTCCGCTCTCGAAACCACGCCTGGCGATGAAGTACAAGGACTAATTATGATATAGACCGCAAGAGGTTCAACCGTCACCAGTCGGACGTACGTTATTTTCCTGGCACAAGCGGAATCGGGCTGGGTGGTCTTGCGTTGTGATAGAATTGCGATGAGGACACCCAACCCGGACTGCCTCTGTACCGCCAACGATCCCAAAAAAGAATATAATCGCTGACAATACTTTCGATATAGCGCTTCAAGTGCGTCGACCCATCATGGAGGAAGCCTAAGGGTATCGACAACCGTGTCCGAAGACGCTTCAAGGGCCAGGCCGCTATGCCTAAGGTACGGGAAACCATCGACATCGAAACGGATCCATTGTTGCCAGACGGATCGCATCTAGTATCACCTATCTTATGGGAGCATGATCTATCGTGGGCTTTATGGCAATGATATCCGTTCGATGGGCGAAAATTTGGAAAGCGAGGAATTTTGTGGCTAACGACGTTGATAGATCGGATACGGCTCCAACAAGCTCACCCGTCACCTTACCCCCTCCGGACACAAGGCCTTCCTCGTCTCAAACACCCGGGAGGTTGAGCTTCTCTTGATGCACACCAAGACCTTCGCCGCCGAGTGAGTTGCCCTCGTCAGCTGCATATCACGAGTTGTTGTAGCGAGAGACGAAACGATGAATGATAGCGCGTACTAACACGCGCACTAGGATCGCACACAACGTCTCTGCCCGCAAGCGCATCGACATCGTCGCCAGGGCGAAGCAGTTGGGCGTCAAGGTCACGAACGGCAACGCCAGGGTGAAGACCGAGTCGTAGAGGATTGTTCCACGTTTGTGCGTCGATGAAAGGGAGATAGCAAACACGATGGGTTGAAAGGGGCGGGGCATACACGGCGTCCAACAACTTTTTTTTTGAAGTCTGAACCGGACACAAAGGACAAAAAAAGGTCAATCAAATATGGGGAGGATGACAGAGGAAAAGGCACGAACACGAATAACTCTTCATCATATGATCCATGTGTTTTTTTCTCTCGATAAAAAAGAATCCATTTTCAAATATTGAGGAAAGTCACAATGCTTTTTTTCGTTCCCTTTGTTAGAAATGGCTTTCCAATTGGAATGCTGTACAGCACCGACGACCGACGTAGCCTCCATCCAGCGCTTGCAATGGAAGAAAAGTAAAAAGTCTTACACAGTTCAGCCCTGGGGGACCTCGTTCTCCCCCTTCACTCCCTCTCTCCTCTCCTCTGCCCCTGTTGTTTGCTCGTTATCTTTCCACCCGACGGTTGATGTCGTGATTTCGTGATGGCGTCATGCTGTGAACTGCTTGCCATCCACACCCACGTCCCCCGCCGGACTCGGAGAAAGAACATCTATCGCATGTGAAAATAAGTACGACCTTGATCGCTACAATGACTACCATATGCTGTCGTAACCGCATGCACGACGCGCCACAGGATGTACGGACTCATTTCCCCGGCACATGTACCATGCACACCGATTCCACATGCAGCTCCCATCCGTACGACTGCATCTGTTTGTTAATCGGTCGATGTATGCATGTAGATGCCCAGCCAGCCAGCGGTCTGGGACGAACAGAGAAGAGATAGATAAGCACGATCGGGTGAAAACCGACCGACCGAGAGGAGGAAAAGCATGCATGTGTGCGACTTCAACGAGCAAATAACGAGGGTTAATGGCGGGTGCTAAGTGGTTGGGGTTCTATGGTTACGTCTGTTATAGACAGGTGGTTTGTAGGGTGTGTGTCGATGCAGTGGACATATCTACATGATATGGTGCACCACATCCCAGATGCCATCCACAAAACTGCCTGCGGATGTATCATAATAGGCTGAGATGCATCTGCAGTGCCCTACCCTTATTATCATATCTACCGGCTGTGGAAGAATAATGCAAACAAGGAGGGCGAGGAGGATAAAAAGTTGCCCGTCGGCGCATCTGAAGACCAGAGGCTCAGCGGCGAGGGAGGGGAGTTGGGAGTCAGATTAGGAAATCTGATATGCTCACCGAAAAGATAGAAACGGGATGCAGGGCGACAGATTGGGCCACATTGTATCAAAGGGGGACGGATGTATACAGGTACCGAGTGACTACTTATTATGTTCCTACGTAATCATATATATCCTGTAGGTTGGAGGATCTGGGAGCTGCATGAGGGAGGCTTTTGGTATGGGTGGTGGATGGGCATGGTGTCGCATTGTATGGTCAGCATTAGCTGAAGACGCCTACCGAGTACTAATGTACTGTACTTGACTACTGTACCTATGCCTCAACAACAAACACAGAACAACAACCTACAATATTCGCAACTACAACACCATAAGTCATCGTCATCTTCCGTCAACGTGCCTGAACATCCTTAACAGACATTCATCCTTACCTTACCCACCCACCCATCCAATCCTTCCCGCTCCTCCTCACCGCCGCTTCGCTCTTATCAGGTCCACTGGATCTCATCCCTCCCATCCATCCATTGATTGAATGTTTGATTGATCGATCCATCCAGCGAGACCCGCCCTGCCTATCTGTCTGCCTGTGTGCAAGGGCTGCGGTACACGGGTACACCACCAGTCCCAGTTCCCAGCGCACAGCACATTGGCACCGACACTGACCTCTTCCTGGGTCCTGGCACCCGGGGTCTTGACGATTGGGAGAAAAGGAACGTCAGCAATTGCGAATTGATCCGACACCACGCGGTGGCTACCCTGAGCTTGATTGGGCCTTTTGTTTTCGTCCTTTGTCGAGGATGTTGATATGTAGCAGTAGGGGAGGGGAGGGATCGTTATGTCGCACGCTCAAAGCGGCTCGATGCATACATAGTTATACAAATTTTTTATATTATCCAGATACAACATACGATACGAAAATATAGCGAGCGAGCATGGGAGTCGACTGTACAACTAGGACTATGTTATTTGTAACCATGTACCTGTCTGTAGGTATGTCTAGGTTACGAGTACATGCTGTTACTACCTTGCTCGCGGTAGCGGGAGGGAACAATATCCCGTCTCGCCACCTGGTTAGACCGTCTCGCTCGCGCCACACTTACAAGGAACATAGACACAGTCACCACAGACCAGTTCAAGGAACATAGCACCATAGCATAGATACGGCACTCGCACAGGTGACAGAACAATAGGAATCCACCGCTATGGGACGGGCCCTGTCCAAAATCATCCAGCATCCATCCACATCCGTCCAGCTTCCTACTACACAATCACCCCAGCTGAGTTGCGATTACCAAACATGCTGTTAGCCATGGAGGCATGACGAACAAACACCGCGTGGACCTCTGCTCTCTTTCATCCTTGTCCTTGTAGTTGCTTGTCTATGCCTTTGTCCTTCATTATCCCTTTCCCACCGTGCGGTGCGGTCCCGACAGTGCCAGTGCACCCAATCGAAACGACGACCCAAAGGGGGTTTGTTTGAAATGTTTTGGACCATTTGTGGATAATGGACGGGTACGTTGGGAATCGGGATATGCTAATTCTGGATATGCTCGCTACAGTTACGTTCTGTGGGTCTGTCGACAGTCGAGGCATGCAGCTATTGCATCTATGCACACCTTGCACCTGCAATGCATCTGGTCATCTCATGTTATGTTAAGTGTGAGTGTGTGTGATTTATGACATGGCGACGGAAGCTCACGGTACACTCACGGTCGGTGGAGACCATTTGTCTCCTATCTCACCATCCAGCCAGGGCGTCATAAATTTCTTTCTTATTCCCCATAAATTCGCCTGCTTTTCGGTGTCGGTGGCCCTGATGATCAAATTTCCCTTCGTTCTAGCTAGCCAGCCAGCCCTTTAAATCTCTTTTCCCGCCGTTCCTGACCTGAATCCGTGGTTTTTCCCTCCCCCCATACTATTTTAGCTCCCGCCTCCGAACAAAAAAAAAGTATTCGCGTCCCCTTCCTCAACGTGCTGCTCCGCCCGCACGTAATTTCGAACTTATTTTTTTCTTCTTTTATTTGTTTCGACTGCTCCTTGATCTGCTTGTTGTTTTTCCAACGACAAACGCATATCAACGTTTGATGTTGACGCAGATCCCTTTGGTTTCGCTGCCATCCATCTCCTAGAGACACAGCCGTGCCCGTTAAGCACGCTGCGATCTGCGCCGGTTCTTCCTCAGCGGACATCTCTGATCTACCAAATATCGCGAATCAATCCCGGGAAAAGGTTGTCCTCGTGATCGATCTGCCCATCCATCTTCCTCCGCACTCTGGTATCATCCTTATCATCCTTAATTCCTTCGGTGTGCGACCGTTTCGGACCACCTTTCACGTGCTTCGCCTCAGCACTCCTGCTCCCATCACCAACAATATAGAAAGCCACCCCGCACTTTTTGTCAAAGGTCTCCTCTTTTTTTCGAGTTGACCTACACGGCAAAGTCTAGAAGACCCAAGTCAATCCCATAAAAAAAGAGTTATCGTATAGAAGGATCAGTTTCCCAGTCATCCGGAATGACACCAAATCTACTCGTCGCCACCCAAACCCTCTTCTCGCCACACAAATGGTTCAAGTCGTCACCAAAGAGCGAGCGACCATGCCGCAAGACTGAACACTGGGATTCTCCCGTCCCAGGTCTCTACGAGTACATCCCGGGGCGTGGATGGTACTTGGTTGCGACAGACAAGTTCGCTACCGCCGAGCTCGACAACGACACACCCGCCCCATCAACTATCTTGTCCGAGAAACAAGAAACGACAACCCGCGAGACCATAAAGATGTCCCCTCCGGTGCAAGTCAAGTACTCTAAGGTGCTGAAGCGGTACCTGCTGGCCCCGGACTACGAGATGCGCAAAAAGCACGATCGCGTCCAGGACTCCAACGGCAAATGGTACACTGCCGGATTCTTCCGCCTCGACGACGGCATCGCGTGGGTTGAGTGCTGGAGCGACCACGGCGAGTTCATCCCTGGCCCTTACAAGCTCTGGTGCCTCGACCAGACCACCGGCCAGCTCCGCCACATGCTCAAGTGCGACGACCCGGAGTTCGTCGCCTCGCGCACCAACTCGTTCGAGCGCGAGCCCAGCTCCGCACGCCAGTCCCAGGACTCGAGGAGCACGCAGTTCCGTGGTAGTGGCATTACGAGTCCCCGCGACGGCCCCAGCATCGCCAGTACGCGGGCGAACAGCATCCGGGCCTTCGCACCCTCGGGACCCAGTTCCAGGGCGGGATCCCAGGCGCCGTCCAGGAGGAACAGCCCCAAGCGGGCTCCCAGCCTACCCCTCGAGGAAGCAAAGGCTAAGCTCAGGATCATGGCAGAGCAGCAGAAGAAGATGGACGTCGAGAGGGAGCGGGAGCGGGAGAAGGCGCGGTCGCGTACCAATTCCGCCGACTCCTCCACCAGGGGAAGGCGTCCTGACGTCGAGGGCGGACGATGAGAGATTCGCATCGCATCATCTCGAGAAACCCTGCCCCCAGATCTACTACCCCAGATACAAGACTCTGTGGGACGGGATGTTCTTCTGTTCTTCTGAAACATGAAACATGGCCTGAACTGCGGGCTTGCTTGCCCCGATCATGCGGAAACGAAAGGATCGCCCGCCCTGCGAGATCCAAATCCTCCGTTGTGTTTGATCGCTCCACGTGTGCCATATGCGAACGGATCCTTCCCGCCTGCCAACAAGTCCGCCTGGGGAAATCTGCATGGTATGGATATGGAGTGAACGGCAAACTGTTTCTATTGGACATAGAGACATTGTCAACAACGAACCATGACTTCATCTATCCAGGCATTCTCATCCTCTCCATCCAAACAGAAAGCATCTGTCAAATTTGTATTACTTAGCGAACCCTTTTCATTCCATTTATTTTCGGACATCTGGTTTACGGCGAAACATTCATCATTTTTCGTACTCGGTATACCCCCTTCCATAGCAACCTTTTTTGTATTTCTATCTATCTACGGTCTTCTGTAAGCTATGTGGGCGTCAGGACGGGTTTACTACCCCTTTTTCGGATTTTTTTCTTTTGTCTTTTGGGGGAAATGGAGTTCGGGGTGTTATAGGCATGGGAGCATGGAAGGTTTGAAGGAAAAGGTCTGAAGGAAATAAGGGAACATGTATGGTACGATATGTTATGGATATACATCATCATTGTCATTGTTATTGTTAGTCCGTCATTGCATAAGATGATGTCTTCCCCCCATATAGGGCGGGCGAGGCCGGCTAGGACTGGTGTCCGTCGGTTATGGAGTTATCAATTTGTGTTCTTTAGGGCGCGAAGGTTGTTGAATATACATATGTCCGTGTGGAGAATGAAAAAGTGTATTGGCATAGTACTTGTAATTTATGAACCCACCCTATTGTTTGAATATCGTTGGCGTGGATAAAAAATTGAAGATGTTATCAGTGCCCAAGTATTTCGAAAACACGTTCATGTACGTCACCAACGATGGCATTCACAGTGTATCATACACATACACGAAGCAGATCAACGATTGGTGTATTCAGCACGATTGCGTTATCCATCGTGTGAATGCAAGGTAGATACGTCATCACGATTCTTTCACACCTAGCAATGAGAGTCTTTGGGACATTGAACGAAGCGTTGCGGTAGGGGTATGTGTGATAAAGTAATGATTTATCCAAACAGTGACTTTGTAGCAGCAGCACATCTTATCTTCCTGTGCATCAGTATGGCTCTGGCTCACTGCCATGGAAACAGTAAACCATGGACATTCAACAAATGGAATTTTTCCAGGTACTACATTTCGTTATTGATGGACGTGCGTTTGACGCGGTGGTATAGTTGATCGATCGATCGAGACTACATATGTATTTTGAATTGTTGGAGGTTTTTGGAACTTTATATTAATGCGATGGATGGGTTTGGTTGTTCGTGGGTTTGTGACTGTTCACCTACGCACACTCACGCATCGTTACACTTGTACTCAAGCACTCACGTTTGTACATTCACACTCATATGCGCACTCATTCTCTTGGACTCATACATAGATACTCATACATTAATACTCACACGATAGCATTCATACACATACACTCATACATTCATGCGCATGCACTTGTATATATACCACTACATTCTCGAATCCGAAAGAAAAGTATCACACCTACCTCCAAACTCAACATAACACAATCCTTGATACAACCACCCGTACACACAAACCTGCGAAACCAACCTAAACTGCAGGAATGCCACGGACAACCCCCGCTCCCGCTCCCGCTCCTGCTGGACCATCCTCATCCTCCGCTGCACCGAATCCTCCTAGTAACCCGGAAGCAATTCACGTCCACTTTCACGACCCTGCACCTGCACCTGCACCTGCACCTGCACCTGCACCTACGGGGTATTCAGAGCTGCCTAACCATCAATATGTACCACCATGGACGGAGACAGAGCTCTGCTTCAACCGCCACCCACCCTTGGTCATGCTTTTGCCCCATTCCTCTTCGCCGGTGTATGGTTTCCCCCCGAATATGTCAAACATACGCGCTGCCCGGAATCATTTACGGCAGAACGTGAGCCTGGACACGAATCCAAGATGGGCAAGGGTCGAGTATATATTGAGTCAATGGTTGGACCATGGAGGCCCAGAGGACGGAGATGGTGTAGTGTTTATGAACATAGAGCACATGACGGAGAGTATTGCCAGGGAAAGGAGAATCAGGGGAGTCACTACACCTTTTCCACATCCAGATTTGTTGCAAAGGCATATTAGAGCATTGGAAGTTTATCGACTCAACCACCCGACCCTACCGTGGGATGGCGGGGTCGTGTGGGATGATGGATGGGACCCGGAAGGTCAGATCTATTATCCGAGCGTGAGAGAAAGGGATTGGCGGGACACGGAGATAGAGAGGGAGATGCAGCTAAGTGTTCATGTCAGGGACTTGACACTCTCTGACGATGGATCCGAGGAGGTTGAGAGATAGGACTCTGATATCTCCGAAACGAGGATCCATATAACGAGGGAGTATCATGACAGATCTTATTCGCCAGTGCCGAGGTTCGTCACGTCGAGGGGATTCGGGCGACGTGGAGAGTCGTCTTCTGTAATGGTCGATGTAGGCTCGTCTTCTTCCGCCGAGTTTAGCGATACTTGGAGGCATCCTAGGGGTCGAGGTTGTGAAACGTGGTCGTCTTCGAGGCTGGATTTCAGGAGGGAGATGTGTGATTATTGTGATTTGCCGTTTGTTGACGAAGTTGATGTCAGTGTCGAGTTTGGAAGAGATGACAGCAGCGACGATGATGAGGGGGATGTTGTCGTTGGGTATTTGTACTCCTAGTTTCCTTTCTAGGTAATTGGCGGGTGGTGTACTACTAGGGATATGGAAGGGACGGCAATGTGTTGTTCAGACAATTATTTATTTGCTTTTGTTTCTTTCTAAGATCGCCTGCCTATATTTACATCCAATTTAATGATACAAGATGCGCAGAGGGTGCTATTTACAACTCATCAGTCTGGCCGTTTCTCGCTATAACATTGTATGTGCATATGATTAAAACAAATACGAGAAAACGTATCAACAACAGAAGTATCCTTAATCTTGCTTGCTGCGGCTGTTTGAGCTCTTCTGCATCAAGGTGTCGCTGGAAGTCGAGGGCGACGGCATAGTGGTACTCGTAACATGGAACGAGAAATCCAGCTCTCCGACCAATTTCTTCACAGCGCGCAGAAGCTGCTCCAAATCCTGGTTAATACAACTTGTACTGATCTGCAGCACCGCGAACGCTGAGTATCCCGGCTCGGCAATATGTCGCAGGCTCAGTACTTCGCTGTCGGTGGCTTCGAGGCGGTGAGAGAGTTGGTACGATTGAGGCGCTTGGAGGTATGGTGGCAAGGGCTGGCCGTTTGTGATGCTGGAGGAGAGAAGGGAGAGCATGGAGGTGATTTCGTGGGATGTGAGTTTCGCGGAGGTGATGATGCGGCGGAAGTCGCGGAACCATTGGGTTCGGGACGGATCGTCGTCTTCTGTGGGGCGTATTATGCATGGGTTGGTGAAGGATGTTGAGGCGTAGGATATCAAGGAGGTGTAGTTGACGATGCTGGGGAACATATGTTAGTGATCGGATACTACATGACACAGGGATGTCCTTACTTGGAAACTAGCCTGATGATGTTGTTGTAGTCCTTGATAGGAAATTTGCCACCTAGAGGAAATTCCCAACGGACGAACTCAGAGTGCTGCCTCAAACCCTGGAGAAGGAGCATTTGCTTAGAGAATACTTTGTTGCGGGCCTTGTTGAGCAAAAACCCTGGGGATGTAGGGTCTGCTACATCGCCTTCGTCGCCCCTGATCCGCGCCATGACGGTCTCATGAACGATGGAGTAGTAGTTCGCGGAAAGATACAGCGAGCCGCCTAGCTTTTGTCGAAGCGCAGAATGCTCGCTGATTGGGTATGGAAAGAATGTCCATATGAATGCAACGAAAAGTCCACCAAGGACAGTCGCCAGCCGATACGGTCCAAGTTTGTAGATCTCGTAGTACGGTTGTCCGTTGGACTCTGCAAGCGCTCTACCAATCTTTCGAACTTCAAGTTCGTAACCAACAATCAAAGTTATGGTGACCACCGAGATTATGCCCGCGATGATCAAATCCATTCTCTTCAAGATAACGTAGAAACCCAGCCCGACGAAAACCCAGAGGAAGACCAAGATACCCGCCGTGTGCTGGCCCGGTATATACCAAGTGAGCCAGGCGAGTATCATCGCAATAATTGTTCCAACGATTCTTAAAAAGAAGCTGGCTACACTTTGGCCAGCCGTTGGCGTCATGGAAATGGCGACCATGATCATGGCCCACACCAATCTTTGCTCAATGAAGAAGCGCGCCGAGTCATGGAGGTAAGCAGTTACAGCGATGCACATCGTGGCACACGCACAGCGAAATCCAAACGCCGAGTCTGGGGATCGTAAGAATGCAGGTATGGTTCGTACCGCGTTGCCAAACTTCTCCCAAGCGTTCGCGGGAGGTAGATGCTCGGGATCTTTCCTTCGCTTGTACGCCTCGCCCATATAGACGATGTTGCTATTTCTCTCGAGACCTGCTGCGGTCGTTTCATCCTCATTGTTGGAATCTTGCGTCCTGAATATACTGACGAGCCATTTCCGCAGTCGTTTCTTTCCAGGGTTGATGAGATGTTTCTTTGCTTTTGCTTGGTCTCGCTCATCGGCAAATTTTACAAAGTCCATAACGGCGCGGCTGATGGCGTATAGGAGATAGATAATGTAGAGCAAGAGATATAATTGGCGCTGGTTACTCTGGTGGAGTAGCGTTGGCTCCCTTTTGAGTAGCTCAAGATCTGGTTCCGACGCCTCAGAGCTGTGGAAAAAGTCTGGCCCAACTGCGATGCCCCTACTTTCAACCCAGCGCTTCAGGGTGGTCTCCCTTTCCTTATAAAAGCCGTTGAATTGATCTTCAAGAAGTGCAGCGAAGCCTTCGTGTCCAGGTTCGACCAAATCGCCCTTCGCCTCCTCATCGGTGTTCTTAGCAGCCTTCTTCTTCGGTGTTGGGATCAGTTGAAGTCGGAGAAGAACATGATGTAGACCGCGGTCCATGCCGGAAATGATTCTCTCGAAAGGTTCGTGGGCAGCCTTCATCGTTTTGTTCCAGTTTCCTACTGCTGTTCTCCTCTGTGCCTCCTGCTCTGGATCCACATCGTCCGAGTCGTCGCTTTCCCAATTGTTCATCTTCGCTTGCCGGTCAAAGAGATCAACCAAGGACCCCAATCCTACCAACGGCAGCATGATAGCCCGCAAATGTTTGGATATCGCTTCGTAATCATCAGGAGAGAGCTTTCCATAGGCTATTTCACGTTTGGCGAAGGGTAGATCACCGCTCAACTTCCCATGGAGTTGAGAGAATGTGGCTGTGATTGCCTTTACCGCCTCGACTTCTGGTGCCGCTTTCTTCGCTTTGTTTGGCGTGTTTGTGTACTGCGGTTTGATCTGATTGAATACATCCGCAGTTTCGAGACTCTGAAGATATGTCTTATGAGCCGATAAAGCACCTCTCAGCGCTCCAATATAAGCGGTGATTTCTTTCTTCACGACTTTTCGAGAAGTGACGGGAAATATGAACAACGAGACACCAGTAGCGATTGCAAACGCGGTCAGGAAGGCTTCCAGGAGCCGCTTCATGAAACTTTCCACCTGCACCATCGTCCGGAACTGCGGTCCATAAGTTGCTGAAACCATCGCGAAGATGGCGTAGACGATGGTGGGGAAAACCATTTGGGGGAATTTGCTTTTCATAGTATTGACGAGCCATATCTGGAAGAAAAGCCAGACAGCAAGAACGGCAGACTGCGATGAGTTGTATGCTTGGGGGGGAGCATCGGCCTTCGTCGTGTTTTCGCGGGCCTTTATACCGGTCCATAATGAGAGTAAATTGATTGCAGCCCCAATGCAGGTACCCAGAACGTTCAAACACATTGTCTGTATAAATTTGGCTCGGGGCATGATACAAAATCCGAGAATGGAAATGACTGCCACGAGGTATCCAAGCGTCGTGTAAATTCTGGCAAAACTATTTGCCTGGTATGCCGCCATTGCAATCGTTGGCGGGAGCGCAGCCCTACAGCCAAGTTAGAATTCGATTACTTTCAACAAAGCAAATGGAATCTCAAGTAATTACTTCATCATCATCATAACGGTTGGTAAATCCAACCCCAATTTTTTCCATCCCTGGGCGAGTTTGCTGGGCTGTTTCTTTGGCACATTCTTCTCAGGTGCTGCGGTATCGTCGGATCCAGTGGCTGCGCGCGCGTGTCCATTAATGACGTCGGCTGCCTCTTCATTCATCTCCGTGGCACCGTTGGACTCTGTGCTAACATGATTGACTCCAGCTGCTGTCGTTGCAGCCATTGTGTATCTTCAGCCGACCCTCTCCAAGTCGACGAAAGGGTGTCAGGACGGAATGAATTGAATTGAGATCATATGAAATGTGCGACAAGGTAGATTGAGAGGCAGCGACAAGAGAAGAGACGTTACGGACGCTAATGACAGGGAGGGGTTCAGGGTCACTAAAATAACAAGCCATCGCTGTAGCATGTGGCACGAGAAGGTTTGTTGATCGCGTCGGTGAATATTATCTTGGATGACCGAGGGAGTGAATTTAGTGTGATGGGAGCATTGACGTTACTCATAGGGAGGTTAGGGACGGACGTTACGGGGACATTGGCGGATGGTCAAGCATTGCACCCAGTCGGGGATCGCCCTTGGTCTGCTCCGCTGTGCGAGTGTGCATCACTTGTTGAACATGGACACCAATCTCGCATCCCACAAGATTCCACAAAGATTCCGCCATGGTTGGTCGAATTAGAAAACTCTTCCTGGTAGATTGTCGCATGTCCTCGTATGCACCCTGCTTGGTCAGCGTAATAATTCCCCGACCCTGATGCTGGTTCTATCTCGAGTCCGCTCTAATAGGGGCCAAACCAGCCAATATTAGACGCGACATAGACAAATATTTTCCTGATCGAGCCAGCAGCCCAATGATCCAACAATCCAACATGTCCAAGTCGGATGTTGTAGCCGAGACAAAATTAGTCGTCCCCCTTCCCTCGTGGTGATGCAGTTGACTTCGATGGTGGGTGGATCATGCGTGAGGACTTGTCCAAATGCTAAATGGTATCTCATATGCAAGAATGCTACTACTATTTACGGGAACGGAAAGGTCTACAATACGATGCGCTCGAAGCTGTACTTGGGAACCCGTTTACTTATCAACATACCCATCTCACGAGCGCTTCTCTCCTCCTTCTTTCCTCCCTTGCCTGTCTTCTTCTTCTCAATGCCCATGTCTGGCTTGCCACCAAGGGGAAGCATGGGCAATTCACCGTCTTTCGTCGCGTTCGCCATAAACGGTTTACCTTGTTTCTGCAACCTCTGGCTCGTGGGCTTTTGACTCTGAGCAGAATTTGATGCGTAGCGCAAGAATTCGCTCAAAAGGCCTCGCATAAACCTTGCTTCCCAGAACCCATTAAGAGCCGCAGATGTGTCGAAAAGAAGTTCTTCGATGGTCTCGTCCTCTGCATCCTGTGAATCGGATGCACCGAATGAAAGCCAAGCGCTAGTACCGACAGCATCCAGCGCACAGCTTAATAATGAGGCAATGATAGCGACGGCTTGGTTTTCTGGGTCTTCGGCGCCAGGAACTGTTCCTGACTCAACAAAATCGTACGATGATGTCCAGCCTCCGTTGCGCAACTCAGAGTGAAGAAGCTTGATCAATGATTTGAGAGCTTGGCGAGACATGTTGGATCGAAGAGCGGAGCTGACGACAGGTACTGGGAAGGTATGAAGTCGAATAAGTGCTGGGCGAAGAGTATGGCTGCGTACGAGAAGACCATTGTCCAACATAGACAGGGCATGGTCGAGATCGTGTGCAGCGGCTTCGATTTCTGAATCCAGATCGACATCCATATCGTCATTTTCAGCGCCGTTGCGCACATGGCCATTGGTAAGTAACCTTGGAAGGCCTTCTGTGTCAGGGCGTTCGTCCAGGCTGTGGATGAGCGCGCCAATCGCGTGCACTACTTCGCCTACAGGAAGGAAATGACTGTGATTTAGGACAGCGGACAGGATATGAAGTTCAGGATCGAACTTGATAATGGATTTTACGATATCGCCGTCCAAGACATCAATGGTCAACCCTTGCTGTTTCTTGCCATACTCTAGAAGAGCGCGACGAATGGATTCTTTGGTGACGAATCCCGATAGAAGAAGCCATTGGAATACGTTTGGTGGGAAGAAGACGATTTTAAGTGATCCTTGGCCAGGACTTTCCGTAGCGGGTTCCGTGAACTGGAAAATTCTACTGAGAGCAAAGAGGGCCTTGGGTCGGTGGCGATACCGTTGAGATTCAGTCACAACGGCCGGTAATTGCCATTTTCGCAGTGCTTTCTCCTTTGTATCACCTTCCCCGTCCATATCAATGGCACTGGAGTCATCAGCCACGCCGTTTGATGATTCGATAGCATTGTGTGAGGCATCGAAGGAGAGGGGGATGTCCAGGTCCTGCGCAAAGGACTCTTCAAAATCGGCAACGTTTCCTTTCGAAGCTTGTTTGCTCAGCTTTTGTGCCCTTTTCTTCCATTCAGACATCTCTTTCTCAGAATACACATGACCGATGCCTTTTCCAATCGAATCAATAAGAAGAGAGCCGGTTGTCCTTGGCCTTTTACGGGCAATTGTGCCGCTGAGTGGAGTTCCGACTAGGTCATGTTTGCAGATGCTGACTACAAGCTTAAGCTCGCTGAAATAAGTGACCAGTGTTGGTGACACTTCGTCCTTGTCTGCCGGCTTGGGTTCTGATTGCTTCCTTTTCTTGGATTCTGGAAGGATGGCGTTCCCGTGCTCAAAGGTATGCAGCGCCTGCACAGAGCTGTATTTGACATCAAATAACCCACATGTCTTCCCCGAAGCTGCAAAAACCAGGTCCGTGGAAATGCGCAAGAGAGTATCCATACCTGCGTCGGGGGCTTGGAAGCTTGAGTAAATCCTGGGAGTTGTGCTTGTCAGATCGTATGAGATGAGCTGGCTGCCGGCCAGTTCATGAAGTACACCGCTGGAAGCATGAAGCGCGTAGTGTCGCACGGCAGTGTCTTTGACAGATGAGGATGAGTGAGGTGCTAACGTCCATGTCAAAAGCTGCTTTACCGGGCTGAGCTGATTGCTGATGCTATCTGGCGATCGCGGTTGCAACTGGAAGATCCCGAGTGATCTTTGGTGATTAGAGCGTCGGAAGATGATGCAAAGAACGGGGGTTAAGTCCAAGATTTCCGCGTCTCCAGCAAGCGATGAGTCCAAAATAACAGCAATATCCTCCCTATTCTTCAATAGACCGTCGATGGCAGCCTTCCCAGTTGTGCAAGCAACATATTCAATCTCCAGAGCATCCCCGAACGGTGGCAGCAAAGACTGCACATTAGATTCCCATCTCTGTTCCTCAAGATTGGCGCTGAGACATTGAATGCGCCCATTCTGGAGAACCACAATGACATCGTGCGATCCATCAGACACGGTGTATGAATCGATAGCCACTACTTTGTCCGAGAGAACGAATGTTGTCTTCACCGTGTCTGAAGTCCCATCCTTCTGTGTGGATTCGGCGAAGCATAGAAGCTGAGAATCTGTCGAGGCCGGTTGCGATATCGCCGCATATGTATGCCGATAGGCTGGCCCTTTTGAACTTCTCCGCCTATAAAGCGAGTGAGGCGCACTTGCGAAAGAAGTCTGAGGGGGTAGTGCGTAGGACGTGACTAGTTGTGGATTTTGAACCTGCGATAGTGTGAATGCTTGTCAGGGCGTTGACAGGATAAAACCTACGCTGTATACCAGAATCCCTTCTCCGTCAACTCCGACGACTACTTCAGTCCTCTTCCTCTTTTTGGTTCCATTGATGCTGAAGACGCAGGCAGCCTGTGTGCGCCCAACTGCATTGATGGGATGTGGTAATGATGCAATAGTGAAAGGCGCACCAATTTCTTGAGTAGACGACATCGCAATTACCAGACAAGGTCCTGAAAACCTCTTAGACGTCCGGTGGTGTCGTCAAGCTTCGAATGGAAAGCTGCACTAAGTGAGGAAACTGCGAACCATAAATTTTACGATCTCGAAATGATGGCAGAAAAGTGAAGGCGGTGGCCGAGGAAATCTTGGCACCCGCCAGCACGTGATCAGTTTTTACGGACGCGTCTCTGGGTCCGCCGCGTTACTTCCCGACTGAGCACTGACGTCGCGAACGCGCCTTCTCATTCGAAGTCGCCGTAATATATTATCCTGCCACCTATTTCCACGACACAACACGACAGCCTCAATTGCTTTTCAAGTTCCTTTTTCTCTTCTACTATTACTCCGCAAGGCGTTGGAAATGTGCTAGCTCCACGAGAAATTTACCTTACCATTACATGGCCATGACTGCGGTTCGTACCGTAATGCATCTGGAGGAAAAGAAATCTATACATCCCTTTTTTACGAAACCTCAGGGTGTGTACCGGATAGAATCATGAACTTGACACTATTCTTACTCTCGTATAGGTGAACCATTATCAGAGCAGCCCAAAGATGCCAACGAGTCCCCATCCAGCACAGCTATCGAGACATCGAATTATGAACAACCCGCAGCGGATGCGAACAATCTGAAGCCTCGAAAGAAACGGTCACGAAACTCAGGCGGAACAAGTCTTCATAAAACCAACGACAGTAATGGTGGAAACCAAACTTCACTTGAGCAGTTCACTAGTGGGACCCAGAACGGGAAGCTAGCCATTCACCCAGGTCAGCAATTGCAAGAGGACAGACTACCTCCCATACAAGCAGAAACAAACGAAGAGCGTCGAAAGCGTCGAAAAACCGCCTCGCCAGGCCCATCTGATACACAACACGACGGTACACATGAGAGGGCAAGCTCCTGTCAACCCGAGCAGATACAACATGAAAATGCGGCTAATATCGAGTCGAAGATCGATGCCAACTCAGATGCTGTGGCTGTACAAGGAATATTGTCGGATCTCTCTGGCGAGAAGGCTGAACATAATGCTGACGCCACGGCGGTAACTCCAACAAAGAGCCAAAAGAGAGTGCTTAAAGTCACCAAGAAGGGGAAACTCCTCTCGTCTCCTCCAACGAAGTCCACGCCGGAACAAGGTAATAGCCCGAAGAGAAGACGGACACGCAAGACCTCCAAACCCAAGCCTCCCTCTACGATTACAATAATTACCTACGGAGGGTCAGATGTTACCAATCGTCAGCTGCTCGGAGAGAAGATCGATTTGATTCTCAATGGCAAAAAGACTGTTAAATCGTCCCCATCGTCAACAAGTAAGGCGACTATCAAGCCGAAAGGGCCACCAAAGGCAACCCATCCCTTCTTTCTAGGGAAAAGTGCACCGGTAAAGGACCCCGACCCATCTTCAGATCTCAAGACTATCATTCCCTCACCTCCACCTAAAGGGCCTCGAAAGACCGCAGTGACCCCAGGAAAACTCCGTGCAGAGGGGTATAGTTTGCAGTCCGCTCGCCACGTCCCCTCGTTTGGGCCTATTGCTGGAGATAGCCATGTGCCGAAATTTGCTGGAATGAAAGAAGCTCTCTGGCCGTCCAAAGACACCGCACATGTTCGTAGCATCGACGATTTGGAGCATTCGCAAATACCAAGACCGGAATGTCTAGAAACCTTACGTAAGGGCAGAAAACTCAAAAGCCACATCTCTAATATAGCACCTGCGGAGGACTTGATCTCAAGACTTGGATGTGAACTCAGGAGCATTCTTGTGGACGCAAAGGGAAGCGACATATTGAACCAAACAAAACAACATGGACACGTTCGATTACCCACTCGATTATTGACTACAGGTGTGAACATCCAGGAACGATTGTGCGAGGAACTTAAAACTGCACCAACAAACCGGTTTCTGAACCACCATTTCAACAGCATCGAGCATACCCTTACACCTTTCGACAAAGGCGAGTGTGAGCAGCAGTCTTGGGTTCAAAAATATGCTCCATGTTCTGCGACCCAAGTTCTCCAGGCCGGTAAAGAGGCCATCGTTTTGCGGGACTGGCTACGCAGCCTGACAGTCATGTCCGTGGAAAGTGGGAAAGATGCCAAAGAAGCTAACACCGCGACGGTGGAGCTACGGAGACATCCAAAAAAGAAAAGGAAAAAAGCAGAGAACGATTTCATTGTCGACGACTTCGAAGATTTTGCAGCCGAAGACATGATAGAGATATCCGATGGCGAAGACTACGGTGGACACAGCAGGCCTATATCCCAAGGAAAAAGTGTGAAGCAACCCCAATTTACCAGAGACAAAAATGTCGTAATCATTAGTGGCCCTCATGGCTGTGGTAAAAGCGCCACTGTCCACGCCGTTGCTAAAGAGCTAGGGTTTGAAGTCTTTGAGATCAACTCTGGAAGCCGTCGTTCTGGGAAAGATATCCAAGATAGGGTCGGAGACATGACTGCCAACCACTTGGTTAACCACAAGCGACAAGACGGTGCACCTAAACAGCAAACAGCAACCGCCGATGACACAGATGCCGAGCGAAACGCCTTAGCCTTGCAAAACGACATAGACAGCGGACGGCAAGGCACTATGACCTCATTCTTCAAGGGAAACCCACAAATAGGAGTGAAACTAAAATCAACCGTAGACAAACACAAAAAAAGGGATTCCCAAGCTCAAACTACCCTCCTACCGCCGAAATCTCAAAAGCAGTCATTGATCTTGTTCGAGGAGGCGGACGTGCTTTTCGAAGAAGATCAACAGTTCTGGGCGCAGGTAATCAAACTTGCGTCTCAGTCGAAGAGGCCTATCATCATTACGTGTAATGAAGAAGCCCAAATTCCAATATATGACCTTCCGTTGGGGGCAATATTACGTCTATCCCAGCCTCCTTCCGATTTAGCCACAGACTACATGCTCACATTAGCAGCGAAAGAAGGCCACATTGTCAAGCGCCAGGCAATCTCAGATTTATACCGATGCAAACGTCAAGATCTTCGGGCTAGCATCACTGAGCTTGATTTCTGGTGCCAAATGTCTGTAGGCGACAGGAAAGGTGGTCTAGAGTGGATATATCAGCGCTGGCCTCCGGGAAAAGACATCGATGAGGATGGCCGACCTCTTCGAGTCGCTAGTAAAGACACATACCAAGCTGGCATGGGTTGGCTGTCGTATGATCTAATGCTCTCGTCCGATGACATTGGTTTCAGTGTCGAGGAAGAGCTATTGAAGGAGGCTTGGGAAGACTGGGGGCTCTCACCCGAATGGAGAACCGCATCTGGACCCACTGCTCCCATGACCACAGAAATATCGCATTTGGATGAGTTGGCACAACTTGATGCAATGCTCGAATCCTGCAGCGCCGCTGATGTTTACTGTCGAGTGGGTCTTCCCTCTTACGAACAGGTAATCGACGAACCTATCAATACATCAGAGTCCCGCCTATGGGAAAAGGAACGCGCTAGCTATACTATAGATGCGTCCCTATTGCAATGCGATCAAGCGAATGATTATGCCGCCTTCGACACAAGGATATTCATCCAGAGCCGATTAGCTATCCAGAGCCTACGTGGAAGCAAGTCACAAGCTGTTACCGACTCCGAATTCAATTTCAACGCGGCAATAGCCCACCACGTTCAAACCTCCGAGAATACTACATCCCTTGACCGGTCAAATTTTTCCCAAGCGTTTGACATTCTTGCCGAATCATCTCCTACGACTACCTCATCCTACCAACTTATTGCTTCATCTTTTGACCGCACATTCCGCATCATGGCAGAAGACCTGGCACCGTTTGTTCGCTGCATCGTGGCTCATGAGTTACGTAGCGAGGGAGAGCGTGTTCGTCGCAGCAACTTGCTCAGTGAAGGTGGCAGAAGTAAGCGTCAGCGCACAACTAAAGCAAGTCGAACGGCGCTCGAAGGGGGCACGAGAGAGACTAAGAGGAGGGAGAGGTGGTTCGATCAAGATCTGAACCGTTCCCTAGTCATGGGTACAGCTGGACAATCCTGGAGTGGACTAGGAGCAATAGGAGAAGTGAGTGAACTAGAGTATTCGACCAGCACTCCCGCCAGTGTAACAAGTACGCCAGAGTGAATGTGCATGGAAGGATTTGGCGTTTATATTCAACACATGATACCACATAGCATTGCATGAAGACATGAGATTATGCATTTCAAGGGCATATTAGGGGTCATTTTACATACCGGGTATCTATGAAAAAATACTGCATAGGCGTTCTATAGACCGTACGCCAAATCCGTCGTTTGATCTTGTATCCTCCTTTTGATCGCCACCTAATAATTGTGATCGTGATTCGTAATCCAGCAACACTTCTGACTTGATTCTTGACAGACATCTCACACCTCAATTTACAAGATCTCGTCCTCCACCTCGGTCACCTGCTTCACTTCTCCAGAGATATCAGCGACCACCGCAGTATCTTCTTCCGCATTTGCCATTTCTTCGTCTCCCCAGACTTTTCGTTCCGTGCTTGGTTCGTCATCCTCCTCTTCAGCGAGAGCATTGAAGGCATTTTTACTTTTTGCCTTCACTTTCTCGCCATTCACCTCGTCCCAGCCTTTCGCTCGCTCTCTGATGACCTTCTCTCGTCCCAGACTCTTTTGTCTCTTTAGAGCCAACTTCTCTACATTATTATCCGCTCGCTCCATTCCTTTCAAACGTCGCAAATTCTGTTGTCGCTTAAGTTGCTTCGACTGCGATCTCTTGGTAACACCGCTCGACTGCGCAGCTAATACATGGGGTTTGGGGTCGACATTAGGTGGAGCTTTTGCTTCGGAAGGTGTAGGCTTGAGCGACTTGTCAAGATCGATTGATGGAGAGGCGGCACGTCGGGCGGCCCGTGAGTGAACGGTAGCTTCTATACAGATGTTAAAATCGAGTTTTTCTGAGCAGCGATGGCACATCATACGGCGCTTCTTCAGCTTTGCTGTCTTGGCCATTGTGAAATTTGGTACTATTGTGTGGTGGGAATAGTTTTTTGTGCGACGAGGTCAAAACGGCCTGTACTTTTTCCGTAGTATGAGACACACGCCCGCGGGGTAGTGCTCTGGAACAGTGATGGAAGTAGAAGAATATGCTTGAAGTACAGCGTGGCCCCCAATATATTGAGTGGTCAGATGGTCTCCTAAAAGGGTTTGTAGGAAGGTTTTCTGGTGATTTAGCGGCGCAATAACCATTACCAGATTTCAACAAAAAAAAGTGGTTTCGGAGGTGAACGCCAAGATGTTCATAGGTCGCCGCGTTCCTCATATGAGCCACCAATCGCTCACGTCTGTCCTCGCCACTGCGCGCACTTTCGGATCGCGACGATACGGTTATATTACCTGCGCCTGTCTATCTCCATGTCGTATACATTCCCAGGAGATCTATCCCGTTTGCTGTTTTTCGCTACGGCCTGTATGCGCTGGCCAGAACGTTGAAATATCACGACCGCATCGCTCTATCCTATATCCACCCTCCCGAACAAAACAACCCTTCACAATCGCCGCGAGACAATCTACAGAATTCACATAGACCTGGCTGGAGTTATGAGCGACCAAGACCTTTGGGACCGTTATAACCGCCAGTCTAGTAGTCCATGGACGAGTGAATGGTTCACCGGAGACTTCTCCAATATAACAATCGGGTCATGCCTCGCTGGGCTTTTGACAGGCGCATTCATCATTTTTAAAACACTAGAGATACTTGGGTATCCTGTCTGGTTGTGGCTACACTGGGCAATGGCGGCGATCTCAAATACTTTCTCAAGTACTAGCAGTAACGGAACTGCTAGTGGCGATACGCAAGACTCAAATATGCAGAACGGCAGCGCGAAAGTCTTCGGCAGTGTATTTGGGCTGAGCAACGGACTTATCGGAAAAGGTGTAAGAGGCGTCACCGGTGCGCTCTCTAAGAGCTACACCAGCGACGTGCCCGCGGGTTTGGGCAACTGGGATAATTCTTGTTATCAGAACAGCGTGATTCAAGGCATGGCTTCGCTACCTTCTTTACGCGAATACCTCCACAAGACAACAGCTCAGTACCGCAGCCTTGACAAGGAGACTACTAATGGGGCGCTCTATGATATGATCAACAATCTTAATAACCCAGAGCATCGAGGTCAACACTTTTGGATCCGGGGGAAACTGAAATCGATGAATACTTGGCAACAGCAAGACGCACAGGAATATTTCTCGAAATTGTTGGATGAGCTGGATAAAGAGGTACAGAAAGCGACCACACAAAAACGAGAGACCAGCGCTTCGTGGGTGCTCAACGTGAAGAGGCTAGCTGGCCTATCTTCAACAGCACAAAAGGACGACACAGAAGAGGAGGATGAGGAAAACGAGGAGGGCGAGCCGGAGGATGTTAAGGCTGAAGAGGAGGATTCTGTACCGCCCAAGCCCCCACAGGTCACGCCCAATCCCCTCGACGGCCTCCTTGCTCAACGTGTTGGGTGCATAAACTGTGGATATACTGAAGGATTGTCCATGATCCCGTTCAACTGCATCACGGTTCCCCTAGGAAGTGGCAGATCTCATTATTACGACGTCCGAGAGTGCCTAGACGAGTATACCAAGCTAGAGTACATCGAGGGCGTTGAATGCGCCAAATGTACCTTGCTCAAGGTGCACGACACCTTGACCAAATTGGCACCAGTACCGGATTCTCCCTTTGCAGAGCGTCTTCGCGCTGTGCAGGAAGCACTCGATGAAGAAGATTTCGAAGATAAAACACTGAAGGCTTGTGGCATCGCCAAAAAGAATTGGAGTCAGACTACGAAGTCGCGCCAAGCTGTTATTTCAAGGGCTCCAAAGGCTGTTGTACTCCATGTGAATCGAAGCATATTTGACGAGATGACTGGAGCACAATTGAAGAATAGTGCCCCTGTGCAGTACCCACAAGTATTGGATCTCGGGCACTGGTGCTTGGGCAGTCAACTGCCCGAGTCACCAACCCCCAGTGATGTCGCTGAAGAGCGATGGCCAAAAGATCCCAATGTTTCCATGCTCGGAGAACTAGCCGTTGATCCTGAAACGAAAACTCTATCACCTTTCCAGTACAAGTTGCGAGCAGTGGTCACCCATTTCGGAAGCCACGGGAACGGCCACTACGTGTGTTTCCGTCAACACACAAGTTACAAGAACGAAGTCTCAACAGATGGCGAAATTCCAATAGAGTCCTCGCCTGACGAGCAGTGGTGGCGGTTTAGTGACGAGAATGTTTACAGAGTTTCAGAGGATGCCGCCCTACACCAGGGTGGCGTCTTCATGCTATTCTATGAACGCATCGATGTGGAGGTCAGCTCCTTACCGAGTCACAAAGAAGCAAATTCGGCCCCTGTCAGCCTGCCCGAAGAATCGACAGGGACAAGCATTGCGCTATCCAACGCAGAGGCAATTGCATCGAGCATAGAAACGGCCGCAGAAGTTGAAGAACCCGAAGGTATATCTGAGAATCACCCACTCTCTCCACCGGCGTCACCAAATCTTACGCCTAGTGATTCACCGACCAAACTTACTAAGATGGATCGTTGTCTCGAGGAGAACAATGGTGCTAGAAGTGCCTATCTTACACCACCACCTGAAAGCGTGGCTTGTGACAGCGAATTAGATGCGGACACACCTAAAACTATCGATGATGGGTCTACCAAAGTCCCATCTATACGAACGCCAACAGATGATGAGCAGACACGTGTAGATATGGTGACTGAAACTCGTGAAGAGGTGCTGTCATCTGTTCAAACGCAATCACCGAGCCCTCAAAAGATGCGAACAGCCGGTAGCACATCCAATCGGACGAATGATAACAGATCAAGCTTGCCCATGGTTAGCGTATGAAGATGGACCGAGATTACGGGATGCATCTATACGGCGTTTATTGTTTCTTACACGCATGGAATGGAGTATCTCGTGAGCATCCTAGGCGCCTTCTATCGCCGACACGGATAGCATTTTTCTATGCCATTTTTATTGCAGCATAATTTAGCAAATACCTAGACTAACAATTCAATTACAAATGCCACGTCCATATATGTAACAAGTCATTCCAGTAGTGGATACAAAATAACCCGCCTCTGTGCAAAACGTGAGTCGTTGAAATGCGAGCAACGTGGTTGGGTCGGACGCAACACCGTAACTCCGAGCGAGTGACGTCTTATCGATAGAGGTTGAGTAGTAGAACGTCATCCTCGGCTTAATGATGTTCATGAGGAAAACAACACGAATATTCTTCGTCATCTTCCTTATGAGCCTACTCACAGCTACCATCAAACGTAACCCGTTCAAGTCACTATCGAAGTCTGTCTTCAAAGTAAGCCTGCGGCCTAGCATCATTTCGCGCAGCCATAAGCTAATTGCAAAGCCCGTACCAACACGCGCCATGCATATCCAATCGATTCCCATGTGTTAGAGTACCTTCATGGGCTTACTTGCACACAATCTAACGCTCTATAGGGGAAGGAACGGGCAATAATTATGCCTACCTTGTCACCGATGACAAGTCAAAAGACGCTGTCATTATTGATCCAGCAAACCCACCAGAGTAATTCTAGCCCCCTCTGATTATTCAACACATGATTTGATTGACCTCTCTTGCAGAGTTCTGCCAGTATTGAGGGAAAAGACGGATAGTGGAGCTATTAAACTTTCCAAGATCATCAATACTCATCAGTAGGTTCTTGGTGGTGCATTGTTGTTGTATAAAACTAACCTTGGTCGCCAGCCACCACGACCATGCTGGAGGAAACGTCGAAATCGTAAGTTCACTTTGCTTTGGGAGGTATCAAGGATGGTCCGTTGATATTTGCAGCTTAAACATTTCAAACTACCCATTATTGGTGGCAAAGACTGCGACAAAGTAACAGAAACACCACCCCATAAATCTACTTTCACGATCGGCGAGAACATCAAGGTCACCGCACTCCACACTCCCTGCCACACTCAAGACAGTATCTGCTACTTCTTTGAGGATGGCAATGACCGTGTCGTCTTCACTGGTGACACTCTCTTCATCGGTGGCTGTGGACGCTTTTTTGAGGGCAATGCAGCGGAGATGAACAAGGCCCTCAATGAAGTCCTTGCTGCTCTACCCAACGATACCAAAGTCTATCCCGGCCATGAGTACACGAAAGGCAATGTCAGATTTGCAAAGAAGGTATTGAACAATGATGCCATTAAAAGATTGGATGAGTACTCTCAGGCAAACAAGGAGACCCAGGGCAAATTCACAATCGGTGATGAGAAGGTATATTCATTGCATAATTCATGTCTCTCACCACGCTAAACATATTTTCCAGGAACACAATGTCTTCATGCGTGTCAATGATCCTGACATCCATGCATTAGTCGGAAAAGATCAACCCGTGGAGGTCATGAAGACTCTCCGAGAAATGAAGGATAGGTCGTGAAAGACTCGTGAACCCAAAAGCATAAAATGCATAGCTACATAGTCCCATAATCAATGGAAAATGGCATTCTGACTACAATCGAATCAAACTGAATGTGAAAAAGATGATTAATAATTGGTTGTACGCTTTCCAATTGGCGCCACAGAAGCGGGGCACCAAACATCACCCACATGCTGCATAGGTGGGGTGGGGCCGTGGAAAAATTCTGCTTAAGCATCACCAACACTCCGTACAGTAGAATATGCACAGAAGAATTACAATGCATTGAGCACTTTATTTAACTCTGGATATGTGTTTTGCAATTTCAAAATCATTCATCAATCAAACAACACGATCAATTGATTCGGCCGTGTGGCCCAATGGCAAGGCGCTTGACTACGATTAAAGTGGTATCAAGAGATTCCAGGTTCGACCCCTGGCACGGTCATCTTTTTTTGCATTTTCATACCTCTAGGTTGGAAGTGTTTCCACCTATTCATTCGTGTTTTTAGGTGTCCTGGTAGCTCCATCAAAAAAAGGGGGATAACTACTAGATGTAGTATCTGCTTTCGCTTTTCTTTTTTGCTTCCTGGAACTTGTCAAATGTAAAGTTCTATCATCTCTGGAACAACGTTTAGGCTTGATGTAAGCCGACTTTGAATTTTAGATTTTTAAAATGTAAATATTCATTTAAAAATTCTGTACCTTCCTAGATTTCTGTATAAGATTGTTGGATGGTGTCTCTTTCTTATATAGACTTTCTTAGGGGGCATAGTTTAGCATTTAAAACTAGCATTATTTTAGGTTACAGAGTAATTCCATGTCATATATTATTTCCCTGCTCTCCTTTGACTTTGTTCTTTTGTTCCCATGCTTGTTCATTAAACTATTTCAACATATTGCAAACAAATCAATGCTACTGTAAAAAGGTTCACTACTGCAACTAGAGAGAGAAACAAGTACAATTTTGAATAGGTGCACATAGTTAAGATATGAGATACACATCTCATACGTTATCATCCCCCGACCTACTCAATTGTAAGCTTTTAAGTATTGCCTAAAGAAAAGGTGTTGTGGGTCATGGCTTCGTGACAAGTCGCCGTGGAGGCCTTCAAGAGACCGGAACAGGATAATGTGTGCTTTGGACGTATCCGAGGGTTAGGGAAGGAATCGTGGACGTAGCACTTTAACCCTGTTGACTGACAAGAAGAAGGATGTCTGCTAAAAACCTTGATGTTGCTTATTGCGTGTACTGTGTGGCTGTGAACAGAGCTAAGAAAAAAGGGAAAGATTGATCAAAAGACTTGAGAGGCCGGACATCGAAGTATGTGTAGATCTGTGTAGAGAGCTATTTCATTTGATAAGTACTGAGCTGACTTGTGAGGCCCCAATAGCTTAGCAAGGCAGATGATCTTCAGCACTGAGTTTGACACATACATCCATGTGAATTTGCTTTTTAGTTCGCTATGATATAGCAAAATGGAATGAAGTGATGCAACTGATTACAACACGATGACTCAACACCGAAATTGAAGCCTTAATGCACAACCATGTGAAACCAAACATGGGACTGTTGTATGCATAGTACAAAATCTCTAATTTAAGGCACTAGAGTGCATCTAGAAAGGGCCCTATGCGAATTTCTGTAGCAAATTATGTATGGTCGGGCTTATCGAGAAGGGCTTGATTGCCAACCAATTTCCATTCCCATTCCATTCCAAGGTTGACGTAATGAGAAAGCAACCAAGCATCGCCTACTCAAATCTTACTCGAAGAATTTGAGAACTAGACTTTTGCTTCTCGGCCCATCTCGACAGTGCACAGCTGTAACGAGGCGGATCACTGGTTTTACATGCTACCAGCCTTAGCACCTGAGCCTCTCTTCAAATACTTTAATATTTTTAATCGACCCTTAACGTTCTGCTTTAGTCTTCTATGCTGTCGACTGTAGTCGCTGTGTTACAGTTGGGCCCTTCAAACAGACGGACATTGCCTCGTCACTGCTATAGACACAAGGAGAGTTTTTGGAGATGAATAATGTATTGATATAAAGGAGCTCAATAGCCCATGCTTGCCCGCTTTGTACTTATGCAATGCAATCCTAATGCCATGCTGAACTAAAATATATGCATGAATGATAACGCCGAGGTATATTGCTCGCTCCAGTCGCTGATAATGCCAAAAATGAATCATTCGTCGTCTTCGTCATAGTCACCTTCTACGTCCGCCCATCCAGCCTGCCACCTACGCCCTTCCGTCTCGCCTTTCAGCCTCAAGTCACGCGCTTGTCGACCTTCTTTCCACCTCCGCACTGTACAATCATCGCCAACGGAGACTAAAGCCCCGTTTCTTAACCAGGAAACACTCGTGACTTCAGCGTTGTGGCCACGAATGAGGGGCGTGCCATGTTCATAGATAGGAATAGTGTCTTCCAGAAGACTTGGGAATCGGCTGCTAGTACTAACGCTGCGTGATGAATGCAACTGAGAGGTATTGACAGATGAGAGTTGAGGAAGTTCATCTTCCTCTTCGTCATGTTGTTGTGGATCACGCTTGAGCAGCCTTTCATCGGTGGGGAACAAAACGGGACAGCCATCTGTGCTTCCCACAGCCAGAAGTTCGGATCGGTCGCCTTGAGCTTTGCGAAGAGAAGCCTTTACGTAGAATGATCCTGCATGAAAATTTCGGTGTCGGAAACCATAAATGGGACCAAGACCTTCCTGACCAACGGCGCCAAATCTTTGACTGGAAGATTGCAGGGACAGTTCAGGGGCGACCCCAAGAATGAGATGGCTCATTGAATATGCATAGACTGTGTTATCTTTACTGAGTGCATACAGTCTTGTTGCATCACCGTTTAGTGTGAGCGAATTGACAGCATAGTGTCGGTGTTTGTTGTGTGATTTAGGCTGAGAAGTTGTTGATACAGGCAAAGCAGGACCGCGTAATGAGTAGCGGCCTCGAATGTCCCACAGTTTAATACTTGTGGATGCATCTGATGCAGTCAAAAGCAAATGCTTCCGGCCTTCTGGAAGGAAGGACAGGGCTGTGACTGAGATATCAGATCGACGATTGACCGCCTCGCTCTTCCCTGACATCTCTCTTGACCCTTTCATGGATGCCATTGAGCTCATGTGCCCATAAGCGCTATCAGCATGAGCTGAGGTGAAAGTCCGGATAGAGCTGGCGTAAGGGGCGTCAGGACCCCACGCAGAGTGCACGTTTGTTCCACCACTACATCTGAGATCCCATATATGGACCGCGCCATCTCTACTAGAAGTGGCTACGATATTATCCTCTCCAGGTTGGAAGCGAACTTGTTTCACGGACGATTTATGTTTTGCGAGTACGCTCACGCACTGTTGCGTACGCGCATCCAATATCTGAGCAGTTTGGTCTCCCGATCCTGTGGCGAGGTACATATCGTCGGAAGAAAATTGGATGTCCATGATGGCGTTAGAATGTGCCCGGAATGAGAGGTGAGACTTGGTAAAATCCGAGGAAGCGGTATCCTCTGCGTCAAGCAAATGAACCCAGCCATCTTCATCTCCTACCGCAACCATGAAATTTGTATTGCAGCTCGCGGTACAGAATGGTGGAGCACCTTGAGAGAGTTGGTGATAGTCGTCAGAGCCACTATAAAAGTTGGCCGTGTGATCTTGCCAAGAAGCACAATGATCCTGGACGTAGCCTCGGCCTACGCTCGAGATACCACCAAACGATCGCTGCAATATCCGTGATGTGCCTCCCAAGCTCTTTAATCGTCGAATTGGTGCAGGGAATACGGGAGCTTCATCGAAAATAGGTTGCTCATCCTGGAGAATGGTGAAAGGGGGTGGAGTAACGTATCGGCAACGTTTGGAAGGTGACGATTGTGCTGGGGAGGTTTCTGGGGATAGATAGGGTCCTTTGCGTTTTCGACTATTCGATTCAGGAGTTTGAGGTTGTGTATCCTCCATTGCATCTGCAAAATTTACCGTCTTCCGAGGTGTTGTCCGGCGAGTGGCATTCCGACGGTTTATAGCGGATTGTGTGATTTCCTGGAGCTGGCGTCCTGATCTCCCGAGAGTTGATGAAGACCCTGACTTGGTGTTTCGAGGAGTAAAGAATCGGGTGAAGCGTTTTGGAGTGATGGGCGGCGGTTTCTTCATCTTTCTTGAGCCCATAGTTGGTGCAGGTGGTGGTGATGACGACAATGCAAAAGGCATCTCTGATAACGGGTTGTAGTGGCATTCGCCGGTAGGAAGAGGAGAAGACATGGCTCAAGGACGTTACACAGACAGTGATATAACAATTAGGCCTTTGTAGAGAGGAGAAAGACGACGAAGAACCAACAGCAGAGATGACAAGCGGAGGCAAAAGCATAGATCAAGCTGGGAGAGGTTGGAGCTATGCACAGGCCCCTCGATCGCGACGCGACAGTCGCGATTCTTCGCGCAAAGTGGCTTGGCACCAGGGACACTTTAGTCCGAGTTTGGGAAGATGTCCACAGCAACACCACGACCACCAGAAGTAGACTAGACGTCGGCGGACGGAGAATCAACAACCACCGCCCCCACTTTTTTTTCCTTGAAGCAGCTCTACCCAAAAGTTCTGGAAAAATTGTTGTATGCGTCTCGTGCTTTGCGCAAACACCCCTCCACAGTCGCAATGGCACCCATAAAACGAAAAGCAGAGGGTGGAAACGCCCCTGCGAAGAAGGAAAAAATATCAACAACCGACAGGTCTTCCAAAAGACGCCGGACATCCGATGCTGCTGCCGACAACGCAAAGCCTGCCAACTCTAAGTCCTCTAGCATTGCTCAGAAATCGGTCTTCAATGAGGAGGAAAAGTCATTCCCGAGAGGTGGCGCAAGCGTGCTGACACCATTGGAGCACAAACAAATTCAGGTCAAGGCAAATCAGGATGTGCTTTTCGAACAGGCCGGTCTCAAGCCCTCCGGCGCTGGCGACTCGGACGGCGCAGAGTCGGATTTCGATGTCGACATGGAGGATGCACCAAAGGCATCGAAGAAGAAGAAGAAGTCAAAGAAGGGGAAGAAGAATGACAATGACGAGGATGTAGAGAAGATAATCAAAGTTGAAAGTCTTAGTTTCAAGGTGCGCAATGTTGAACGAGAACTATGCTATCGCACGCTAACAGTTACCAGAGACTCGCACAAGGCACCATGGTACTCGGTCAGGTCGCCGAAATCACCTCGAGAGATATAGTTCTTGCCCTGCCTAACAACCTCGTCGGTTACGTTCCCCTCACCGCCATATCTGACAAGATGAACGAAAAGATTGAGAAGTTGATCGCTGAAGAAGAACCAACCGACGAAGGTGGTAGTGACTCTGAAGACTCAGATGAATTGAATCTCGAGGATATGTTCTATGTTGGACAATACCTCCGCGCTCGCGTAACCGCAACTGGCGATGACAGTGTCGCAGAGGGATCGACAAAGAAGAGGATCGAGTTATCCGTCCAGCCCAGCCTTGTCAACGGCGGCATCGAGAAATCAAGCATTGTCGCCAACACTGCTCTTCAAGCATCCGTACGAAGCAAAGAAGATCACGGCCTCATCATGGACATGGGAGTGGATGACCCGAAATTGAGCGGCTTCCTAGCTAAAAGCGAGCTTGACCCCAAGATGGATTTTTCCAAGGTTCAGGAGGGATCTGTGTTCCTCTGCTATGTCTCTGGAACATCTTCGAATGGCCGAATCATTAAGTTGTCGTCCGATCACCAGAAATTTGGCAACCTGAAGAAGCTCAACCACGTATCTGAAGCTCCAACGATCGACGTTTTCCTTCCTGGTACCGCTGTAGATCTACTTGTTACTGATTCCACCGCAACAACTGTCACCGGCAAGATCATGGGAAGCCTCGACGCGACTGCAGATGTCATACATTCCGGATCGGCCTTCAAAGGGGATGATGTGAGTGAGAAATACAAGATTGGCTCGAGGGCAAAAGCAAGAATTATCTGCACATTCCCAGGTGCCGATCCCAAAAAAGTGGGCATTTCAATGCTCGATCACATCGTTGCTTTGGCCCCTTGCCTATCTGGAAAGCCGAAGGAAAAGAAAGACCCGCTCACATTAGCGCCACTCTCTTCTTTTATCGAAGAGGCGAAGGTTATCAAGGTTGAGCCTCGATCCGGTGTTTATTTTGATATTGGTATCAGAGATGTGTCGGCATTTGCTCACATATCGAGACTGACGGACGGTAAAATCGAAGTTCTCTCTGACGACTCTGGTCCTTTCAAGTTGGGAGCTAAGCACCGAGCACGAATTTTGGGGTATAACTCCCTGGATGCCGTTTTCCAACTATCTCTAGAGACCAAAGTACTCGAACAGCCGTTCCTCCGCGTCCAGGATATCAAAGTTGGTCAGGTTGTGAAAGGAAAGGTCCACAAGATCATTAACGACCGGAGGGGATTCACCAATCTACTTGTAAATCTCGCCGAAAATATCACGGGCCTAGTCCCTGAGATACATCTTGCCGATGTCCGACTACAGCATCCTGAGCGCAAGTTTAGAGAAGGAGCCTCCGTTACGGCGAGAGTTCTCTCTATCGACTACGAGAAACGCAATGTCCAACTGACTTTGAAGAAGTCTCTTGTTAACTCGGACATTGAGCCCTGGACTGATTATTCTGCCATTTCTGTGGGAGACAAGGGTGTAGGAACATTAGTAGATGTGCAGCAAGGCGGAGCGATCGTTCGATTTTACGGGGATGTCACAGCTTGGCTCCCAGCTGCCGAGATGAGCGAGGCATACATCGAAGATGCCACTAAACAGTTCAAGAAGGGCAGTGTGGTAAATGTCCGTGTGATATCGATTGATCCAAAGGCAGAACGGATGTTGGTATCCTGCAAAGATCCTGATGCTGTTGATCCTGAAAAGGATGCCCTCTTCAGGTCCCTGACCACTGGCGATATTGTGCGTGGCACAGTCATTGAGAAATCCGATGAGTCAATAACTGCCGATCTTGGCCATGGAGTGAAGGGAGTATTGAGGATTGGTCAGCTTACAGATGGATCAGAAAAGAAGGATAAGGCCACAATGGCGAAGGTTCGTGTTGGTGGACCTATCGAAGACGTGGTAGTGTTGGATAAACATGATAAGTCACGCACTGTTACCTTATCCAACAAACCAAGCCTCCGAAAAGCAGCACAGTCCACTACCCTTATCACGAAGTTCCAGGATATCCAGACAGGACAGGTCGTGCATGGTTTCGTGCGTGGCATTCTACCAAACCAAGTCTTCGTTGAATTCGCTGGGGGTGTGGTCGGCCTACTCTTCTCTTCCCAGATCCCAGACGAGATGAGAACTACTGTCAACTTTGGCCTCCGACGAGATCAATCAATCACTGCCAGAGTTACTCATGTAGACGTTGGGCAAGCACGATTCTGGCTCTCTATGAGGTCGGAGACTGATCCTGCAGCAAATTTCACCACGCCGGAGGTGACTGGAGAGGCAACCGTCAATGCCGTCGACGATAAGGTCAAATCTACGACTGATCTTCAGTTTGGAACATCGCTCAACGTCCGAGTCAAGTCCGTGAAAGACACTCAGGTTAACGTCCAGGTGTCGGATAATGTCCAAGGCCGTATCTCTGTGGCCGAGTTGTTTAACAACTGGGATGAAATTAAAGACAAAAAACGACCCCTGGCCCAATTCAAGGCGAACGACATCATATCTGCCCAGGTTCTCGGTGCTCATGATGCTAGAAACCACCGATTCCTTCCAATCACGCATCGACAAGGCAAGGTACCCATCTTCGAGCTTACAGCGAAGAAGGCAGAATTGAAGAGCAAGCACGATGTTTTGGCCCTAGAGAAGATCAAGAGCGGCTCATCGCATATCGCTTTCATCAACAACATTGCCGACCGCTATGTTTGGGTAAACATCTCTGCTAACGTCAGAGGACGCATCGCATTCCTGGATCTTTCCGATGACCTCTCGTTACTCTCCGATGTAGAGGCTAATTTCCCACTGGGATCTGCGCTAAAGGTCCGAGTCAAAGCAGTCGACACGGCTGCAGGCCGTTTGGATCTTACCGCAACATCTGTGTCGGCAAAGTCGTCGACATTGAAAGATATGAAGCCTGGACTTATTCTGCCCGCACGAGTCACCAAAGTTACTGGCTCATCAATCATCGTGCAAATCAATGAGAATATTGCTGGCCCTATCTACCAGGAACATCTCGCCGACGATTACGATCTAGCAAAGCCAACTGATCACAAACCGGGAGAGGTCATTCGTGTCTGTGTCACTGAAGTTGACCTGCCGAACAAGAAGCTTGGACTGTCCGCTCGCCCCTCGAGGGTGCTCAGCTCCTCACTTCCCATCAAGGATGTTGAAATCAAGGATAAATCGGAATTGAAGGTGCAGCAAGTCGTTCGCGGTTTCATCAAGCGCTTCGCTGACAATGGTGTTTTCGTACGTCTTGGTCCTCATGTCGATGCATTCGTCAAGATTGCCAACCTCTCCGACTCTTACATCAAAGACTGGAAGTCAGGTTTCCAGATTGATGAATTGGTTCAGGGCAAGATCATTGCCGCCGGACCCGACCTCCGTACTCCTCAGATGTCTCTTAAGAAGTCGATTGTGGAGGGCAACTTTGCTCAACTGCTTGAGTTCAGTGACATGACTGCCGGACAGATCGTTACTGCCAAGGTCCGAAAGGTTCAGGACTACGGTGTTTTCCTCGTTGTCGATAACTCACAGAATGTCAGTGGTTTATGCCATGTTTCTGAGCTTGCTGATAAGAGAGTGAGCGATGTCAAGTCTCTTTACAAGGAAGGAGATGTTGTGAAGGCCAAGATCTTATCAGTAGACACCGGAAAGAGAAGAATTAGCTTTGGCCTCAAGTACTCGTACGTGAGAGAGGAGAACGAAGAGGATTCTGACGAGGAGATGGGAAGTGGCGATGAGGATGATGAGGATGCATCGGACAGCGAAGACTTGGATGACGAGGATATCGAAATGCGCAGTGTGAAGGATGCTGAGAGCGACGAAGAAGATATTGCCGCAGATGCCGAATCCGAAAGCGACAACGACGATGAAGTTCCAGAAACCTCCGCTTTGACTGCAGGAGCTGGCTTAAGCACTTCGGGATTCGACTGGACTGGCGCCACTTTGGATTTCGACGAGCCTAATGCGGCCGCTGCTGCATCTTCTGACGACGAGGGCACCAAGAAGAAGAAAAAGAGCAAGAAGGCAACCATCAAAGAAGACCGAACAGGCGATCTAGATGCATATGGGCCCCAATCAGTCGCTGACTATGAGCGTCTCCTGCTTGGTCAACCTAACAGCGCCGAGCTCTGGGTCCGATACATGGTCTTCCAGCGTGAACTTAACGAGATCGACAAGGCACGCCAAATCGCAAGGCGAGCACTGGCAACGATGAATACTCGGGAAGAGAAAGAGCGACTTGACATCTGGACTGCCCTCTTGCATCTCGAGAACGAGCACAGCAGCGATGACACTGTCGAAGAGACATTCAAAGAGGCCCGCCAGAACAACGACGACCGCGAGATACATGAACGCATGATCAAGATCTACATTTCTTCTGGAAAGCTTGATGTAAGCTCCTCCCAATGTCCCTAATATTCCATGAACGTATTTAACTGACAAATGCAACAGAAAGCAGATGAGCTATATCAATCCATGATGAAGAATAAGTCCTTCACGCCTACCACATCCTTCTGGCTCTCATTCGCATCATTCCTTTTCTCAACCCTACAGCCGCCATCACCGGCTCGCGCTCGCGCACTTCTGCCTCGTGCCACGCAGTCCGTCCCCACTTCAGAGCACCGCTACTTGACGACCAAGTTCGCTGCTCTTGAATTCAAGTCCCCCAACGGCGATGCTGAGCGTGGTCGTACCATCTTCGAGGGCCTTGTCGACACATGGCCAAAGAAAGGTGATCTCTGGGACACGTATCTGAGTCTTGAGCTCAGCCACGGCAGCGAGAATAACGTCCGTGATCTGTTCGAGCGGATGAGCAAGCAGAAGATGAAGAAGAAGCGAGCGGCGACTGTGTTCAAGCGCTGGAGAGACTGGGAAGTGAAGGTCGGAAACAAGAAGGGAGTCGAGAAGGTCAAGTCTCTAGAAAAGGAGTGGAAGGAGAAGAAGGAGGAGGGAGACGAGCAGAACGACGCTGATGAGTAGAACCATATGTACATGCAGTACATAGCAGAAGACTTGGTATAAAGGAATCATGTACGCGACCGACTAAGGCATTTACAACATGCGCAGCGCATGCATACCGGCGTTATTTGATGAAAAGGGGAAACCAAAAATATGTAAAAATTTTCAACTTACCATCTTGTTATAAAATATCATTCACGTCAACCGTTATCCATGCGCTCCTTTTCAAAACGTTGATGCACATACTCGCCCCCTAACCCCCTCAAATCTTGCAACCACCTCCCTCCGTTCCATCAACCTCAAAATACAACCCCCAATGCAACTTACACCCCGGATTGAACCCACTCCCACACTTCGTACACTGGCTCCCACACCCCAGGTACTCGCTCACACCAAGCACATGCTTACACTTCCCACATAACACAGCACCCTGCCCTCCTTCATTACTCGCGTCCTTCTCGTACACTTCCTTCGGCCATGGGGCAGAAGCATGCGACTCAAGCGCGTCGTGACAGCTGATACAAGCGTAGAACTTCTGACAACAGAAGTGCTTTATGGCGATTATGTCGAGCGGAGAGTGCCAGTGGGTGCATTGGGTTAGGGGGGTCACGGAGAGCCCGTGGACTGTTGGTGGTGGTGGCATTATGGAAGGGATTGGGGGCTTTGTAGAGGGTTTGGAGAAATGGAGGCTTGGAGGTATGGAGTTGGGGTAGGTCTTTATAGTGGACGAGGGATGAGGTTTGTTGATGGTGGAGGTAGTTCAGAGGTGGGGTAAGCGGCTAGTAGTAGCTCGGAAATGAAATGCGTGCATCCAGTTCCGAGGGGTGATTGAATCATCTAGGAATATCACCATGTTAAGTCATGAAGGAGGATGATTCGAAATGATAGCTATTAACTATTTACATGCATATCGCCTATGCTGAGATATCGTTACATGGTTGAAACCGATCACCTTACCAGACAAATCTTCTGATGTGCTGGAGCCAAAATGGTAGGACTTTTTGAAAAGGATGCATACGAAGCTGTGATAGAAATCTGTACCAAGATAGAACACGCAAGCATCACGGTAAGATCACTAAGAAGGATATCACTCCTTACCTTTTGATCTTACCTAAAGCACCAGCTATGTGGCCATGCATACTTACATACCTACCAATAAACCAGAAAAAGAAACCCATGGAATATGTAATAACACAGAAAATGAAAGTCACCTTTGCCCTACCCTTCCCCCCATTCGCAGCCCAGATACCCATTTCATACTCTGTTTCGAAAAGCACTGGTCGCAAGAGTCGTGAAGGCTCGCATGTATGTTGGAGGGAAGGGTGAAGCCTTCCAAAGGAAAGTGGTGGTGGTGATAAGAAACCGGAGGTAAAGGGGATGCTGTCGTCGAGGAACAAAGCCAAAGCCTACATGGTCGATTCAGGTATTCAGTGACAAAATATTGTCCCTTACCCTTTGCAATGCGCTGCCATAGAGTTTGACGCTGAGTGGCTTACCCTGACTGGCGAAGAGGCTTAGGAGAACAAGTCGGTGTAATTGAAAGTACCTTTGACAAACCCAATTGGAGAAGATTCCGAGCCGCTCGATGAAGCTCAGTATCTCCGTCGTGTCCTCGGATCGTCGTAATTGTCGCCTTCGTAGCCACGTTTGCGTGAGCCATGGTCATCCCGGCCGCCATACCCACCGTCGCGGTCGCGATCTCGGTCGCGGTCTCGGTCACCACGATAGCTTCCACGGTCTCTGTTGCCGAGTGGTTCGTTGTTGGCTCCACTGGAACCACCGCTTCGATCGCCGTAACCACGTCTATCGTCGCCATGACGGCCACCGCCGCCACCACCGCCTCCATAGCCGCCCCGACCGCCGCCACGAGGTCCCGAAGGGGCACCATCGGGCGCGAAACCATTTGACTGGTATCCAATGCCCGACCTTCCACCACCACCGCCTCCACCGAAACCACCGCCTCGAGGACCACCAAAGCCGCCGCCACGGAAACCACCTCGATCGCCCCCGAAACCGCCACGACCGCCACGGAAGCCTCCCCCTCCAAAGCCTCCGCGACTTCCAAAGCCGCCCCCAGGTCCAGAAGGAGGACCAAAGCCCCCAGGGCCTGAGGGACCGCGAGCAGGTCCAGCCTTGGTGTAATTCCTTCCACCAAGTCCACCGCCAAATCGACGTGGGCGCCAGCCGCTAACAGTGCGACCGCGCTCCACATCGACGAGGACACGCCGATCTTTGATCTTGATACCGTCGGTCTCCTTGTAGGCGGCTTTCATATCCTTTTCGCGCTCGTAGACGATGAAGGCATAGCCGCGCTTGCGCTTCTTGAGGGGTGCATCGCTAGGCTGCGTGATGTCTTCGACGATTCGGATCCTTTCAATCGGACCATAACGACCAAATTCGCGCTCGAGGTCGTCAGAGGTCACGCCGTAAGCCAAACGCGACACGAACAATGTCTTGAAGGCATCGCCCTGGACCTTGGGGTCTTCGGCGGGTTTGTCTGTGTCAAAAGTCAGAATCAAGATCATCAAAATTGCGCAACCGAGTAATGTCGCATACACTCGAGGACGCCTTCGGTAAGCAGTTTTTCCTGTTTCTCCTTCTTCTCTAGTTTCTTGCGGTCGCGCTTCTGGAGCCAACTGTCTGTAGGCACGTAGCCATCATTATCCTTGTAATCCCTCAAGGCCTGCATATACTGGCCGATGCCGCCGATGTTGGGAGTCTGTCGTTTCTCGGGCGCGTGGTCGCTAGGCTCAACCCATCGCAAAGGTGGTCGCGGCGCGAAAAGGCTGAGTAGCATAGGCGGGAGTTTGTCCGTCATGATGAAGTGATGTCCCCACGGCTATGCGCCGAGGTGCAATCAGAGTCGAATGAAAGGAAACGGAAAATTAAAAGAGGGAGGAAGGGAGTGACGATGAAAGGTGGCAAGTCTGGTGTTTCTTGAGGACGGGGAATGTTCTTTCAAGGAGAACCAATGCTCCTTCCCGTTTCTGGGATCTTGGCGCTCGTTGCCTAACACGTGATAGCGCCAATCTCGAAAACTTACGAACGTCGAACATATCATCAATTGAAGCAGTCCACCCAACATCCCGTTGCAATATGCCTGTTTCAGCCATCAACACAGTGGCTAAGGCCCGAGTAAGTCTCAATTCTACTTCTTCTTTTGCTTTAATATGCTGACCGGAAACAGAATGGCGTCGGTGCCTTCATCCTACAATGCAAAAAGCTCGACTTCCATTACTGCGACTGGGCCGGCTCATCACGCGGCATGAACGCTTTCATAAAATCATCGCTCCCTGCCTTCGCCGCGCGCAATCCACAAATCGAAATCTCTGTGTCTCCAAGACCGAACAAGCACCCGGTAATTGTCGGCCACTACATCAATGGCCGCCAGAAAGCTATCTGCGTGCGGAACATGACGAATCATGAAGTCAAAGAGAAGGCATTACTGCTGAGGGATGCCAGCGGAGACAAATTGAAGAAGGTCACGAAGCCAGTAACGAGTTTGAATGAGAGCGTGAGAGGAATCTGGAGTCCTTTCCACGGATCGAAGATCAATATATAAGCGCTAGGATGGAACATGGAGAACGGAGGGACTATACCACGCTACTGGGCAGAGCGTATGTACAAAATATATGAGGAGGAACTTGGGTTGTGTATTAGCATTATAGGCGCATATCAGGTCGCATGTACAGCACATGTGTGATTACTTGTATAATGTCATGAGATATCAAAAGAAGCGGACTTGCTTCGAATCATCATTTTACATTTTCATTGACTGCATATTTTGATCATCAAAGGTGACGCGAAGGTATCATCAGGGACCCTTTGGCCCAATTATAGCCTATTCTTATTTTATATCCAACTGGCTCTATAGCTTGGTGGTCAGACCATGCATTCAAGCTTTGCTGGAGTTGGAGTTGATGATATCAACGAAAGCAGGCTTCAAGCTAGCACCGCCAACGAGGAAACCATCGATATCGGGCTGCGTGGCGAGATCGCAGGAGTTCTTCTCAGTGACACTTCCTCCGTACAGGATACGGGTGTTGTCCGAGGCCTCGGTGGAGACCTCCTTCTTGAGCCACTCACGGATGGCAGCATGGACCTCCTGGGCCTGCTCAGTGGTGGCAACCTTGCCAGTACCAATGGCCCTACGAAGAGTCAGAGAATGTTGGAAATATCAATGGGACAGGAGCTTACCAGATAGGCTCGTAGGCAATGACGATCTTGGACCAGTCCTTGACCTTGTCTGCAACAGCCTTGAGCTGCTTGGTGACAACCTCGATGGTCTTGCCAGCCTCGCGCTGCTCCAAGCTCTCTCCAATGCAGAGAATGACACCAAGTCCACCGTCAATGGCTGCCTTGGTCTTGCTTGCGACGAATTCGTCGGTCTCCTGGAGGATAACTCGCCTCTCGGAGTGTCCCAAGATGGCCCAGGTAATGCCGGTATCCTTCAACTGGTCGGTGGAGATCTCACCAGTGAAAGCGCCATTGGGCCTGTCGAAGACGTTCTGGGCAGCGACCTCGATACCCTCGCGAAGGTGCTCACGGGCGAGGAGAAGGTAGAGGCAAGGAGGAGCGATGACGACCTCTGGTTTGAAGATCAGCCTTGTGTTCTTTGCAATTTGTTTGCGTCCATCGCGGCACGGCTAGCTTTGAAACATACCGGTGTTAGAATCGAGTTTGGCCTCGTTGATGTTGGCAATGATTTCCTTGATGGACTTGATGTTGCCATTCCTTTGCAATGGTTTGATCGTCAGCTCATGAGTTCTATTGTTGTGCTTATTTGCGCAGGCTGAACGTACATCTTGAAGTTACCACCGACGAAGAATTTGCGTGCCATGGTGACGGTTTGATTCTGATAATTAGTCAGAGAAGGGGTATAGGTAGATGCGTGCAATAATGGAAATAGGAAGATGAGGGCAGTCGTGGAGTAGGTATATCGTGTCAAGGGGAATGAATGTTGTTGAGTGGGTCTGGACTGAGAAGTTTTGGTGGGGTCCGCCGAGGGGCAGAGTGACGACAGGCGCGACCTCTTTCTGTCTCACCACCAATAGAAGTGGAGAGACTTTCGGCGAAGGTCGGAGTCCTTTTTGCTTTTCTTACTTCGCGGCCGTGGGCGAACAAAAGAAAACAACGGAGATGAAGAATCTTATTACTTTGCACATACCCGTGTCATTGTGGGGGATCATACTTGCCCGAGGCACGCGTTCGTTGGGAGAGTACCGATACTGAATGGAGAGCTCTGGAAGGACTTCAAGGCGACATCGGGTTGAATTGATCTGGCAGTATAAACCTACGGGACTGAATTATTCGATGGTCTTAAGTATAGCCATACTGATAAAATTATTGTTGTTATCAATATTTACGAACGCCTTGTCTGCTAAGTATCGTATGATTGTTAAAGACCCCATAGGAACATTCGGTACGGTCAAGTACGGGTCGGGACCTCCAATTCATTCAAACTGCCTAATCGGGCATGTTCATGGTTGGGTGTGGAAAGTAGCGGAGGCGTACCCCTCGGGCCATCGGAATCTTACCCCAAATCCTTACCGAACACATATTTGTACTTCTACACACTGGTCAACTTTGACATGCAATCCGAAGGGCCAGAATGTAAGTTGCAATGTTTCTGAGAGTTTTGTGTTATTGGTATTATACCCAGCTAGCAGCCATGTCCTCTCAATTAGCATAGCCGTCACAAAGTAGTAGTCTTGGATGAAATTGGGGTAAGTTGACTCTGATTAGCTATTTGGCCAATTGATTTATGAGTTGATCAGCTTGTAGCCATTCCAAAGAACATTAAATATCGCCAGACACTATAGTACAATAAAGCATCGGTACATCAAGAGGAACAAAAATCCTCACAGAAAACATTAGAATAGCATCGTGCCCCTGACCTTACAACGCCAATGCACCAAATAACCAGAATACATCCTGAGTCGCCAGCGCTCATGTATATATTTTTCACGCCTCAAGTGCTCTCCTACACTGCCTAGCTGACCGGTCCGAGAGGTATGGTTGGAAGAGGTGTCTTCATCGTTTGAGCATAGCATGAATACATCGGGCTATATCACGTTAGTTATGTATACCCCAAAGATGGAAGCATTGATCAAACTTACTCGCTGTATCCCGTCCACCCGACACACTTCCAACAGTTGAACAGCCCTGACGGGTCGTATCTCTTCTTGATAGCCAAAAGCTTTCCATAATTGCTGCCAAAGAATGTTTGTTGCCAGTTCTCCTCTGTCCAGTCGCCCTCATTCAGGTAACATCCTCCTTCAGGTGTCAGAGCCTTGAATGGCTGGATGGACGCTGAGATGGTATTTTGGATTCGTGTGCGTTCTTCGAGTGGCGTATTGGTTGTCCAGATACCACCCATGATCACCTCCCACATTGCGTCTCTCCAAGCCGGATTAACGCCAGTCTTGCTGTTGTCGGGTTGATTGACAGGCCCGGTCAGGTAAAGTTGAGCGCTTCCTCCTCCATTGTTCGAGTAGGAGAGCTGCATTGCTGTCACGACTGCGTTCACGACACTCTCGATCTCACTCTCGGAATCGAAGAGCGACTTTGGAATAAATCTGCCGGATTCAGAGAGCCCGAGGCCAACGGGGCCGTTCCGAGCTATCTCGGGAGCTTCGGTGAACTCATGCCACTCGGCGAATTTGTCGAACTTGTAGTATGTGTTATCCGTAATGTTGAGACCAGGGTAGGACGAGAGGAATTGATGCCAATTGGAAGTGACCTTCTTGATGAGATCTGGATCTGAGCTGGGTACAATTTGGAGAGATACCATATGGTCTGGAAGGATGAAATTGTATCCTGCTATCCCGTTGGAGGCAAACGCGAGTTGGTCATTGGCGAGCGCTCGAATGATATCCTTGTGTACTGCTGATTTGGTGATATCGAGCTCGCCCTCCGGCATTGGGAAATGAGCTTGGAAGCTGTAGACGTTGAGAGGCACAGCTTTGTGGAGCTGGAACTTGTAAGAGACCAGAACAGCGAAGGTTCCGCCTCCTCCACCTCTCATAGCCCAGAAGAGATCGGGGTCGGTGCACTCGTTGATCGTTCGATATACGCCATCCGCAGTGACGACGTCGAATTCGATGGCGTTGTCGACCATCAAACCCCAAGTAGGTCCCAAAGGCCCATGGCCGCCTCCTTGTCCAAAGCCTCCAGCGAGACCGACTGATCCAACCGCGCCCACTGTCACAAGCATACCAAGTGGGTCAAAGAACTCCCAGGCCTCTTGTGCTTGGACTCCTGCGCCAATCTCTCCCACATTCTCGTATTTCGATTTGCATCCTTTGGGTTGGAATGTTTTGTGATACTTCGCATCTTTCATGTTGTGTGTCCAGATTGCCAGCGAATTCGCTGCGTTACTACGCCCAAAGTAGTCATGCCCCGTGTTCTTTATCGAGACACGAATACCGTGCTCTCGCACAAAGTCCAACGTTCTGCTGATGTCTTCAGCATTGTGTGCCTCGACGTAGTATGTAGATAATCGACCCAGTGAGCATTCGCCGGATACCGGAGAGGATGGCGCAAAAGAATTGAGCAAGCAACTCGATAGACCGCACGTCTCCCAATCTAGGAACTCCATGGAACCGTACTGTTTTGTCCTGGACATGCCGTCCATGTAGCTCTTGCTTATATCATGGCATTCTCCCTTTCCTGTCTCCGAATAGCACGGCGCTGCCCATGGAACGGTGAGCTTCAAGTTGCCGTGTATGCTTTGGTTGAATGAGCTCCATTGTTTTGTGGATGGCCAACATGACTGCCCAGGAATGCATGTATAGTTCGAGAGGGGTTCCAGGTGGTCGTTTGGAGTCGTTTGAGGCCCTTTCACAGGTCTTGAAGAAGGGTGCTGTATGCTTTCAAAAGAGCCTCCTGCATACAGCAAGCAGAGACCGACAAAGACTGCACCACCGAGTGCCGCGAACACCCGTTTCGAAACTTCTGTCCTGGCAATTGCATGTCTCCTATGCCTGCGGCATATTGGTCCTAGGCTCTCAGTCTCTGCCTCCAAAAGCGGCTCCTTCTCGTAGTGGACCATTTTTCTGTTTGGATGCAAGGGCGAACGCCTCAAGTTGGTACCGAAGTGGTTCGTCTTCTACACTGTTCTCCTATAAGATATCGGATAGGTCGTTGAACTTGTAAAATGGGTTGCGATACTGCTGAAAGTCCGCGATAAACGGTACACAACAGATCGATTCAATACTGCGTGCAATTGATCTGAATTAATAGATAAAAAAAATTAAATTATTACGGGAACATCTTCACTAAAGTATTACTGCCCCTCTTAGCTCCAACTGTATCCACGCCGTACCTAATACCATTTTTGGCAAATGGCTGAGCTTTCAGCCCCAATGTGAGCAACGCCAACGTCCAATCACACCCTCTTCACGTCTGCGAACCACCCGACGCCAATTATTGACAAGGAGCTCAGGCAACGATTCGGCGTCATCCGAAGGGACGAACACGATGATTAATCGCAAGGCAGAAACGTCCATAGCGGATGCAGCTGACCGGCCTTAGAAAATGGGGGTCAAAGGGCGTTGGTGGTGGAGGAACTCTCCGCCCCTTACGATGTCATTATTATTGTAGGCGTGACTGCTGAAAGTTTGGCGGGGCCAAATGCGGGAGAGAGGCACGGTCAGCCCCCGGCGCTTAGACACAGAACTAGATAGTTCACCGAAGCCGTTATTCGCAAGCCGTGTTTTGATGGTTCGGCTGTGCTGTTGCCCTTTGTCCATTTGAGGAATCAATCTTATCACGCCGTGATCTGAAGCTGGCGGAACGTAGTTAACCGTTGTCAACCGATCATGTATGCTCACGCAAACGGCCGGAAAAACACGGTATATCCTTTGTCTATTGTCAATTCGAGCTCAAGTCTTTATTACTGACTACGAGATGAAAGTTGAAGATGCCTTTGTTGTTCTTTCATGAAAGGGATATATTTTTAGTCCCAGAGCTCAGTTGTAGCTTTCGCCTATCATTCATTTGCGGTCTAGCCTCACCGCAATGTCTTGGAGTGTGTTCGTAAATGGGAGAGTCATGTTCAACTCGCTCTGCCTATGAGAATGCAATGCTTGATATACTCAAGTTGGAAAGTGAGAAACATCTGTGTATCATCATAATGTGGTAGGACCCAAGACTCCACTTGTGTCTCAGTATAGAGTGAGTTTCGCTAACTACAATCAAAGGTCAACGCAAATAATAAAAGTAGACCGTTGAAGATATGTTACGTAGATTTTTTGTTGACACACACAGAAACAAGCCAATCATTCCGATGGTACGAAGATTGAACAGCCTTAAAGAAGCGTTTTCTGAAGAACTAGGGATGCCACCTACCGCCATCAGATCCAACGCAGCAAAGAGGTGATAATTTGAGTATCCGGCCATTACCAAATCCGATATTTTGATGCACAATTCCCACATCAGATAGTCAGAAACAGATGACGAAGGCTATCATTTGATTGTAGTCAGTAATTCTGAAGCTTGTGTTGATGGCACTCTAGTAATTCTTCCCCGCAACCGCATATATCACATTTAGTATGAAGAGCAAGTTAGGGGGTGATTGATTAGTGATTCGACAGACCCATAGATAAGAATACGGTTGCACTTTTCAACGGTTTCCCCCAAAGTGGATATGTGTAACCTCTCCGCGTGGCCGAGGAATTGTACTGTAGGGCGTGTCTGGGGAATCGCAGGGCGTGGCTGACTCATGCACTATGTTCCTAACATAAAATGCGATACTAGACCCAACGAAACCGCGCTCTGTGATCAACATACGAAGGCCGACATCACAGATTTAAGATTGGACATTCCCATTCGTCGGGGTGGACACTGATCTCAACTTCAAAGTTGATTTCCTTGACAGCACCCGATTGCAATCATAGACAGTGACTCCACTGTCCCCTCAGCGGACAATTCAGTCTGCTCAACATGGACTCTTCACTGGTTCCTATACTATTACTACCTCGACATTTCGATACCACATCGGCCAATCGCCCGCTCCTTCTTTCAGTCCAGAAGACACTGAACGACTCTTACAGTAAAACCATGTGTGCACATCCGGAAATCTTTGGAACATCCTACTTGCGAATTGCAGACCCAGATCAACTTGCCGAAACCATTGGTGACGTGGGTTTCACTGTAGTGCTACTTCGTGTTCATGATCAGACCACGAACAATGTTGAAAGATGTCGATATGCTGAAGTGGTGGCCACAGGAAGTGTCAAAGACTTTGGGAACGGTGCTGTTGAAGACTATTTGACGTGGAGCAAAGCAGTAACGGGAACGCAATGGAAGTCGGCGGAAGGAGAAAACCATGACGGGGGGAAACAGGGATTGAGAAAGAAGGGAGATGTCGTGCACAAGTATGAGATCACTGCATTTGGAGTTGCTCCAAACTGTCAAGCCGCGGGGCTGGGTGCAAGAATCTTAAAGGAAATCGAATGGCTGGTGGAGAGCGATGAGATTGGTCCAAGGTTACGATATGCGCTCCGGGAAAATGCTCCAAGTGTAGAAGATATGGTACTGGTAGGAACCGACAAGGCGTGTCCAGTGCAAGGAATTGATTTGGATCGTTTGAGGCGACATGCTGCAGAAGGTGCAGTGATAGATGAGCATGACAAAACAGTGGATGTAGGGTCTCTAGGCCGGCCAAAACTCGTTTTGATGGCAATACGGGAGACTGGCAATGAAACCTACTATCATCGTCGAGGCTTTAAGACCCTTTGGGTGGCTACGGTACCGAAAGGTATGTTCGACTGTAAAACAGAATGCACAGTAGTATACATGGAGAAAAGTAGTCAGCACACTTAATTAGTATTGATATCCCAGCCATATCGTAACTTGCTTGCGGAGAGTTTTTGTACTGATCCCTTTGCTCCTATTCGTTTACATGCTGCATGTCTCTATATCGCTCTTGTTTTTAGTTGCGTTCTCGTCATGTGTAACCCAGACAGACACATGGTAGACTGTTTGGTCTTGAGAAAGATCAAATGTAGAAATCCAGAAGTTCCGGATGCTTATGAAGATCCAACTATCGCTGGATCAGCAGGATGGTTACACTGATGAATGGGGCACATGGTTTCCCTAGCAGCCCACAAAGACTCAAATCGGTGATGCGACGAGACCCTGGAGTCATGCTGTTATCGAGCCTGGCTTTTTTCCTGCATTCTCGAACGGGCGTATGCTGTCTTGTAGCGGAATGGCTTGATGATAACTTGGGCATTCTAGAAAGCCTGAAAGCCATTCCACCATAGGTAACCCAAAACAATGACACAACTCGCCACGGCGTACGCAACATGCATCTCGATTACGCTCCACACCCACAACGCACCGATTGGGGGCGCAGCTTTCATTACGAAGAAGTAACCATGCATATTCACCGAAAATATGAGGTAGCAACCGGCTACAGTGCTCATGACGAGGAAAAAGATATTGCGTAACATGGGAAACTGCTTGGAGAAATCGACGTGGAGAAGGTAGACTAGAATGAGGAAAACGGGTGTTGCGGTGACAGCTCGTTGGATGATTTCGGACCACAAGATCTGTTCACGATATTGGCTGTAAACAGTTACATCGAGTGTCAGATGAAGCATTCCGAGGGAGATGGCGTAGAGGAAAGCAATTCCAAAGGGACCTATGAGCTCCTCGTCATCCTCAGACAGATCTCCATCTGCTGTGTATCCAGGCTTTCCTTTGTTCAATTCCCTTTGCCTCTCTTCTGCCATATCGAACAAGGTCTTTCCTTTGGGGCCGGAGCGGTCGGGGTGTTGGAGAATGTATTCCACCCCATCCTCATCGATCTCGGTGGTGGGTTCAAAGCCACTGCTTGTGGCACCTTTCTTCGTTGCAGCGCGTCGTTCTTTCCGATTCCCAACAGCCATGACGACTGTACTATTTCCGTTTTTGTCTGTTCCGATTGATAGTTGTCGTGCCGTAGGTAGGGACCGCAGGTGAGCTTGAAAGTGGTCAGGTCTAAATGGGGTGATGGATGCGGCTCTGCGGAACCAACCTGTGGGCACGGAACTATGCGCCCAAGCTTCTTCTTAGTGCAGGGACATTTGTCACACCCCTCCCCTGTTCTTCTACTTAGACAAACAATTCATATGTGTAACTTGTCGTTCTTTCATGCAACTGACAATCCTCTCACTCAGGCGTTACAGCATGAATTGGGTTACGTGGTCGGTCGTACCGTTCCTTGTCTTCGGGCTTTGGCTTTACACCTCACAGCTAACGAGCTCCTTTCCTATGCTCAAAGGGAAGCGTATTGTGCTGCTCATTGCTCATCCTGATGATGAGGCTATGTTCTTTGCCCCCACACTGCTTGCATTGACGCGTCCAGAGCTTGGGAATCATGTCAAGATCTTGTGCTTGAGCAGCGGTGAGCTTCACAAGTGTTGTTGATATGCCACGAAACTAATGATAACCACTAGGCGATGCCGACGGGTTGGGCGAAACTCGCAAAAAGGAGCTCGTCAAGAGCGGCATACAGCTTGGACTACGTAGTTCTGATGATATCATGGTTATCGAAGACAAGTAAGCGCTCTACTTCCGAGTAGGTGGACGGGAACAACCACTAAGCAACGATACATAGAAACTTCCCGGACTCGATGACCGTGACATGGCACCCACGCTTGATCTCGAATTTACTCACCCCAATGTTTGCCCCTAAGATGAGCACGATATCGGCCAAACAGGCACCGCAGACAACGATCGACGTAATTATAACATTCGACGCGGACGGCGTGTCATCGCATCCGAACCACAAATCACTATATGTTGGTGCTCACGCGTTCTTGAAAGCGATCATGCATAGACATGGTGGATGGGAATGTCCAATCAAACTATACACACTAGTCACTACCAATGTCGCTCGCAAATACTTGAGTTTGCTAGACGCACCCGCAACACTGATCGGTGCAATGATACGACGCAAAGAGCTCGGAGATTACCCCACCCCCTTGATGTTTGCCAGCTCACCGGTCGGTTACAGGACTGCCCAGAAGGCAATGACGACCGCACACGTGAGCCAGATGCGCTGGTTCCGATGGGGATGGATTAGCTTGTCACGATATATGATCATTAACGATCTCAAGAAGGAAAAGACCCTTTGAGTTTGAGCAAAAATTCAATTCGAATACACAACCAAGGAACCACACAGATTGATCGGATCATAACCACCCAGGCATACGGCATTTGGACCCACTCTGAATACATCCAATACATTGGCTCTGTATGACCACAACATCCGATGCGGCAATGCTCCATCCACGGTGCTGACCACGCTCACCAATGCTCCTGCTTGTTGGTAAGATCTAGTATGTGTGACCTTAACGGTGAGCGGTGTCACTACACTATTAAGTGCACCTCTTATGGTACAAAATCCATTCACAGAGTGCTGGTTTCAAACCGCGAGTAGTATAAATTGGGTCTGCATTGCCACACAGTCTTCATTTTCAATGCGTTAAGGCAATGGCTTCCACGCAACCTATTCTGCACCTACCCCGAGAATTGCTGTGCAATATCACTGAATACCTGGAGTTCTACGACCGAGAGAGGTTCGCGTCGACATGTAGACACATCTGGAACACTATCGCACCCGTCACAGAGGACGAGCTGCTCCGTGCCGAGGCAGAAGAATTTTCGACATCGAAGAACCTGTTCGCCTGCACCGGATGTTCCCGCTTGCGCACGATGCTTCAATTCACAGATGCCATGAGGAAAGGCAAACAGGCGCGACATGGAATTGAAGCACGCACACGCCGCTGTCTTGAATGTGGTGTCGAAGCTGGCCTTTACAAGATCAATGACGAGGTGATGATCATGGGCCGTACTCACCGTGTTTGTTCCTCTTGCAAAATGTTCGCAGGGTTTGTGAACAACAACGGCATGTGCATTACTTGCAAGGATGACACAACGAAAAGTCAGACATATAGGCGTGGGTCCGGAAGTGGGCGTATGGTACATGATGTGGAATTCGATTGCTCCTGTTCAAACGGGACTTGTTCACGTTACGACAATTTGGAGGGCTGCCACGGATGAAGCAACGTGTAAATCCATTCATCTTCGTTGGAATTTCTGGACGACTTTACGGACATCCTTACAGAAATAACACACTTTTCCCCGCCACCTTATCGTTCTCTTCACCGGGTGCTGTTCGCTGTCTGAGGGCGTCTTTCGCCAGCGTAGTGTCGCGCTGATCCTACTTCTCACAGAACAGACTGTATAGGAACCATTTGGCTCGGGCTGCGCGGAAACCACCCAAGATGTCCAACCTACCTACACGAAATTCCAGTCCTCATTCCCGACCCACAAGCCGCAGGGGACGGCCGAACTGGTTTGATAAAATCAACATCGTGAAGAAGTTCTCCCCCTCACGATCGTCGAGAACCAAGATACGTCCAAAGTCTACGCCACTAGAACCATGGCAAGAATGGCAGAGCCGGGCGCGTTCGGCTTTTCAGCGAAGTGCTGATACACGCCAGTCGGAGTCAATGGCGACCTCTCGCCTGGAGGACACTGGTGACGGTCGGCATAAGAAAATCGCTGCCCGCCCACGAAGGCCCATAGTAGTAGGAAGTGGTGTGAACTTAATCAACTTGAATAGAGCTGCTACATCTGGCAGCCACAACTCTTCTCGTGAGAGTCGCAAGTCTCATGAGGAAAAGGAGGATGAATATGCGCGAGCTCTCGCCAGGCTTCATACAGCCAACGACTCTCTCTATAAAGACGAAGACAAAAACAGAACAACCAAGCGAATAAGTCCCTTCGAAGCGCTGCGTCGCATCGAGATAAAGCAGCAATTCTCGCGGTTTCCCACATCACCTTCAGCTTTGCGCTTCTCTAGGGTGACGTCTCCTTCATCTCCTACCCGCAGTGACAAACTCAGGCTCCACGACGCATTCGAAACTAAATATGTCCGGAAGAGTGAAGTCTCGACACACCTGGAGGCACTTGCATCTGGCACCCCACATCCATATTCAGGCACACCTCTCGCAGAAGGGCCTTCTAGATCCAATCTGAAAGCCCCCCGTCATGGCGGCCCAGATACTTTCGACACGGTATTCTACTCCCACAGGACGCGTTCCAGGTCTCGAGATCCTCGATCACGGACAGCTCCTCCCGCTCCGAGACGACGAAGTAGCACACCCAGGGTTTTGAACATCGTCTTGCCAAGTCAACCAGATAGAGACTTCGGCTCAGGAAGTATCAGCACGCTCGCCAGCTCTGTGGCCGACTTCTTCATACCAGGCGCAAGCCATCGTGTAGGCAGACTGAGCCCAATCTCCCCCAACATACCGGTTGCAGACTCCATGCATGCACATGGCAATGTGATGGTTGATAGCGAGGGACGACCCATCAACGTGCTGCTCAGATTAAAAGATCCCTCCGCCGACCAACACCACAATATCTCTAGCGACATTGAGTGCACAACGGGCAGAGCCGTAACCTTCGATCTCGAAGACTTCGAACCCGTATCTCCACCACCACCACCACCACCACCTGGAAGCCGCAGCACGAGGCACACCATCCCAGAAGAGCGCGAGTCCCTCGAAATCCCCAGACTACGAGGCGGTGCAGCGATTCAGGGGAGATCCATCCACATATTGACAACTGCGGAAGTTGACCCAAGCCGAGCTCCCCGCTTGCGAGGCGGTGGAAATATAATCACTCGGCCCTCGAGACCGCAGCCTGCGAACCCGGAACCCCCGCTAATCCCGGACAGAAGGCGCTTGGGGAATGAGGATACACTTCCACCAGGTATCTTTTGGCTTGCGGGAGGTGTGGGTGAGCCTATGACTGTTGCGCAGTGGAATAGACAGAAGCCTAGTCACAGGATGGGCGGGCTTGTGGGGACCGCGATACATGGGAGAAGGGCTGGGATGCCGTATGAAAGAGGGAGGACTGAATTTAGAGATGGCGTCCGGGCCGATCAACGGCATAGGAATGGTGGTGATCATGTTGGTGAGGGACAGGAGGGACGAGGATATGGTGCTGCAGCTTCTGGCCCTGCCTTAGGAGCAATGCCTCAAATACAACATCCCAATGCTGCCGCGGGTAACGAGGGACCGGGCCCGCATGGCCAACATGCTGATAGAGGAGTCGATGGAGGTTCTGGGTAGGACGATTCACGATTGAGATATATGTAAGCATGATGAACTTGAGATATATATGTAGGAATCACACAAAGATCATATTCAGAATCAATGTAAATTTCAATTGCGTGCATACTTTGATAGTTCATCGTCACATGCCAAGGAAACTTTTTTTTCATTTTGAACTAGAGCTTCATGTATCATGAAAAGCCCAATTGAAATATAGGGTATCATATTTCTCCCCCTTTCACCCTCCACAACCCCCCTTCCACCTCCCATCTTCTTAGAAAGGCTTCGCAACCTTCCTGACCTCCGACTTCCCCGTCCTCGGATCCCTAAATTCCTTCCAACTAACCGGAAACATCTTGTTGCCGGCCTCACTCCTCGCCAGCACGACGCCGAACCTATTCTCCGCCGTCGAAATGTAGTAATTGCTCTGATCGCCCAAGCTGATGACAACGCCCCGCACGATGTCCCCGACGCGGAACGCCTCCTCGATCCGCACCTTGTCCTTCTCGGTCGCGCGCACGTCTTCCCGGCGTATGAGGCCCTGGAAGGACTCGCGGCACGCGACGTCGTCGATGGCGAGGATCTCGACGCTGGCGAAGCGGGGGCCCAGGCGGATTACGCGACACAGGACGATGGAGTCGACGGAGGGGAGGACGGTGCTACTTGCTGAGGAGGTAGAGAGGATGTCGTGAGGGGAGGAGGGGGCGCGGGATATGCTGAGGATTGGGAGGGAGGGTTGGGCGGGTGTCGATGTGGGTTTTGCGCTGGTGGTGCTGGTGGATTGGGGTTTTGTGGATGGGGTTGGTGCTTGTGTTGTTACGGGTCCGGCGATCGAGGCGTAGATTTGAGACTCGTGGATGTGTGTTCCTGGGCCTGGTGCGTATTTTGAGGAGGGTCCTAAGGGCTGGCCTGGGAGGGCGAGCGTGGGCAGGGCCATGGTGAATAGGCGTGTTGTCTTGGTTGCTGCGAGAGTGCAAGGTTGTGGCAGATGTGGGAGTAGGAAGCTTGATATTCAATCGTGGGTGATGCGAGAGCAGAAGGCTTCGTGAATTCGAGGACTGTGCAGGGAGTTGCTTGGAGCAATTGAGGTGTGTCGTGGTTGTGATTGTGGTTGTATAAAGCAAGTGTGCAAGTCTCGAAACTTTTTGGAGTTGAAAGAGCTCCGACTCGGCAAGACTTGCGTCATTTGCCGACTGGGTGGGGCAAAACTTGCCTATAACAAATAGAACAATCGCATGGGAGATGTCTGAAATATGGCATCGCTGATTTGGCACGACATCGAAATCGATACTTTAATAAGACACTACACTATACTTGCGTACAAGATCATGGTTTATCCTACTGCCACAACCCGCTGGCACATTCCAGCGCCCACTGCGGGAGGGTGTGAGGAAGTTGGGAATAGTCCAGCCCAACCGTTTACATCTAAAGCACACGCAGAAACGCCGTTATTTTGCAGTCCCAATGTCGCGAAAGCGCGTGTGCTCCAATCGCCTGTCATGCATGTCCGCCTCAAAAGCAATAAAGTTCATGATTCGCCATTCCCTCATGGTAACATTGCGCATAAAACACGTCTTTTCTTGGGACTAGGCCCCTTCGCATCATGCGAAGATGTAGAGTAATCCGCCCACTAGACGGACTGGTAGAGGAGCAGGGGCTCTCCTATGTTTTCGATCTCGGGAATAGTGCACTTGAGATCAAATGCCTTCGAAAGTACGATCTTGAAGATCTGGCGATGGTCGTTAGCATATGCCAATATTAGTATATCTGGGGAACTTACCTTTTGAACGTTGATACTGTGGCTCGTGCTGCTGAAGATGAGGCTGGCTTTCATCGCTTTGGCAAACCGTTTAGCCTGCTCCAAGTTAGCTCGTAACTCCCGGAAATGCCATTGAAGACCTACCTGGTTCGAAATTTCCTCCTGCTCTTCGCGCGGGAAGTTGACGAAATGGTCGTACTTTGTGCCGACGAGGAACGGAATGGCAGTCTTGTTGAATCCTCGACCCTGGCGGTACCATTCCTTGATAGAGTTCAAAGTGCTCTTGCGAGTCAGATCGAACATGAATAGAATTGCGACAGCGTCGTTGCAGACAAGTGGCAACATGTTGACGAATTCTCGCTGGCCTCCAAGATCCCAGATGGAGAAGGTGATTTCTGTGTTCCTGATTGAAATGGTCTTCTCCATGAAGTTCACACCGAGTGTTTGGATGTAATCCTCGTCCCAGCTTCCTTCGACATATTTGACCATCAAACTTGTCTTTCCGATTTGCGCATCGCCAACCATGCCAACTTTGATCACAACGCTAGTATTCTTTGTGGCATTGCTTTCCTGTTGTTGCGGCTGTGAGCTCCGTTGGTTCTGCTCCTGATATGAATTGGCTCTTCCTCCCTCGGAATGTGGGTATCTATGCTGCAGAGCCGAGTTTGGCCGTGAGTGCGACTGTCCCATTTGAGTTTCCTTTCCACTGCTATAATAGCCTTGCCTCGGTGGTGTATCTGCATCTGAAGGTGTGTTGAAGCGCGAGTCGCCGTTGCCATGAGAGTAGTGATGAGAGAACGTGGTGTCTGAGTAGGATGTTTGGGGTCGATGGTGCTCCTGTGCGTAGCCATTGTTGCTTTGGTGGAAGTCAGGTAGCGGGGCGATCGTTGATGCGGTAATGGTGGTGTTCATGCTGTCGTCGACCTCCATCGATGTCTGATCCATATGCTTCTGCGCATCGTGACTGTGTTCAGCGGTGATGGGCGGAGTGACGGCAGCGGGAGCAACGTTCAATGGGTCTTGCTGTGTCTCCTGCACAGGCTGTACGTAGGGGTGCGCAGGCTGGGTGTATTCTTGCTGTACGGGCTGGGGGTATTCCTGCTGTACGGGCTGTGGGTATTCCTGCTGCACAGGCTGGGAGTATTCCTGCTGTATGGGCTGAGTGTGTTGCTGTTGTAGGGGCTGAGAGTATTCCTGCTGGACAGGTTGGGTGTATTGCTGCTGGACGGGCTGCTGTACAGGTTCCTGTTGCTGAAATTGCTCCATCTGCTGTTGAGGATCCATGTTGTCCCAGGAAGCCTTGCGCAGGTTCAGGTGTCTTGACTTGGGGGATGGAAAAGACGGAAGTGATAGTCGTAGTCGTAAGTGCAGCAGTAGTAAGAGCGCTGAGCGTATAGCGTGGGGAGGAGTGCGGGCCCCGCTGTTCCTGTGTGACGTGAATTGGAGGTAGCCGACGCGTTCTGAACGTGTAGTGCGTAAAAGGGCGAAGGGTGCAGCACCGATTGTGCTCTGCAGCTCAGGGCAGCGACATGCAGCGGTCGAGGAGAGCGAAGGGGGTGGAAGTGAGTATGCGCGGTAGTGGTTGGGTCAGGTCTTATTTACGAAGCCAGGATGCGGTAAACAGGCGGCGGAGGAGAGAACAAAGAGAGGTGAGTGGCCAGGGTGGATGTATCTACTACCCTAGTAGGTATACACTGTGCACGAAGTGGGTGTGCAGCAGTGAGTGAATAAACACACACACAGGCTTGAGAGATAATGTTGAAGTTGATCCGTTTAATCAGGTAATCCCTATGTACTTTTATCAGTTTGCCAGGTCCCAAGTCAAGTAATTCCGTAACGGGAGGTATGTATGGGCATGGTAGGGGGGTAACGGGTTGTTGAAGTGAATGTTTGGCTGGCGGACTCGCGAGCGAATCGACGTCGTTGTGCCTTTCGGTGGCGGGGCAGCAATTCCCAAACTCTTGGCAAAACTTTTTTGGTTCCAAATTTTTGGTCCATATTGACTTATTTCATGTGCGCCGCGCTCGCCCCGTTTCTCAATTCAACAACACCACTTTTTCAAATTCAAAATACACCACTAGTACAAAGAAGAAAATCATATTGCGACCATGGCCAAAAGAGCGGCAGAGGACTCCGAGCTCGAGACCATCAAAAATGGAGATCGTCCCATGGAGGTCGACCAGGGCGAACAGATCGAATTCGAGGATGAATTCGAAGATGAGTTTGAGAGCGAAGACGAAATTCTAGAGGCCGGTGTGGACGGAAGGCCAGATGCTGAAAGAGAGGCAGAGGAGCAAGAAAGTATGCAATTCGAAGAAGGGCTTTCCTGCTATTTCAGCAGCAATTAATTAACAATTTACTCTAGATGCCATGGAAGTCGACCAGGACACATTCATACCTGGACGCCACAAACTCTCCGCAGGCGAGACCTTAGCACCCGATCTTTCCACCTACGAAATGCTACACACACTCGAGGCGCCGTGGCCATGCCTCTCCTGCGACATTGTCAAAGACAATTTGGGCTCCGACCGCAAGACATACCCCGCAACGTTCTACGCAGTCGCAGGCACACAGGCAGCGCAAGGGAGGGACAAGGAGAATCAGATAATGGTCATGAAGATGAGCAGTCTGTCGCGCATGGAGAGGGAGGATGAGGAAGAAGACTCGGACTCGGACGACGAGGCCTCTGATCCCATATTAGAAACGAAATCGATACCTGTGACCAGCTGCACAAACCGGATACGTTCTTATCAAACCCCGCAAGCTACCTCTGCGAAACCTCCAACCACTCTCACAGCTTCCATGCATGAGTCGGGCCAGGTGCTCATTCATGACATCACACCACATCTTACTTCCTTCGACACTCCCGGGTTGACGATCAGTCCCTCGCAGAACAAACCTCTTTGCACGATCCGTGCGCACAAATCGAATGAAGGATATGCATTGGACTGGTCACCAATGGTACCTGAAGGGAAACTACTGACAGGAGATGTTGCCGGAAATATCTTTGCAACAACAAGAACACAAGGCGGAGGCTTCGTCACGGATACTACACCGTACACAGGCCATCAGGGCACAGTAGAAGAGCTACAGTGGTCGCCATCGGAGAAGCACGTCTTTGCCTCTGCTTCGAATGATGGTACAGTGAAGATCTGGGATGCGCGGTCAAAGTCAAGGAAAGCGGCCGTGAGCGTGCAAGTCTCGAAAACCGACGTCAATGTATTGAGCTGGTCACACCAAACGGCGCATCTGCTGGCTTCCGGTGCTGATGATGGTGAATGGGCAGTTTGGGATCTCCGCCAGTGGAAGCCTTCGACCGCTATTGGCAGCGAGAAGAAGCCGTCGCCAGTGGCATCATTCAATTTCCACAAGGAGCAGATCACTTCCGTTGAGTGGCACCCCACCGATGACAGTATCGTTCTAGTTTGCGCCGGAGACAACACGCTTACGCTCTGGGATCTTGCCGTCGAGCTGGATGACGAGGAGAGCCGGGACACTGCCGGCGTTCAAGACGTGCCGCCGCAGCTCTTGTTCGTGCATTACATGGAGCAAGTCAAGGAGGCTCATTGGCACCCGCAAATTCCGGGTGCAGTCATGGCCACCGGAGGTTCTGGTTTTGGGTAAGTCTATCATCTTCCACGATCACGAAAGAGTCCTGTACTAATGAACGTCTAGTGTCTTCAAGACTATCAGCGTGTAGATAGATCGCAATCTGACGAATTCGGCGCACCCTGCATGTCAAAATGACGAAACATTCCAGTTGCACGTGCTTCTTCGCAATCCTTCTTTACTTCTTCTAGATGTACATTTTTCTCATGACCTGCCTCACTGATTAGTCACTGCGCCGGATAGGGACAGTCTTCGCCTTTAATGAAAACGACACGATGGATGACCAGACACAACAAAGAAAAGGCTATAGGCCAAGAATAGAACAAGCACCTCGATCCTTGAATAGACCCTCTGTCGCATATATTCGCACGAAGACTTACTCCTCCACAGCTTCAACAAACCCGACTTCCAACTTTCACTACCAGACTACCTACACTCGTTTGAACCATCCGCAAATCTCCCCCTTACATCAAACCACACCACACCACACAATCAAACACTACCCACGCAACCACCCAGAAAAAATGACAACAACACCCCCCTCCCCACCACCAAACCCCCGACCCCAGGGCTTCCCCCTAATCCCCAACGGCAACCTCTCCGCCAAAGGAATCGACACCTCCAACACACAATGTACCCCTCCCCCCTCCCTCGCCCCCCTTCCCCTTAGGCCCTCATCATGGAAACTAAAACATATGGACAGACAGAACATCCCACATCCGCACCCCGCCCCTCTCCCTCCCCTTCCCGCACCCAAAGTACCACATCCACCCGCTCACAGGCGTCGTCTACGAAGTCACGTCCCCGATCTTCGAAGAGTACGACCCGCGCGTCGGCTTCGTCGACAGCGTGGGGCCGATCCTCGAGACGGTGGAGGAGTGCCGGGACGCTGAGGTTGAGGAGGAGGAGGCGGAGGAGGATCCTGTGGTAGAGGAGGAGCCGGCGAAGGGGTTGGGAGTGGAGGAGGAGAGGGCGAGGCAGAGGTGGTTGGTGGATGTTAAGTGGCCCGAGAGCTCGGAGAGGAGTACGATTATAAGGGATAAGAAGGGAGTGAAGAGGGGGAGGGACGGTGGTGGTGGTGAGGTGGAGGGGAGAGCGAAGAGGGTTAGGTATCAGGTTTGATGGGATTGGGTTGGGCGGATGGATTGTTGGATGGTGGGTGTGTTGCTAAGTGTATGTGCTATTGATATATGTACTACTATTGAATTATATACATTTGAAGAGTATTTGTGAAGACTTTGTTTGACTTGATATGTGCGGTGGGTTGAGCGTTAGAAGGACCATTCCCCGACGGTGTTCCAATCGACGCCGTCGAACAGTGAAGCCCCTCCCAGCGCATCCATCCCTTCGAACCCATTCAGTCCCGGCGCACCAAACATGTCTAACGGCAAATCGGGACTCAATTCCGCTCCATTCTCCCCTATCACGATGCCTACGGGCGTGCTTGCTTCCCCATTAATCGTGACAGGTCCATTGCTTGGTTGCAGGACTGTGTCAATGACTCTTGTGAAGCTCTTTGCTGCTTTCCGACAGAGATTGTAGTTTCCGTCGCCGCGCCTGAGGCCAGAAAAGTCCATATGTGAGGCGGATTCGAGGTGCGAGATGAGAACTGACAACTTGCGAATCACTGTGGCGCGAGAAATAGTGGGCGGGAAGGGTTGACCGGTACGATGTTGTTCCTGAAGGGCGCTTGCGAGAACGGAGGCGCTGGGGATGCCGAAAACCAGGACCGTCTGCATAAAATCGCGGTACACGTCGTAGGATCTATCGCGTGTCTTTTCGATGGCGAGACAGTTTGATAATAAGTCGAAGCTGACTTGGAGAAGAGCGACGTTGAAAGCGTTTGGCTGGTGGTCGATGAGCTTTTGTATCATGAACTCGTTGTAGAAGTGAGTGAGGTAGACTACAACAAGCATGAGGCTGACGCTGTATGGGAACTCTTCGTCATCCCAGCATCTGGAATGATATTTCAGATGTAGAGGGACGGTGTCCCACGATGATCGTATTCTATCCGAGATAGCAAGGAGTTGCTGTTCTACGTTTGAATCTAGTTTTGCTAATGTGAAATCGAGGATCTCTTCTCGAAACTGTCCTGACATGTACCGAAGTCGAATCCAGGATGCGCGGTGATAGCGGCCCTGCGTGTTCCAGCCATTTTCGTCAAGATTACCAATTGCTCTGGCGAGGGTAGCTGGATCAGAACAGAGATCGTCATCGGAGAGATCCAGAGGAGGTTTACTGTCAGAGTGCCGTTTGGAGATCCTGAGTGGACGGCCGAGGAACGTCGATGTTATCTTGTCAATGTTATACGCACCCCCGAATAACCTGCGTCTGGTCTCGAGGATGAACATTGGGAGTTTGGAGTTCTTCTGTTCTCGATGCGCGCCGAGGGCAAATATCTGAGTTGCCAGTTCACCAAGTCTGCGCCAGGCAGGAGGTCCAGTGAATCCGCACATCATCATCGTATACAGCACATTCTCATGAAAGGTCCAGATCATGCAGTCGTTGGCAGGGGAGATTAGGGTGCCCAGGATGAGACAAGTAGTACTAGACTTCAGCATCTCGTCACAGAATTGATTTCGGTCTTTCTGTGTGTAGTTCGCCAGGAGCTGGGGTTCGGATATTCCCCATAGCCATGATCGACCCGCTGTTGCGAATAGAAAACCTAGGATCTCGAATCGTAAGTTGTCGCCAGTGATGAGCTTGTAGAAATCGTGTGCACGTATATCAGAAGGCATGTCAAGAGGTTTTGCGGTGTTTTCAAGAGCCAGATTGATAAGTTCGGCAGACGGTCGCTTCTGAGTGAGGTCGTACTTCTCTACTGTTTCTCTCAAGCCATCAAGAGCCGTAAGGCAAAGAGGTGCAGGGACAATGCCAGCTTGACAGTGCTTCCAGTATGCGCGTACCAGAATGCAGATTAGTTCGTAATGGCGCAAACTTCTCAATACTTCCATAGCCATCGTCATGCGCATGGCTTTGGTCAAAGGGTGCTGGATGGATGACCGCTCATCTATGTCTTCAGTCTCGTCCGACATGTGACGGTCTTGCTGCTGTGATGATTCGTCGTACCTAGGCAAGATTGCCTCGTAGCTAGTTGGTCCAAGGTAGCCAGGGCGATATGCTGGTTCTCCAACTGCATCGTTTAGGCCATCGTCTTGAGACACAGTCGGCGTTGGAAGGATAGAAGATTCCCAATCCGAGAGCACGGTGTCAGGGGATCTTCTCGATATCCGCCTGTTCTGTGAGTCCGTAAACTACTATGGATTGGGTAGGAATGAGATACCTTTGTTTTTGCACACGCGAACTATGTGAGGCCCCAGGCCGCTGTGTATCCGCATCTGGCGAGTCACGTTTTCGAGTCAACGGAGCTGGATGATAAAAACATTTTTCTGGGATGCCGCGTTGGTGACACCGATCGCATTTTGGATAAGTGTGATCACATCGAGTTTTGTTCTTCCTACAAGGTTCACAGGATGCAGGTTTTCCATTTCGACGATTGGAGTTCCTATCTATGAGTTAGTTTCGGCATTTCGAAAGTTCAGCGTGAAGGACTTCAACTACATCGTGGCCACGTCAAGTCACGTACAATCGTGACTCTATCACACAGGAAACACCAAAATCTATCGAATATATACAACACTTTTGATCTGGGGCTGACAGATACATTTAAGAAGGATTATGGCGAGATAGCGTGACGTACTAGAGCTTGATCGGAATAGGAAGGTTAGGGAACGGCACGTGACCTTCGATTCATGGGCTCCGCCCAGATTGGACTAGCGGATTAATCTGCCAAACGACAGTTGTACTTGTAGGGCAACCCTTTAGCCGAGACTTCGTGATGGGCGGGCTTTTCGAAGTGTGCTTACCCATCGACTACGCTCCCACATCGGAAAGATGGTGCTTCCATCAGTATGTTCTTTTACACGCTGTGTTCTGACCCTGCTAATAATGGAAGATGTCTCACCCGCTCGAGTGGGTTCAGTCAACAAAATCAGATCCATCTCGGATTAGTTTTCTTGACCTGCCGCGTGAGATCCGGGACGAAATCTACCAACATGCATATTGTGTTCTCGGTGATATCTTCATGTTTACAGAGGACCCATTCAAAGTCAGACCCGTAGTGAAAGCAAAAGTAGTATGGAATAAGAGTTCAGACGGAGAAGCTCATGATCCGATCTCCATTGGCAAGGTCATTCCCGTGTCGCTGCTCAGGGTCTGTCGACAATTACATGCTGAGTCCAGTGAAGTCCTTTTCGGATATAACACATTCCGCCTTTATTCCAGTCACGTCGGGTTTGGGCCTCGATACCAACATCTCGTTCGAAACATTGTATTTTCAACCGATTCCATGATCCAAAAGATATTTGAGAATGACTTGGAAAGTGTGGGGTACTGGTGGCGTAGGTACTTCTGGAAAGACATTTATTCTAAGAGCGAGCGATTGTTAGAAGCTTTCCCGAATCTCGAGAAGCTCACTTTCCCTATCAAATCGAATCGGCATGGCCAAAGTTGGATTCCGGTATTCATGGCGGCTGGCCAGAGAACAAGAGAATATCGCGTGAACATCGCTGCACTTTGGTTGAAATCCAAATGTCCCATCGATAACGATCGCCTGCGTGATTGTTTACACATGGAGATAACGCATAACGGGATACAAAAATCGATGTATGCGGGGTCGAGGTTCGCACTGTTCACACTGGAAGATGAAGAATGGGATCACACCGAATTTGCCGAAGCATTTGAGAAAATGAAGTTTCTTTGACAGCAAACATGATGAGAAACAAGTAGCAAGGCTAAGCGCATTGGCCACTATCACCTCGATTATCACCTCGATTATCACTTCGACAATCACTTCGACAATCATTCGACAATCACTTCGACAATCACTGGTTCGGCATTGCCACCCCGCTGGTGCAGCCGTACTACTACTTAAACACGTGCCTTTCCACCAGCAAACCTCTCGTCAGGCACCATTTTCATCGATCACCAACTTTCCTCTCTCAACATCTTGCTCCGGTTACAGCAAGCAATCGATCACGATGGATGCCGCGCCTTTCATTGCGATCTTCAGTGCTTTGGCGGACATTCACAAACAGATGGCTAGCCTAGCAAACCACGTTCAAGATATTGACAGTCAAGTCGGTCGTCTTGAGACTGCGGTTCGTGGGCCTCGCGCATCGACTTCACCAGTTTCAGCAGATGCTAACCATTGCGACGCTTGCGGCCACTCTTCAGGTTTCTCCAACCTCCACGCGAATGTGCGTCTAGAATCACGACATCAACCAATGCCATCTCCTGTCAAATCTATCGTGCAAGTCAAGGACGCTTTGGAGGTACAGCTCAGCCCCATCCAAAGAGACCTTGTGATGTTTAATGATCGTCTGCTTAGGGCTAGGCAACGACTGGCCAGAGTTGAACTTTTGACCTATCGCCCGCATCAAGGCCTGTCAGCTCTACCTACGGATGTCTCTCAGGTATCTACTGCACACACCAAGGAAAAGACAACCAAGGAAAAGACTGGAGAGTCACATGATTCCTGGTCGTACAGAGAGAAGGTTCGGGCGCGACAACTTATCGCCAGGCGTCCCAAAGCTGAACCAGGAGGTATTTTTCGATCGCATAGCGAGAAGACTATGTTGCGATATCCTCAGCATCATCAAGTTCCTCAATTTACCTTCAAGGGCCCCGAAGCCAAGCCGAGCTGTACTTCATCGTCACAAGTTCCTCAATTTACCTTCAGGTGCTCGGTAGCTAAGTCGAGCTGTACTTCATCGTCAACAGTTCCAGTATTTACTTTCAAGCGTCTCGAAGCCGAACCGAGCCGTACTTTGTCGCTACAATTCCCTGGGTTTACCTTCGAGCGTCACGAAGACAAAACAAGCTGTACTTCGTCGTCACAGTTTCCCAAGTTTGCCTTCAAGTGTCCCGAGGCCCAGCCTGACCAAATATTCGGACAACCCTCACAGCATCGACCCGCTCGGCCGTTTCCTATCATCAGTGATCTGGGAACATCATTCATGAATGACACTGGTGACAGATCACCTTTCGGTCGTCTTAATCCAACTGGTTCTCGACGACCAACCTTCGCCAATTAACCAACCACTACGTCTCAAATGGACACCAATTAGAAGCGGACTGCATCGATACCACTCTCCTACCACAATGACGAAACCTTTCAGAGCTTAGGTTGGAGGGAACGGATCGCTGGCACATACAACGCTCACTAATTCTTCATGCAATGGATATATTGCTGCCACCACCGTCACCATGTCATGTTCACGAGCATTGGTATTTCTGATTTCCTGAGTAATTTTCTTTTCACAGAATGACACTGTACAAGGAGGATTCAGACAAGGTCCACATGTTTTGTCTCAGCGCCATGGTTCCTAGCGAGAGATACCCTAGCAATGATTACAATATTCCCCATCACCACATATAGTGTCGCTATGCCAATGGGATTCGATGGCGTATGATCCATTCGTGCACTGCCTCTCTGAACTTCGTGTATATCAATCTGTCATCGGAACATGGATGCCCGCTAAATATTACCTCGTTCCTTCCTACTCCACGTACTAAGAGCGCAATGTAAATGAACCTGGTATCATGAGGCCATGGTAAAACGCAGAGAAATAGGTCCTGGGGATGAAACTCCCGATGGAGTTGCCTCTCGCGTGCCTGAACTACATGCACTAGGTTCGCTGTTGTAGGAAGACCACGTCAGTGATGTACCCTTTCGAACGTGTATGATGATGAATAGATGTCCACGCAGCTGTATGTACATACTTGCTAGTTGAATTCTCCTATTCTGAGACCAGGGAAAGTTGTTCAACTCGTGTATGAGGACCCAGAATAGCTCATCTCGATTCCACATCCTCGGACCAATTTGCACGGGAGAATCTGGGAACGATGGTCTGCTAAAATATGAACCCATTTGCGTGATGACGATGGAAGATGATGTTAACGGCAGTTATCTGATTCTCCACTACGCCTATATATACTACTTTCTGAGCTGTTGCTCTTGATTGCATCTTGCCAGGTAATGAACTCGTGATCGTTCGGGCTTGCTGGCTATCTGCATAGCTTTCATGATTTGCTGCTAGCTGATAGAGAAAGAGATATCCAGCAAAAGCATCACTCTCATGACTTCGCCACAAACTCTCTCGCAGAGGAACATGGGAGGTGACAACAAAGAATCGTGGAGTGATTGACTTCCGTCATGGAGTGTGGACGTGATACCAAAGCAACTGCCAGGGAAGGGATCAATTGCCTTTTGCCGGATTGTGATGAGACAGTATCAACCACACTTCACGATACCTGAAAGCTAGTCTAATTACTCGTAGGATTATGCGAAACACTTAGAGCTTATGATTCGCACGTTCTACTACTTCATCTATATTAGATAAACGGGATCGTCATACAAGCATTTGGATCCGATTGCATTGCGAAAATATATCTACCTTAGGTACAGGTACCTAGGTACGATTAATACCTTTGCAGGTACTTTGTATGGGGTTTCAAGAATGCGATACCTTTTCCAGCTAGTCAGTGAATTATTTCCAGCATGATAACAAATTTGATGTAGTAAACACGATGGACGTTCCAATAATAGCCCGTAGATCCAATAGTCGCGAAATATTTTACAACAGACGATACCCCTTCTGGTGTTATGGCTGATTGGGGAGGAAATACGAACGGACAAAAGTGGAGCTGACTGCAGGGGAGAGAGGGACCGCCTCAATTCCTCTCCTTGGCCGGATCGCCGAGCCCCCGTTCCTGAGACAACATCGCTGCCAACCAGCCAACCTCCGTAACAACCAACGACATCCCCACCACGACAACCACAACGACGAACCTCCCGTCCACTCACGCCCGTCGTTGCTTGCTCGCCGCTGCTCACTTTCGTTCGTTCATCCACTCGCTGTGTCTTTTCGTTATCGCTGGCCTCTCAACCACATCCTCAGCGCACCAGTCCCTTCGCGAGTAGCCGCCACGATCGTGAGCGCCCCCTGGCCTTGTTTTGAGCCTCATCACAACAACTCACCCACATCTCACAACTGTCGCCGCCGCAAAGATGGGTTTCGGCGACTTCTCAACGATATGCAAGAAGGCCGCGCTGCCATTATGTGCCATCGTGGGCCCAGTGTCAGACGTCACCGGCACCTCCTCAGGGATCCAAACAAACTGTTACTCCAGAACGATTGAGGTTGCAAATACGATTATTTTCCAAGGCGCGAACGACTTCATGCACATTGTTGCTCTCATAATGACCGTCATCATGATTATCCACGTTCGATCGAAATTTACTGCAGTTGGTATGATTTGATTTTCTTCTCATAGGTGGTTCGAAGGAATTTGGCTGACATCGTGCAACAGGCCGCAAGGAGATTACATCTTTCTTTTACATCTACATGATCCTCACTATTATCTCGCTCATTCTCGATGCCGGTGTCACTCCTCCCGGTTCCGCTCCCTACCCATACTTCGCTGCCGCACAAAGTGGTCTCGCATCAGCGCTTTGCACCTGCTTGATGATCAACGGTTTCGTTGGTTTCCAGCTCTACGAGGATGGCACGACTCTGTCTGTCTGGCTCCTCCGACTCTGTTCGCTCGCCATGTTCATCATCAGCGGTGCCGTTTCCCTTCTTACATTCAAGAACTGGGCTGGGCTTAGCGCAGCAAATCCCATCGGAGTGTTCGTCGTGCTGTACATTGTGAACGCTATTCAGTTGTTCGTCTATGTTGTCAGCCAGGTTATTCTTGTTGTTGGTACCCTTGAGGATCGCTGGCCTCTGGGTGACATCTCTTTCGGTGTCTTCTTTTTCGTTGTCGGCCAAGTCATTCTCTACGTGCTCAGCGACACCATCTGCGAGGAGGCCCAGCACTACCTTGACGGTCTGTTCATCGCTACCATTTGCAACCTTCTGGGTGTTATGATGGTCTACAAGGTTTGTTCCAACCGGCTCTTTTATTACGCATCTGTACTAATGATCGTGCTCAGTACTGGGACTCCATCACCCGTGAAGATCTCGAGTTCTCCGTCGGCGTCAAGCAGCACAACTGGGAGGTCAAGGAATTCCTTCCCGAGAAGGACAAGCGCGGAACAGTCTACAACGAGTCCGAATACACCCCATCCCTCTACCACGAGCAGGCACGAGTATCGCACTACTCTGCCGTTGATGGACGATACTAGATTGGGACGGATATCTTACTTTTCATATTTCACGTTTTATATCACAAAAACCGCGATACCAGCCAGGGTACACGCTGCCAGCATTGCATTGGAGTCTCATGGCGCAAAGATCAGCTTTTTTGGGATAGTCTAGGGGATTGTGTTGTATGTGTAATTAATTAGGCTGGGGGGCGTGGTGGAAGGACAGAAGTTTTGTTTACACTGTAGATACACTAGGGACTCGCTCGTGCTCAGAGTTTCATTTTACGTACCAGATCCAAAGTCGTCTTTGGAGAACTCACATTCCATATATACAGAATAAAATCCATGATATAGATTCCACTTTGCTCACCGTTCTATGTTCATGGTCCTGTCTATATTCTATTGCAAGTTCCGCTCTATCATATCTGTAAACAACAAATTCATGACGAGGAAAACAAATCCTTGGGCCTTCCGACTCCATGGACAGACCGACAAGTCCCACGTTTCTTCTCCATCCACGCTTCATACTTGCATGCACGCACCTGCATCCTCAGTACCGGTACCAAGGCAGTCTACCTACCTGCCTACACAAAAGTCAAAGTTCCCCGTAGGAAAAAAGAAAAACAAAGCCAACCTCTTTGCCGAACTCTTTCCCGTAAACACATTGTCGGCCTACATGTGCCCTCGTATGAGTTGACGCTGCATTAGCAAAATCTCTACACTGCGTAACCATGTACGCTAATTCCGCACTTTCCAGCTCGCTCCCCCCGCACCCGCTCCAGCGCCCCAAAACAAACACGCAACTCGCTAGTTAGATCCATCCAAAGAATCGGCATTTAAGTGCAATTTCCTCGGCACTGCGGTACACCATGCGAATTTAATTGAGCTTCCTGGCAAAGTGTTGAAGGTGCACGACGGGGACCGATTGGCCGTTTCTTTTTCCTGTTTGGTGTGGGAGTACGGGGTACTGAGCTGTCTGCCTGGTCTTGGGAAAGGGATGGGAGGCGGAGGGGAATACTCGGCCGCGCTGATGGCAAAAGAAAGGGTGTGATAGGGTCTAGAAATGGTTGAGAGTTTCGTACGAGATGAATGCAAGGTCGGGTGGAGATCGTCGTGTATGGAAATGTAAGGTAGGTACTTAGATATATAATAAGTAGTTGACTACCCCCTCCTCTCTCCCCGCAATCCGATCCGGGTGAGGTAACATTCCGACACGACGCTTTCGAAACTCATTGAAGTCAACCAACACGTACACAAATACACAGACAGACCGGAAAAGAACTGGAGAGAGAAACAAAAGACTTCTGCTCTTTTGGAAAGACGAACGTTCATGACCATGGCTACGACCACGCCCCGTAGGACAGACGTCCTGATAGTAGGCAGCGGCTCCGCCGGCATCTTCGCCGCGACATGGCTCGCGCTGTTCAACATCCCCTTCACGATGCTGGAGCGTCGGTCCGGGCCGCTCGAGGTGGGTCAGGCGGACGGCGTGCAGTGTCGGACGGTCGAGATCTACGAGTCGTTTGGGGTTGCGGAAGAGCTTCTTAGGGAGGCGTATCACATTCTTGAGATTGCGTTCTGGGGTGTCGAGGATAGTGATGGCGGGAAAGGGGGAATCACGAGGAAGAGTAGAGCGCCGGATAGGGAGCAGGGACTCAGCCATTGTCCGCATGTTATCTTGAATCAGGCGAGGATGAATTCGATTATGCTGGATGTCTTGAGGGGGTTTAGGAAGGGACACGGAAAGGAAGGGGACGGAATTGAGTATGGAGTTGGCGTCAAGGGGGTGGAGGTTGGGGATACTGGAGAGGAGTATTGTTGTAAGGTCTCGGCGGAGAGGAATGGGGTTGAGGAGGTTTGGGAAGCCAAGTATGTTTTGGTAAGTGTTCAAAGTAGATGTGTTCTGAGCTGCATAATTGAGGCAAGGAAACTGATATGAGATTAGGGCTGTGACGGTGCACATTCAGTTGTGAGGAGGAGCCTTGGGTATCAGATGGTGGGCGATACGACTGATACTGTATGGGGAGTGATGGATATCTACCCCTTGACCAACTTCCCAGATATTCGTCGCAAGTCTACTGTTCATTCATCGGCAGGAAATCTGCTCATCATCCCGCGTGAAGGAGGGTCGCTGGTCCGCTTCTATATCCAGCTGCCCCCGGGATCCAAGGCCAAGGATGTGAGGCTGGAGGACCTTCAGGAGACCGCAAAGAAGATCTTCCATCCTTACACCATGGACTTTGCAGATACGTACTGGTGGTCTGCGTACTCTATTGGACAACGTCTGGCCGATCACTTCCACAAAGACTTCCGTGTGTTCTTGACGGGAGATGCATGCCACACTCATTCGCCCAAGGCAGGACAGGGAATGAATGTGAGTCTGCAAGATGGGTACAATATCGGGTGGAAATTGGGTCACGTCCTGAACAAGATCGCCCCGCCGTCACTCTTGGAGACGTATGTTTCCGAGCGCTCTAAGGTAGCCAAAGAACTTATCGACTTCGATCGAGAATTCGCGAGGATGTTCTCATCTAAGGAGGAGCGACCCGGGCAATTTGCTGATCACTTCACTATGAGTGGCAGGTACACGGCCGGATTTGGTGTGCATTATGAGGACGATCAGATTAGTGACTCTCGGGGGAGTGACGGAAGTCTGGCAGGGAAGGTCGTGGTGGGTGCGCGGATGCCGAGTGCGCAGTTGATACGGTGGTGTGACTGCAAGGCTGTACAGCTATTGAAGGTGCTAAAAAGTGACGGACGATGGAGAGTTGTAGTGTTTGCTGGAGACATCGCGCAGCCGACAAACAAGCAGAGGCTAGAGAAGGTAATGTTCTTTCCGTATATGTGTGTGATGCCTTTCACTGACGAGGCGGAAAAGCTGGCGACCCAACTGGGAGCATTAACGAAACGATTCACGCCAGCGGAGGATGACGTTGATAGCCTGATCGAGCCAATTCTGGTGTTAAAGACGAAGTTCACGGAGACTGAACAGCATCAGATACCTGATTACTTCGTGCCAGTGAACGGCAAATGGAGGATAAGAGGTATGATACAACCTGATTCTATTCTACAAGTGATGTTACTTTTTCAAAAGCGTCAGGCTTACTTCCCAAACAGATCTTCACAAGGTATACATCGACGACCAACACTACAACGATGGCCACGGTGAGGCATATCGGACACTGGGAGTCGACCCGGCCGTTGGAGCTGTTGTGATCATACGGCCAGACCAATGTAAGGAAGCTCCCGCCTGCTCTGTTGAGCCGGCGCTGTTGTTTTTGAATTGACGGCTAATATGGGAACCAGACGTCTCCAAAGTGACGAGAATAGAAGATGTCAGTGGAATCGAATCGTTCTTCAAGGGAGCTTTGTATGAACGGGGTGACTGAAGGGTTGAGTGAATGTAACACTTGAAGTCTAGATGGAGGTACAATTACCTACCATACACGTAGCATCAAGACACATCAGATCGTATCGTCTCTAATGAAGCAATTAGATCTATCTGGATACAGCATCAACTTGTACTTCCTTTGTATACTCTATTAAACTACTCTAACGGTTACAGTGACCTATATCCCTCATTCCCTCCTCTTCCCTCCTCTTCCCTCCTTCCTCGCTCTTCCTCCTCACTTCCACCCTCACAAGCTTCCCTGATCTTCCACCGCATTCTACCACTCACCTCCTCCCTCCGCTAACCCAATCAAGCTCACTGTCGTCGTTGTCGTCAATGCTAAGAAAGGTTAGGCCATGGCACTGACCACATCACGTGCTACTGCTGCCTGGCTCTCCCCCACAGGTACAACCCCCCCTCCTTCCCTTCCTCCTCTCCTTCTTCTCTTTTCCCTTCGATATACTTACCTTGCGGAGGCTCGACGAGCACATGAATTCGTTGAGCCAGCTCGGATCAGCTGCATCGCACAATGCGGGACTGGTCTGGGTTTGAAGTCGGGTTCCGCCTTACTTCGACTGCGCAATTTTTGCTTTCCATTCTCTCTCTCTCTCTCTTTCATTGATACGGATGCCTTGTGCGTCGTGTTGAGGATGGAATTGTCGTTACTGTAAGACTGGGTTGTGGGGAGCCTTGTTAGTGAGCATCGCCACCTCGCTGAAGGTGAAGGAATAGCGTCACTGGCCAAAGCAACCCTGTAAGAGGTCTGGTAGATTGTGCGCATGATTTGAGTCTATTGGTCTCTTCATCAAGCCCATCCTCGATCAATTATCAGTACCTTCATGGTGATGTATTGAGTGTCGTCGCAGAGTAACCACGCAATACGGCTTCAACCTCCCGCGGCGTGCCTCACATGAGTCCTTCGATGACCCGTTGTATCCCTCAGAAGGTCGTGATCTCCATCTAGGAAGTCTCACTATAGATCAAATTGCTATACTATTGATAAGAAATTCCCAGTCGCCTACATCCTTTGACGCCGTCCTACTCAGACATATGACCGCGTGTTTACGGGAATCGGACGCTGCATTTTCAGGAGACCCGATGATTCCGCATATGCTTGCTACCTTCACAAGGCTGCCCTTGATTTTCACATTCTGTAGCTGCGATCTCAGGTGCTGCATGGTGCCGTGCAGGTTCACATCCATCACGAAATGGCAGTCCTCGTTACTCAGGGCCTCTTCTTCTTGACCTTGGGAGTCACTCCTGCGAGATCAACAGCGCCATCCAGCTTCCCGAAGGCTTCCGCCGTTTTTGCTAGCTATGAATCACCGAATCGTCCTTGCGTATGAGTAACTTTCTACCATCGATTAACTAGGCCAACGACCTTGCCGTAGCTTTTCCGTCTCTGTCGAACACAACCTTTTCTTGGTCCCCACCATCCCACACACACATCCCGAAGTTGGAATAGATGGATGGAGCAGGCTTGTGAATTTAGAGTCATCGGTCCTAGAAGAAGAGAGTACTTCACCGCTCTTCAATTTCGGTGGCATCATCATGGCCGTGGGGTTACAAGATGGCGTGACGTTTGATGCGCTGGACATCGTGCGAGATACGTATATGCAGGGTCAAGAGAGATAGCACGGGCGTTTCGAGGAGGATAGATATGGGTATCAATTCACGGCTGGCGAGGCATAATGTCAGGTCAGAGGTGGAGGCCTTCAGGAGCTTGGAGGATGTCAATGGGATGGTAGAGAGAGTGACGAAGGGGGAAGTGATCAAGAGACAGATTGTGAAGTTTGTCTGGTGATTGAATTATACATGCATATGTTTACAGCCTTCAGTTTTAGTTGGAATTGAGGTTTGATGAATCACTGTGAATGGACTCAATACACTTTCATTCTGTCCAGTTAGCTCTTGTGTAAACCACCGAATCGATATCACCACACTTCGAATAACAAAAACTACACTTCACATCAATGGAAATCAAATTCATCATTGAAAGTTTTATTTTGATAGTACAATCAAACAGCAAAAGCCGTGTCCCTAAACTCCATGGTGGTATCATAACACATGCACACATAAAAAAGTACAATCCCCTATCACACTCACACCCTATTCGCCATCAAACTCTCAAAACTGCACCCAAGAACCTCGACAACATTCCCCCAAGGATCGCACGCATACGCCGCTTCCGTCCCATCACCCACCACCACCGTCTCGCCCACCTGACTCCCGCCATTCTCGACGACCTTCCGCACGCACGCACCGACGTCCGGCGCCGTCACGGCGATGTGGAAGAAGCCTGAGCGGGTGTACTCGAAGGCGGGCTTGGGTTCGTGGGGTGGGTCGGTGAATTCGAAGATCTCGAAGCCGACGGAGTTGCCGGTGGAGAGCCAGGCGACTTTTACTTTCTGCAGGGTTGGCGGGTAGATTTTGAAGATTGGGGCGTTGGGGGTTGCGGCGCGGGAGGTGTCTCTTGAGGGTCTGTAGGGTTGTGTGAGTCAATTGTATCCACATGTATATATTCTCCAGATGATGAAATCTACGAACCTTAGCTTCTTGAACCCGAATACTTTTCCGTACCACTCGACGGCTGCATCACAATCGGGGACGGAAATCGCGACGTGGTTGAAGACGTGGTTGTGAGTGGTCTAGGCAAGGGTGCGCTCGAAGTCAACGAGGTGCGTCTTGCAGCTGCTGCCGCGGCGACCGCAGGACTTGAGGAAAAGGCAGAAGAGGCTGCATTGGGAGGTGGGGATTTGAGAAAGACGCGCGCAGAAGGGAATTGACTGACTGGAGGCATTTTGGTTTTTGGAATTGACTAATAAAAGAAGAGTAAAAGATATATATCGTCGTTATGCAGAGAGAAGTGGGTTCAAATATTCGAATTGGTGGCTTTTATGTATGGATGCTTCACTCTCTTTGCAAATCAACGATGTATGTTCGTCTTTTCTTTTCTTTTCTTTTCTTCTTCTTAGAAATTCAAAAATGCCTCTCTTCAAAGGATCACGATGGAGATAATTTGAAGAGAGGACAGGCTGAGGTCATGCAATTGATATATATAGGATCGGCGCTATGCTGAGGCTATGACTCGATGCTCGGATGTTTTGCGCCTGAAAGCTTCTCGGACTCGCGTGATGAGGTGACGGGTGGTGTGTGGGTGGTCGGTCGTCGAATGGGTGACTCCTCAAACGGCTCCGGTTTCTTTTCGTATCAACAAACTGGCAACTCTAGTCGTGGACTACCAAAAGGAGTAAATTGAGAAATGCACTGCGACGTGGGATTGTTCAAACAAGGAGATGAAATGCAGTGGAACTCTCTTTGCGATCGTCCCCATCTGCGCATTGTTATAGGACTGTTTCCAATCCTGGCCGGGATATGCTTTTCCCCCCTTCAAAACCATTCGCCCTCCCAAGATGTTTGGTTTCGAAGAGGGTGGGCGGGCGCTGTCACAAGGGCTAACTATGTAGGCTCTTTCCCGTGTGGATGTATGCATGGCATTACGGCTGAACGGAGACTACACGTAACTTGGATGTTCGGTTGATCAATTAACTTTGGAAAGGTTGGGGAAGTGATTTTCCCTCCGGGAATTCGCGATGCGTCATATTGTTCTGCAGTGCATGAGGGATAGCCGATTGCGGGGAGAGCTTCGGAGACTAAAGCCTCGTTAACGTCGAATAGCGTGTCGATCTGGAATTTGCACCTTGATGACACGGGAGGGAGGACAGGAGTCACAGGATAGGGCACGGCACGATTGCGGCATGTGAAAATACGTTGTAGCATGAAAGCTGTTCTGGGCATTATCAGGCATGATACAACAATTGAGGCACGGCGGTGGGTCGAACGTGCATCTATGAATCGAAACATGTATTGATACGCTACCGCGCGTCTGAGATAAGTAGAAAGATCATTCCATGCCCTCATACCACATTTCCAAGCCTTTTTTCTGCGTGATAGTCGCTTCACAAGCTTTCAGTCGAACACTTTGCCTTCTCCGTGAGCCTTGGTGAGCTTGTATACATGTAATTCGATCTGTTTCGCGGTCTTCAATATCGGACTCCTATCGTCTTGGATGCTCCGTTTCGCTTCAGCCGAGGGCTCGGCAGAGAATTCGTGGACGACCTGCCATGTCGGAGGCTCCGGCGCGGGCTCATCTGTCGTCGGTAGGCCTTTCAGAGCTCGAGACTGCGCATTTGTCCTTGCATAGAGAAGCTTTAGCCGTAAGGTGCGGACATAATTGGGTGTTTTGGAGACCGTGTTGATTTGCTGAATAGCTGTTAGCTATGGACGATTGCATGTGAAACCAAATACGCACCTGATCGAAGAACGCATCAACATCTTCATCCGACGTGCCAGTGGCTGGTTCTATTGCTGATACGATCAAGTATTGCGCAGCTTTTACAATCGTCAGCATATACTAACCCTAATACCGCTTCTCGTTTCGGGCCACTCACCTTTGCCTTGCTTCTTTCCGCTCTGTCCCACCAAACCCAAGTACCGCACATCAACGTCCGCGAAGTCATAGATGATCCCCGACCCAGGCAAGATATCGCTCTTGACCCTGATATTCTTAAACTCTGGCCCCTGCATGAACGCCAGGTCATCCATGGGGTAGAAAGCCAGGAACGGCATTGGCGCCCTCGGCGATCCGTGATGCGATTCCTTCTCCACGTTGACGTAGCGGAAGCCGCTCTTGATGCTGGATGTTGCGATGATTTCGGCGATGTGGTCTTCATCGTACCATTTGAAATACGTGCTTTCGTCGAGGATATCCGCTGCGGATTTCGAGATTCGCGATGTTACCCATAGAAATCCTGGGCCTTTGATTGCTTGTGCCATACTTGAAGATTATATTGCCGATTGCCAAATGCGGATGTGAGAGTGAATTGGTCGTCACGTGAATCAATGCTGACTGCTCAAGGATAGTGTTGCATAGTAACACAGCATGATTGTCCCAAGATGATATTTCTCGTTAAATGACAATGTGTCTAGTGGATACAGCTCGTATTGGGCCTCCGGGAAAGCGTCCCCGAAGCGATCATCTTCAAGACTGATCCTCCCGCTGGTCACGTGTCCCTATCGCCGTTTTGTCACCAGAAGAATTGCTGGTTTTGGATGTCACCATTGTGGATTTCTATTATATAGAAATGATGATTGTATTTGGATGGAGACTTTGGTGCTGATCTTCACAGAGGGGCAACTTAAATGACAATTTCACAAATTGAAGATGTATCGTGACATCCTAGATAAGTGTTTTGGCATCACTTATCATATTCACTTTTTGTTAACATTGTGTAAAACACCAACTGCAAAACAGTTCTCTCTCATCGCTGGCTGCGGCACCGGTATCTGTCTCGCTCTCCCTCTTCTATAGCATTACAAAGGGAAGGCTATACGCGGCAATGATGTAGTAGGAAGCCGTGCGAAGGTCGGAAAGTTTAGAATAGGGTCTCTTTTTGTTTCTCAGTCTACTGCAACATACGAGTCGCATAGTCGTATTAGACTCTTGATATGTTACCTGCTTGGCCAGGGCTTCTCTTGTCGCTATCAGGAAGTAATCGTCCCCCTTGTACAACGGTGCTGGGCGAATGGGAATCCTCATATGAACTGGAATAACATTCGTTTACCCTCCAACGTGTGGAGATGTAAATATGCATGTCTATTCCTTGAGTCTGGGGTAACTGTGGAGAATGAGTTGCGGGGTTATTCGTCGCCGGAGAAGAACAGCCACTGACGCGCTAACGAGCATTTACCTTGTCCTTATTGAGTTCAGTGCTGGCTCAGGTGTGAATAGCATTACTATCTTTCAGTGCCCAGAAAGTTGTTATCATCATTTCGATTTTCTAATACTCAAAATCATGGGCGAACTCTCTAGCCTTCCATGCATCAGAGTTCAGTTGTGTTTGAAGAAGAAGGATGAAGTCACCGACGACTTCTTCCACAACTATTGGAAAGGCAATCACGTCAATCTAGCTCTCGAAAACAAGAATTTTGTAGATTGCGTTATTCGATACAATCAGGTACAGTTCCCCAGAGTTCTTAGTGCTAGACACTCTCCTGAAGTCAACAGTTCCATACGTCTCCACGATTCAAACAGGCGGCTGGGGATTTCAAAATACCTGTTCTGGAATACGATAGGATTGCGGAAGTTTGGGTCAAAGACATCGAGTCATGGCAATCGGTTGTCACAGATCCCACCTTTGTGAAGGCAATTGCAAAAGACGAAGACAATTTTATCAAGGCTCCTATTCACATTATGCTGGGGTATGATAATACTGTAATATGCGAAGCTTTTAACGAGTCATGAAACTTGATTTGTAGTCCTTCGTGGTGTTTCGAATTCATACATTTGTTGACGAAGTATAGCCCCTGGAGCAATTCAATCATGATGTGAGCTCTGTAGTGTCCGCGAATAAGAGAGACTCAGCGGATGAGGTTTAGTTGAATTGCCCCAATGTCTTCCTTCAGATGTTCAATTTTCTTGGTGCCTCTATGTTTCTATTAGCATTGTGTGTTGAGGATTGAGTCTTTCACCAACGGTATTGGACAAATGTCTTCACCGTGGGAAAGTAGCCACGCCAATGATAACTGTCCACTGGTACAGCCTTTTGCTTTAGAGGTATATTGGAAGCTCTGAATAGGCTTCCAGTTGTTGTAGAAATTCTCTGTGTTGTTTCTAAGCATATTTTCGGACATCACGCTCAAAACCATTAGGACCCTGAATCTGCCTAGTTAGAAGCCTTCGCTCAAAGGGACTAATGCAGAACTTGCAATTCAAAACTCCCGGTACGTTCGGAGAATGTTGATTTGAGGTGATTCGGTGTCTAGTGCAAATAGACTATATCTAGTGCAAATGGTTTATATCTAGTGCGATTACATTATATTGAACTTGAACAACATTGATGAGGGCAGGAGCAGGTCGGCCATTGTTCCTGCGTATAGTGGCAATTTAATATTCATTTCTAGCCGTTGCTTAAACCTGCTAATCGGCTAACGTGTTGTAAGAGCAAATGGCTTTGGCAATTAGCTTTGGCTCATCTCCTATGCCATTAGCTAATGCAGTGCGCAGATTGTTCGTGAAACACTTGGTGAAGCGTCTTAGGGAAGTCGTTTGATTTGTGATCCATATGCTCCAGAACACCGTCCCGTGGGAGACAATATTCATGATTTAAGTAAAGCATAACATACCGTTTCGCTGCACATGCAAATACTGGAGTCTATGTTCAAACTATTGTAACCCGCCGCTTTTCCCAGTGCGCCTTGATTATCTCTACTTCGCGTTCGTCAAAAATTACGAAGCCGTAGCGTTCATACACGCCATCTCTGATTTCCTTGAGCAACAAGAAGAAATGGGACACCCGAGTCTGTGCCACCCAATACTGTGATAACATGAAAAGACTCACCTGGCTGTACGGCGGGATGTTGGTGGCAGTAACAGGATCCGGCCAACAGTCCCAAAGAGCATAGCCAAGCTTTTCCGAGTCCAAGTAGAGATATGGCTCGTATGTGACCACGTCCGGATCGTTCCATTCTATCTTAACGGATACGAGGAATCCCTCCAGCGTTATTGAAGCTTCTTCCAATGCCCCAAACGGATCTTCGCCACTCGGTTTGCAGTCTACGGCAATAACCTCGCACAGTGGCCTGTCACTTTCATCGAGCCAGAACTCTACGGGCCCTTCGAGTGCTGCCCAGCTCCAGGTGGGTGCACGCCAGTGAGGCACGCGTTTACGAGGACTCCGATATCTGCCGAGCCAGGCGAGATTGTAGAGTATTGTATTTTCCCACATGCCGGCCTGGAAATTGCCCAAGCCGTCAAAGCTACGCTGGAAATCACGAGCCATACCTCCTATTGCTGGGAAAATATCCCCGGGGAAGGTGAGCTGTAGCCCGGTATAGGCTGAGACACGCCGGTGCCATTCATCAACCATACTGTTTGAGCTTTCGGGACTGGAACGATTCGCAAGTTTCCACCGCTTTTCGTAGTCGCAGGACCAGGAGCATTCGCATTCGGTGCAGCTATTACATTCCCACACTATCTCTTGGCCAAAGTGCACATATCGTGGGCTAAGAGCGCGCTCTTGGTACACCCAACCGCGCCCTAGCAGAGGGAGATCATACATAAGTTGTGCATCTTCCTGTGGAAATCTTACTCCTTGAGTCGTGAATAAAGTATGATCGATCTCGCGACGACAGATAACAACCTCGTCGGCTCTACTTGGCAAGAGCCAGCCGTAATGCTCGGTTTCCACTTGCATGAGGCCGCGGTTGATATCCCCGGTGTAGGCACTCGCAGCAATTGTGAGAAATGCGTTTGCGTAGACGTCGCTCATCTTAGCAGACTCCCGAACCCAGTCTTCAGATGAGTCCTGAATAATACAGAGCGCATCTATCCAAAGGTAGCGAACTTGTAATTGCCTGATGACGTTTACTACATCTTGGAACATGGGACAGAGAGAGTCGATCAATATTCCGGCTTTGTGCTTCTTGTAATTCGTTGACAGTGTTCGAAGGCTCTTCTCTACTGGACCCCAACGATAGCTCAAGCAGGTGTACCGAAAGACTTCGATCCCAGCACTTTCCACTAGGAAGATATGAGAACTATCGCGGCCTAAATCGAGGATTCTCGTTGGCAATCGCAAGCCATCGCGTGGCTGGCACGATGGATGATCACGAACACATGTGTCTAATCGTTGTCGTAGCCACGTCAGAGATAGCGACCGTGCGATTCTCTCTTTCTTGAGTAAAGGAAAATCCGTAGATCCCCTTAATGCTACACCGGCCATGTGCTTTGCCATTATGTCGGATTGGAGCCTTGTATCGTTGCTCGTGACGGCCTCTTTGCCGATACGAATGAGTTCATAGTCCGGATCTTCGCAACCAAAGATTGAGATTCCAGGTTGTATCCTAATACCGCCCTCGCTGATCGGGCGAGTTTGGACCTCTGAGAAATAATAATACATGTCGTCGCTGTTAGCATCAAGTAGAATAGAGTGAACCGCCGCAAAGATCTGGGCGCAACCGAAGCAGGTCCCCTTGAGGAAGACTAAAGCCAGATCAATCATGTTGCAGAAATTGGACGACACTGTAGTCGGACAAGCGATGCAAGATTCTTCTGTGAATATAGAATCGACCTGGGCCATCCACAGTTGTGCTTGGACTAAGGGCCAGTCTTTGATGGCTGCCTCGATGTCATCGATGAGCCGTCTTGTTACTCGGATAATCGCTTTCTTCTGAAAGTCGATAGGGCTACCTGCTTCTTCAACCATCATAATCAAATGGTCTGAAACTTTCTTATAGTCATTGTCCTCTTTTGAGTCAAACTTGACCATGTTTCTATGATCCGCATGGATCAAGATCTGTTCAGTGTCGGCGGCGCCTGGGACAACGGCGCATGCTTTTGGTACCACCTGTATCATCAATGTCTGCAATGTATCCGTCCCATGTTAAGGCATACCATGATTGAATGACCCTGCGCCATCGGAGTCTTGTACTCCTCATATGCAAACTTTGTCATCAATTTCCTACTGATTGGCCCGTACTGCCTAAGGTGCTGTTGGAGCCATTCTGAGTCTCGCTTCAGATACTCTAGCAGCTGGGTGTTGGTGGTCTTGTGAACCATTGCCGCATTTAGCAGCAGCTTTGCGAACTGCATCCCGTTTCCGCCTTGGTGCGGAGTGCTCATAAACATGATTCCGTGTGTCCACTCCTTGATCGATTGATGTTCTTTCAGTGCGCCTTTCAATGCCACACCTGGGTGAATGAGAGCCTATATCTAATCAGTTGTATATACAATAGGGAGGAACAATACTCACGCCTTTGACGACAATGCCACCCAAACTGTGTGCCACGAAAATGATCGGTCGTGCCGAGGTCTTTCATTGTTAGCAACATATACTAGCAATGTCCGCTCTGCTCTTACATTTGTGCACTTCCTCTTATGGTAGAGATCGGACACTAGTTCCTCTGCATGATCGTGGAAGAATTGGTGACTGCCGTGCATGTTCGCATCGTATCCCCAGCAGAAGATGCGTGCATTTGGAACATCGTTTGGCAAAAGATCGCGAAGCCAGTGGGTACCGTTTGCTGCAGTCCACGTCTCGTCGCGGTGTCCATTCAAACCATGAACGGCAACGATGCTAGGCACTATTAGTGAGACCTCTTGTGATATTAGGAATAACTTACTCCACTACTGGCCGCTCCCCCTCTGCGACGACCTTGAGGCCAAGGGCAGAAGCTGTAGACGGTTCCTGTGGCTTCGAAGAGCTGCTAGCCTACCGCAGTGTCAGCCTGGCAGTACCAGAGTATGGGGGCCAATAAATACGGAGTCTTTGTGACCCTTTCGGAAGGGATTCAGGCTAGAGGACGCCATAGTTTGAGTGCCAAATTCAACCATATCATGATGCTAGAGAATCGTGAAGCTTGCTGGGTTGCATTGTGCTCGGCAGCTTTTATTCCTGCTGTCACCTCAGCCACGTTATGTGGGTACGATGCACCACCAATCATGACGCAGGCGTCATAAGTATACCAACAGAAAGCATAGACGGCCCTCGCCTGCCCTGGTCTTGCACTGGAGTCGATATATTTCTGAAAAGTATAAAAATGTTTTACTAACCAGTAATCTCAGTAGAGTATAGCAAGGGCCTTAATAAGCAATAGATAGATCAGAACTAGGGCTCCATAACGGGAACTAAAGACGGGGCGAGATTTATCTCACCTGTCAGACTCGCGATGGAGAAATCGGCTCCGGGTGAGCAACGCATAATTCCCCATACAAAATTATTACCTCGTAGCTAATCAGTGAGCCTACGAGTCAATTTCCCGCCACGTACTCGTGACAAAGATGATAACCTCGACGACAATACAGTTATACCTATGCTATCAGTGATCGCGAGCACTTAAGTTCACTTCAAGAAGTACAGATCTACATGCCCGGTTTTTTTCCCTGAGTGCTCCTTTTATTAAGTCTGGCAAATTTGTTGGCTTTAACATTAAGTTACATCTAGCTTCCCGAAAACATGAAAAGACATCTCTGGTAAAACATTGGGTCATTAACTCTGAGGAAAATTCAGAGCACCACGCCCCCGTCTGATTCATCTGACCGTTCTTCAAAACTGTAACACGCTTCTGGCATCGTCTGTCCATTTTCGCTCCCAGAAAAGTCTGCGTAAAAGACAGAGGATAAGTCGTCGTTCCTTGTCCATGACGAGTTTCCACAGTGTTCAGATTCCATCAGGGGTTCTTTTGATCCACATGCGCTGTCGTTGTCCAATGATTCACGTATTTTATCGTACAATACAGCAGATTCTGTGATCCTAGTAAGTGAGTCGGGGTGCCAGGCCTTCGGCGGAACCTTCTCTTCAATCTGTCGCAAAGCATCCCGACGAATCGTCTTTGTCATCGCGTCTATGATAGCCCTCAGACATAACTCACTGTTTTCATCTCCAGGGACAGCATCCGGCGGTCGCCAATTAAGATATATCTTCCGATGTGACGCTGGCAACACGAAGTCGCCTGGATGATGTTGAAAATAGAGCAAGCAACAAAAACAGGCGGGTTTGCTGCAGGCGATAAATGGATCGCCGGAGGCAAAGGACAACTTGCCAGCATGGAAGTGCTCTAGGACCTGGATCTCGGCGTGGACTCGCGCTTTCCAACCAGAATCCTTGTAGTTCTTCAGAAAATCGCGAGAGAGGTGATGTTTTGTATCCATCTCTACGAGAGCCTCCTGGTAGCGATCGTGATCTGGGGACTTAGCAGGAAGCATGCGGACCAGTATACTTTTCAAGTTGGTCTTCCCGTCTGCTGTAGGTATACTAGACTTGGGTGGTCTAGGAATACAGCGAACTTCAAAATCATGCAGATCCTCCTGCAGTCTCGCGACACAGGACAGCAGCGTATCGGCCGCCCGGAAATGGTGTCCAAGTCTTCCAATGTAATGCCTCACGAGCCCAAATGAATGACGAATTGCGTGTCTGTCGCTTTTGTACTTTGGTTCCGTGCTTAACCGAGCCAGCATGCGCATGGGCTCAGATTTTCGCTGATCATAGGCAAAGCGACACAAGACTAAGTCTGGGTCCTGTTGGCTCTCCCAACGCTGAAGCCACTCCGAAAGGCCAGTCACTAGCTTAATGTCAGTACATATCACCTGTACTTGTTTCCAAGCTTTTAAGCAACTTACGGTCCTCATTTTCCATTGTTCTCAAGTGATCTAAACAACGCTTCAGTGCATTCTTAAGAAGAGCCCTGTATTTCTTGATTCTAGGTGCGGCAAAGTTTATACACTTAGCAATTAGGTTCTCTCTTTCCATTAGCTTGGACGAGACCTTTGCAAATGCTATTGTATACAACTTTGTAAGAAGTGATTCCAAAAATGGTCCAATCTCTTTCTCGGGGCTTGAGTTTGAGGCCACCCAAAAGACACATTTCTGTGGAGTAGCTTCCAGGCCGATAGCGGTAACTGTATCACCGCCTTTATCAAAATCGCACATGTATGTGAGTTCACTCAGAAATCTCCTCCTTACCTCCTGGAGCGGTAAGTAGTCGACACCGTCATCAGCAACGGGTTCGATGGGCGAATGATCCCCCCTCGTACTTCCCAACGTATGCAGTAGGACAAGAGGCTCATAGAAACGACTTAATTGGCGGGTGTGCCGGTCGAAGCGCATTGTTGTCGACGAAGGAGAATGAGACTTTGTTGGCCGATCTGACGAACTCTTGGGATGTTTAGCTCGTTTGGCCATGACTGAAAACGTCAAAAGAATGATATGAAAAGCTGAAGATGTAATGCATTGCGTCTGGAAGTCCTCTTACCTATTTGTACACGGCCACACTTCTACCCGGTACCATATTAGGAGACTGATCCCTTCAAATTACAATCCTCGGAATGACTCCCTTACTTAACCAGGTGAATGATGTTTTTTTGTGCATTGCAACGTCTAGCCAATAATGCCATCAGTTGTTATCAAGTGCAATCCAATGCAATCCTTCACATTTGGCCATCAGCTCTGCCCCTGAATCGATTTTCACAGATGAGACAGCACCTTAACACCTTTTCGGGTCGAGTGATGACAAAATACATAGAACAGGGTGGTGATTAGGTCCTCTAAGAGCGTGTTCGATTTACTCGCGTAGATGATGTGATAACATGTGAGTGGCGCCCCGGGGGTCATATAGAGTGGTAGCGCGCACTGAATTGTAAATGAAGATAACTTATGGCCAGCTTGAAGTGCTGATAAAATCAGTTCTAGTTGACTCAAACCATTTTTTAATATCCGATAACGCGGTTCAATAGCTCACACAATTCAGCATTCAACTCAATCATCGAAGTATTGAGATTACAGCCTCGCGAAAAGAGTTGAAACCTTAAGGGTGGCACTTCATTGGTGCGACTGTCATTCCAAATTTGCCTTTTTTTTGTAAAGTAACACAAAGGTTGCCTTAATTTCAGTCCCCGCGCTGTGCTCCTCCCACTCCTCCCCTTACTTTCTTCCTTTGAGCCTACAACCCCATCTACGGGAACTCTTAGGGAGCTTTCGTCTGAGAATAACAAGGAAACTGTACTCTGAAGGTTCAATTCCGCCTTCCGTAGCCTTATATACTCTACTACACATAGTTTCGTTGGCGAACTCTACAAAGTAAGCTTTATCGCACGCTCTGACGCAACATTCTTACCCCACACCCAGACCCCAGCCTTTTGCTATCGATCACCCCACCTTCCTTCTAAACACTACATCATGGCAGAAAACAGCAGCATAGCGCTGGAAGAGAGGTTTGAAAAACATTTGGAAGTTCTTTCCGCGCGTATAGAAAAGTTAGAGAAGCTTATGTCGCCGCCTGGGACACCAGCTCCAACCTCCAGGCTGCTAAGTCTTCCGATTGAATTACGTCTGGAAGTTTATCGCCATTGCATCCCTCAAAATCGCACAGTCGATGTGGAACTTTCATGTTTCATATACCAGTCCTCCGATTTAGATGATATGCAGGATTTCGCAGGGTTTATCTACGATTTGGAGGACGGTTCTGGGGATCGTCCCGATTTGGCGAACAACATCTCTATCTCGTATGGCTTCGACCAAGAATTCGAGGGCTGTGACTAACACATCAGCAGCACATATCGAAATGGAATAAAGAGCAACCTAAACAGTATTTTACGTGTGTCGAAGCAGATCAGCGAGGAAGCCCTAAATGTCCTCTACGGAGACAATTACTTCGAGCTTCGTCTAACGGGGTTCGGCAAATCCCAGTTCAGGAGAAACTTTTCCTACCAAAACAGGCAAAGAATAAAGCGTTTGGTACTTATTGCGCAGCCTGAGGATTCTTCGTGTACGAAGCAGAGTAGAGTCGACGATGCATTGTGGCGTTTCATGCTCCCTCAGTTGACGATGTTGCGGATTGTAATAGACACACCAGTCTATAAGGAGAATATTTTCGATGCGCGAACGCCCAAGCAAAAGATGGAACAGTGCATTAATTGGCTTCTGCCATACATGCAATGCTTTGGTCAATACTTAAGAGCAGAAACTAAAGTTGAGGTTGATGCTAATGGCCACGCGGAGATGGAAGAACTGGCCAAGGATTGTTTACCACATGGCTATCAAAAAGTAAAGTATCTTCGTTTTGGCTTCTTCATTTTGTAGAGGAGAGTGTTCATGGAGTCTGGGAAATGGAATGACAATGACGGCTTCTGGAGGGTCTGCGATCCTAGTGAGTTTGGATCAGATTAATCTGTCGAAGCAGCTCCCAATAAAGTAATATGGTGAAAGTTCATCGGCCTTTGATCTGGTGAGCTTGCCTCAAAATATATTTCCGCACCGGGTATTGCCATTGTCTCTTCTACTCGTAGCCAATTCCAATAAAGACATTTTGGGTAAAGCAGTAATGGATACCATGATGCTAACCATGGTCATTTAAGTACGGCAACAAGACTCTTTGTATCGGATGGAGTAGATGCCAAAGTCGAAAGACAACATATTGAATCCTCGGCCTCATGATATTGCCGAATAAGAAAGAAGTTAGGAAGAGATCAGCTCATGATACAAGAGAGAACAAACATTGGGTAGACTTTGGGAGGCGCGACGAGGTTTGAACAGTCGCCCTGCTTGTGTGTGAAGCTGAATAGGAGTGCAAGATTCATTTCTTTTGGTATTATTCATGGAGTCTCGTTTGTGGAAGGATTGGGCTATAAGCCTCCAGAAACAGAAGATTAGGCAAGTGTAGGTATTGCTTCTTTCAAGTTCATAGTATTACCGCACTGTTCAGCTTGGAAGAACACACTCAATAAAGAGTAGTAGCTATGGAATTGATTGGGTGAATTGACATTAAGGCTGAGACTCCAGGTGAGTTCGCACGGTTGCTGCTTTTGATAGAGCCAAGGGATTCCCCTCTTTTCCATTGTGTTCACTGTACTCAGCCACTACTACTGAAATATCAACCTTTGCAAGGGCACTGTCATTCTCCAAGGCTGAATCTAAGAGTTCCTCAAATTCAGGGTTCTTTTATATCAGATCACTACCTGATGGTGGGGCGGATTCCCGTCGTCGATCTCGCGACGTACTACCTGGCCGGCCCGCTGTCGAGTGAAGTGCAAGGAACCATCGGAGCTATACATAGCGCTGCCTCAACATGGGGTTTCTTCATCGTCACAGGCACCGAAGTGTAGACCGTTGCGCGAGATCCACGGTCTGTTGATTCTCGTAGGTACGGAAGTGGCAAGTCGAGACTCCTTTCTGGCTTCTGCGGCAACTGGAAGCATAAGTTGGAGTATTCCATCAAGAGTAGCGGGATAGATGATGGAGTCTCTGATCCTCGTATATCCGGTAGATCCACCGACACTATACTTGCAAAAATTCTGTGCTTATCACGCATCCATTCCGTGTCAGCTATACAGATCTGAATGTATACAACGTCGTGCCTTTCCCTAGAACACAAGATTTGGTAACCCATGTAAGATAGGCAAACATGAAACATCGCAGCAAAAAAGACATCAAATTCGAAGAAAAAGTGCCACTAGCAATCCAATCTCACGGCTAGACCATGTCCATCCGCCGCGAGTACGCAGTGCTTCCCTTACGAACAACATGATACGTAGCATCGTCAGCTTCCAGTCCCTTCGCGCCACGTGAATCGTCCTGTCCAAACTCGGACACAGTTCTTAGTTCATGTGTGCTGTCCCCGCCTACGCTCTTAGATTCACGGTTCATCTCAGAGCTGTCGAGGCGCTCCATCCTGCTAGAGTTCACGCTGGACTTGCTTTTCCTACCAGTGATCTTCGACTTCAACAAGCTGGTGTAGTGGCTGACTACCTTTCCCACGAACTTGGAGACTGGCGACCACACTGGCTTGTAGATTGGAAGACAAGCGCAGATGATAGCTGTCGCGTCGTGGATATTTGTCCATTGTTCAGACTCATAGAATTTCACTGTTCGAGTTAGTTGTTATGTGCGGGAGAGGTTGCAGAATGACCGTTAAACATACCGTATCTGGCACCAGGCTGGTAAACATACACAAGCCGCACAATTTGTGAAATGACGACGAATCCGCCAAGAGAAAATATACCTGCTACTGCAACTTTCGTGCGTGTCGGAAGATGAAGATTGAACGCCATGCGGATGGGAAGCACCAAGATAGCGACGTCGATCAGGAGGTCAACGGTTCCCGTCCCAAGGTACATGGCATTAAAGTTGGAGCATTTACCGGGCTTCCTTCGGTTCCAGAAGGAATCAACTGGTTGGCAAGTAAGTAGATTGGCAACCTGTGATGCAATGTACCAGGCCGTGGAGAGCACCATAAGAGCGAGCGATACTTGTTTGTACCCAGTGGTGATGAAGAAGATGCGTCGGTAGAATAGGAGAATGGATATCTTGACACAGTAGATGGATGTAAGAACAAATGTCCAAGCTATGAACAATGACTGTGCTTGTAATTAGTTGAAATATTGGTGAAATGATGCAGAGGAAGCATACCTGGAGATAGTTGGACAACATGCCGGCGCTTTTGGGGTTTGTCCTTAACGAGGCCATGATTCTCCATCTCCAATCCTCCGCCGCCTGTAATGACACCTACAAGAGTACAGTCAGTATGATGTGTGGTATAATGGAGGTAACAGAGCATAACATACCCCATATTGCGAAACCCACGGCGACATAGTAGAAAAGGAGTGCAGCAATAACCCAGTAGTCATCCGACTTGATGTCTTGCTTACTTTTTACTTTGCAGTAAAGTCTGGTGGCTACTGCAACACCTACAAGAACAGCCCAGGCAACATTTGCGTCGAACTGAGACTTGCCATGGGAGCTAAGCCCATACATGGCGTTAGAGAAGGATTGTTATCGCGCGCGTAATGTTAGTGGTGGATGGGGGAGTAATTGAGGACAGCTGAGAGCTGGTGGCAGGAGGTCATACTAAAACACAACATGACCGGTCCTTCAGCCCACCATTGTCACTCATGGATGGTACAAGATAGGGGGGAGAATACTATGCGGACTTTGCATTGCATTTAGATCAAAACTGCTGGGCTATCAGTCTGTATTCCCCGAAGGTGCCACCCCCTCCATTCATGTACACTTGCATGTCGCCCGCATGGCCCGGCCCGCTACAGTGGTTGGGCGCGAGTTTGGCGTGGGTGAGACGACAGGTGTGTTCACTGTGGAGTAGGACTGTAAGTGGTGGAAGTGGTGTAAATCGTGGGGGTGAGTTCGTTTTGGAGGTTGCATTGGCTAGTTGATCGCAGCGGGTTTGACCGTTAGTGGCTGCTATTCTCGATGGTGGAACGCTTTTGGTGGAGCTTTTTTCATTCCTTCTCTTGTGTCGTGCGAGAGTAAAAGTGAGAGTGAGGTGGGTGAATTGGGTGAACGGGGTGGCACAGTTGGTGAGTTTTAACGCGTCACCTTGTTTGCGCCGCACACCTGCATGGTTGGCAACCACCTGTACTACCCGACCCCAACACTCCAAACGCTCATCGTCACCTACACACTACACTCAATAAACCTCTCTCAAACATTTCGCATCAGCTTCCGTCTACATTTCCGCCAGCCACTTCCAACATGGCCAAAGATACCATCGTTGTGTGAACTCGCCAAATGGACCATTTCCCTTCAATCAAGCTTGGGGTAACCATGTACTAGGTCGGCGGCTCCATCGCAGGGCTGATGTGCAGCATCATGCTCAAGCGTCATGGGTACAATGTAACAATTCTGAGAAGGAAGTAGCAACGACTAGAGAGGGCTACGACGCCGGCATCAAAATTGGTCCAGACGTCCAAGAGTTTATCAAGAAACACAGCCGTGTAGCTCGTGAATTCACCATCACGTGCAATGCTCCGGTCAAGATCAACATTGAGGGCAAGGCCAAACCCGAACATAAACAGACCATGACCAGTACTAGCTGGGGCCTTTTTGTGAATATCCTACGTGCCAACTTCGATGGCATCCGATGGCATCACCTCAAAAGCTGTACCTGTCGCTCCAAATCCCGAGGAGGGCGATGGCACTGTTGTCTTCCGTACTGTAGCAAAAGTCACTGACGTCCATGAATCTGGAAATAGTGTTCAAGTTGACTTCGAGGATTCTGCTAGCCATACCATACAGACTATAACAGGAGATCTCGTGATCGTGGCAGACGGCTCAACATCGTCCATCAAAAAGATCCTTCTACCAGGTGCGACGCGTCACTTTGCGGGGTATATAAGCTGGAGAGGAGCCGTCCCAGAACATGCAAGCAAGAAGTATGCAGAGAAGTTTGTTTTTCAACTCATGAATCGGAATTATCTCTTACAGTAAGTTTTCTCAACCAATCTAGCGAAATTGGGGAGTCAAGTTCACATATTGTTTTACAGTTACACCATCCCAACGGATGAGGGCAATCTAGATCCAGGAAAGCGTCTACACAATTGGATCTGGTACCAGCGCGTAAATGAACAAGAATTGAACTCGATATTTACCGACATCAATGGACCACAGCACCAAGGTACAGTGGCTCGCGGCTTGTTGGACCCAAAGATCTGGGAAAAACAGAAAGCAGTTGCTTCCAAGACGATGCCCGAGGAGCTGTCTCAGATCCTTCACAGTACCTCATCCCCGTTTGTATCTAAGATCTATGACGCATCATTAACTAAAGCTGTGTTCTTCGGCGAGAAGCTATTTCTTATCGGAGATGCGCTGACCACGATCCGTCCAAATGCCGGAATGAGCACCACGTACGCTGCATACGCTGTCAACGAGCTCGAGAAGGTCGTCGAGGGAAATCAAACTCCAAGCCGGTAGGAGAAGGCTGTTCTACGATTTGGCGCCGCGCAGCAGAGGTTTGCCATGGCGATTGCATCGTTTGGCCTCAGCTCGAAACTCGTAGCCATGTGGAATGCTATTCGATGGTTGCTTCTTCTGCTTGGACAGAAGCTGGGCATAGTTTGATGGCAAGGCTTATGCAGCTGGTGGAGCTATTGACAGCTACTTTAAGGGAGCATACTCGCTCAACAGGCTCTAAATTGATTGTGGAACACAAGCGAGGTCTCAAAAATTGTACGACAATGTGAGTGGTTGGCTTTTAGAGTAGGTTGCGGGACTGGCGATGAATGCTGCATGTAATAGTTTCTTAGTCGGTAGAAGTACTCACATGCACGAGAACGTGTATAATGGAGTATCTTACCGGTCCATCACAGTTCGACCTTGGTAACTCGAAATATTTCCACTATTGCTGTAGATACATCAATCTCAAATCAATTCCACAGTAAGAAGTCTTCCTATTCGATATGCTGGAATTCAACTCCACGGTAGTGGCCACTGG